GCCTATTGGCCTTGCTCTGAAAAGTGTGATAATAAAATGTCAACCAAATGAGAAAAAAAATACCTCCTGAGGTGGAATACTTAAAAAATAAAGTGAAAAATATAATTTAGAATGATGGATTATTTTGGGCAAGTAATTTTTTACTGATCTGAGCCCCTTTAACTCGCAATACTCGAGAAGCCAATTTAATAATGGGTACTTGATCAGATTCAGTTCTCTAATATGACAATATCCTCTTGAACCACCAAGTTAAATCTTAAACAAATATTGCGGAAAAAAAAAAACAGGCCAACAAGCAACGTATGCTTGCTTTTTCCTCGTTTTCACAGTTGGTGGATCTGAATAAGAGAAGCACCAGAGGAAGGTATTGAACCTGTATCTAACCAGCTGAGAGCTTTGAATATTTAGGGTGGGGGGAAATTATTCTAAACTATGGGTGAAATCTGACAACTGCAACATTGAAATAAAATGAATTCTCACACGCATGGTTTGGACACATGCATCACAAACCGTAGGCACATAGTAATTATCGATGAATCCTTGCACGCCGAGTAAACTGTAACCTCCAACGTTTGCACATACTTTAGTCGACGTGGAGAGGCTTTCAATCTTGTTCAGCGTAAAGACTTGAGTGCAGCTTCTGACCAAATGCCACGCAACGTGCCTAATCTCACCACGTCTCGATCAAGCTTGGTTGAGAGCCTGTATAGTGCTCAATAGGGTGCCCGCCACACAAAAATAGGTTGTTATAGGCTGCTGTGGAGCTACATTGTGGGCAGCGGAGGGCAGTGAAGAAAAACAAATATTGTTGGACTGTACTGTGCTATCATGTCTATGCAACCTTCCTTCTCCAACCCGCACGGGCCAGCATGGTGAAGCATGGTGAAGTCACCTCCACGACCCGCACGATGCCGGGAGGACCTCATACAGGAGTGCATTAACATGTAAAGTGTATTCGTTATATAAAATATAAATCAATTCGTTATGCTGCCCCACGGAGTCAATGAACAACGGAGACATTGTGAACAACAAATGGGTTTTTTTAGAGTCACGAAAAAGGCAAACATCTCTCGACTTTCGCCCGAGTGGTTATATTGAGCAAAAGTCAGAGAAAAAAAAATCCGTAATGACGTTTAATTAGCCGGCTATTCTTTCAGTGCAGTGATGCAGCAGAATTGTACTCGGGCACTGAAGTGTTTGTCAAGTGTCAGTGTGACAAAGACGGGCGTGGCTAAACGGTGCTCAATGCGAGAGAAAGTAAAACAGTTAACGATGACAAACAAAAGGGCTTAATCAGATTTACATCCCTGAGCTTAGAGATGGTAATTCCACATTGCCATGGCAGTTAATGATCCGTGAACATGTACTTCCATACGGAAGCCCTATGCCGCCATATAGACTCAACACTAAACACTGCAGCAAAACAAACACATCAACAACACAAAACAAAGGGCAGGAGCTGGCTGGAGTGGATACTTCGACGGGAGAATTCCTGTGAATTCTACACGGCGTAGGATGTGCTGCCAGGTGGCGAAAAGACGACTGCGTAGCGAAATTATTGAATCCTCTAGAATTCTGATGTTAACTCCTTTGCGTCAACCACCGGTCCCGCCTTAGTTTCCTCCCCCCCCCACACACACAGGCGTTAAATAAAGTTTACTGAAACCAGCCGACGGAGTTGATACCTGAGCCAGCCTTCACCTGCCTGCACTGACCCATATGGTGAAGTATGGTCAGATGAACCCCCTCGTCCGTGACAGATTTTGAACTGCGCCCACCACTCCACCCACACAGCTCGTGTTGATGTAGCTGTCCATACAACGTCACGCAGGCAAGAACAACAACGTGTCTCGGTGGGGCTTCCCTAAACCACGACACTGATATTGTGATGTGGAATTACAACGATAGCCAGAAAGAGGAAGACATGCGATTCGAGACAGTTTAAACCGGTTAAATGTACGTTTTAAATGTACGCCTGCCACCGTAAAGATCAGTGAGTGAGTGGGCTTCGGCAAGACGCGTCGCAGGAACGGGAGATTGTCCGATGGTGAGGAACTAGCGGCAGTGGGGGCAGGGAGAGTGGCAGGGACGAGACGCGTCCAAGAGGGGAGGACAGAGGCCACAGTGACGGAGCCAAGAGATCAGCGAGCGTGCAAGCTGCCGGATCATCAACATCGCAGGGTCGAGATCCATGGCGACCGCTTACGAGAGGACTTCGCAAAGAAGTTGGATCACCATGGCTGATCTTACTGCGTACGGTAGATGTGGAGCAACAGCTACAATTTAAATCTCAGGTGGTCAAGCAAGATAATAACCGCGTCAGGAGCAAAGGAGAAGTGTTTCATCATCGCTGTGATGTCTCCTTCGTGTGTGTGTGCGCGGTGACGCGTCTGTTCCAAGTAGTTCTACGCTGCTGTATTGTCACCGACGACAATGCGACTAGGCCGTAGGCCGCGGCCGACTCCCGCCTCTCGGCTAGAATCCCGCCGGGTCCCCGGCACCGAGACCCGGCCGAGGAGGAGCGCGGCCCGGCGTTGGTGGTCGGGGTTTGGGGGAGCAGCGATTCACCGGAGCGGCGGGAGGCGAGGCAGGGGGTGGGTGTGGGGGGGGTCTCGTCACCTGCACGGCGCGGCTGAAGAAAGTCCCCGCGTCAGACGCGAGCTTCCTCACGTTGAAGTCCATGGCTCCCACGTCTCTCTGTGTCTCTGTCTCTCTCTGTGTCCCCGCGAGCAGCGAGTGGGGGGCGCCGAGGAGGAGACCGCTCACCGGACGTGCGTCCCCGAGCAAAGAACGCCCTCGCGTGACGTCATAGCCTCCCGCAGAGGAAACGACACAAAGCCGCCGCCGCCTCTGACGTCACTTTCGCATTAAACGGCTGACGTGAGGCAGGATGACGCCATTCAGTGTTTTGCCGGCGACACACCCGTGACGTCACCGTTTGTTTACTAAAAACCACGCCCCTTTGACGTCACTTTTTGGTTTACGGGAAACACGGCTGCGTGACGTCACCTCACGTGCGCTGCAAACACGGCGCCAGGTTCTTGCGACGGAACTTTCGAATGGAACGTCGTCGTGACGTCATCCGCATTATGGGCGTGGTCTTGTGGGGGGTTTCCCACCTTCGTGAGGATTGATGCGAGTGGGGCTGGTCAGAGTAATCGGCCACAAAAAAAACGTGGTCGGTTATTATTTGTATCAGGTCAATCTGATCAACTGCACCAGCTGATCAATAAAGTAAGAATCGGAATCTTAATTTATATTGGAGGAATCCCACGAGCTATGAAGTTATTTTTTCACAGATGTCCAGTATGGGCGGGTCTGCAAATGTGGAAAGGTACAGGTTGTAAAGAACTGGTTGTGTGCAACACCCCAGAACTTTTGAGCATCCGCCAAATGATCCAATCAGGCATTGTCATGGGTTAATGGGCCACCATGCAGTACCTATGAAATTCAGAAAAACCTTTTTCTCAGTAGATTTATATAACAGTACACGTACTGCATACGAAAGCAAAACCTAAACTCAGTGGACCCACGATTAATCACCGCCCACCAAGAATATGTTCAGTTCAACGCTATTTTGACAGATGGGAGTCATAGGGATTATATCAGAAACTAACATTTTATTTTATTTTACCAGGTAGGGCTCAGTGAGCGATGTAGCTCTTTTTTAGAAGTGAGTGACCTGGCCACACATGATAATAGCTCCACGAAGTGGCTTACGACATGTGCAAATATATAGCAGCCAAAATACGCACGTCTAATGGAAAACCGCAAACTCCAAATATACAGGCATCGTCAGGGTCGGGATCGAACCCACGACCTCCGGTATATTCGGCAAGATAGTTAACATTTCACGTAGAAGACACCAAGAAGTCTCGAGTCCCGAATGGCAACAACGGCTCCCATTGACGAGATTGGCATTGGAGTGGTCGATCAACGACCCATGCGGCAACTTGCCAGTCCGGTGACCTCCACGTGTTTTTTTCCAGGTACTGAATCACTCGTGCGTGAGAAAGGCAATTTTCAAGTGACAAAAGAAGCGATGTGTTGAGCTGTGAACGAGTGGGTGTGAAGACAGCAGAGGTCTCAATGCGAATCAGTCGAGCGGCATTATCTTTTCATCGGCCGTGTAACGCTGTGTGTAAGCTACCTGGTCTATCGCTCCACACGAACCTTCGGGTCTTCTCGGCCACGTTCATGCCCTCCCTTCTCCACCCTAATGGAGCATCTTCGCCGGTTTGAAACAGGACTGGCCTGTCTACGATTCATCCTGGGTTTCACCAGGCTGGATTGTGTGAGGAGCTCACAAATTCTCGAAAGATCTGGACAAAGTCCCATCGGTGAGCTCCTCCGGCAGGCAAGGCTGCGTTGGCTGGGTCATGTAGCCCGCATGCCCGGCCACCGCATGCTCAAATAGCTTTTGTTCGGCCGGATAGAGGGGGCTAAACGGGCGCGTTACAGGCTAGATAAGAGATGGAGTGATGTAGTAAAGGAGGATGTGGAGCTGAGTGGACTTGCCGATGACTGGAAGCAGCGGTGTCAGTATCGGCCTCTGTGGAGGCTCGTGAAGGACGCTGCTGGGCAGCTGGAGGCAGTCGCCCTCCAGCAACGGAGGGCAGAGGAGCGACGCTCACAACAACGAGCGGAGCGCCGGGTGGCTAAAGCACAGCAAGTTGGCACAGTAGGGAGGCCAGTCATCTCAGTCAACCCATGGCAGCGGATGTTCGACACTTCACGTGGCCTCAACGTGCACGTAGCCTGGCACAAGCGCCGTGGTGACGTCACCACCACTTAGTGGCTTCTTTCTGCCTATATTGTGACTCACTAATCACGTGTCAACATTGACTACATTTCATGACAAGGCCCTTGTGGTCTCCTGGTGGGGTTCCAAAGGAGCCTTAGCGTGAGTGGATTTAGTATTTTTATGCTTAAATTGTTTATTCGAGTAAAGCATACACAATACATAGAAAAACAATAAAAAAAATTATTCCACTCAACAGTAAGACACACACGTACGTTTATTCGGAATTAAAGTAAAATGTAATGGGGGCACAATTTATTACAATGCAGTGATTATTTTAGAATTCTAATTGGAAACCCAGCGACATTTAAACCTGAAATTCATCAAAATATAAAGAATGTGCCAAGACAGCACTTTGATGGTTTGATCACTTTTTTCCTGTAACAACTTAAAAAAAGAGCCCAAAGCAACACACGCACCTTTGTACAGCACTTAAATGTCAACACTTAAAAAGTCAACGCTCGTAAGCAAAGCCGATTCATATCCGTGCCCATTATTCTACATTGTGCCTGAGAACAAATGTATTCACAAGCTCCTTTTCGACCTTCAAAAAACTTACCATTATAAAATCATTAAAAAAAAACTTTCTCAGACGTATGGTAACTGCATTCCATAACTTCTTCTTGGCGATGAACTCTCAAGGAGACATTTCCCTTAACAGAGACTTCTGCATTTACCGTTTCTTTCTTCACTCATTCACACTCCCACTGCAGCAACACAAACCCTAAAATCAAATTACGAACATTTCCAAAACTAAACGAGTATAAACATTTTTTTCGCATTTATAAAGCGCCCTTTCTAGGACGCTTTAAGATGAAATCCGACGGCGGCGTTCAGCGAGGAAGGTGATGGAATGGATGGAGGGCCAGGGGCTGGCGCTGATGCGGCAGGGGTAGGCAAGGCAGAATAAGGTGGAGTGTGATGTGAGTCCGCGTGTCTGATGGGTGCAGCGTGGGTGAGAGGCAGTGGGGTACGGGGCACATGCGTGAAGTTGTAAATGGCCATGGATGAGGATAAGTGGAGGGTGGTAGGGGCAGAGGTCTGGTGGCCAGACAGTTGAGCTTATGGAGGAGCGCCGTGTAGGGTTGGGGAAGAGATATGGCCATGTGCACAAAGAGAGCACGTCGGTGCCAGGGAAAAGGTGGACAAAGTGAGGAGAGGGGGCGTGGAAAGGCCTGGTGGGGGGGGGGGGGGGGGGATCAAGAACGGCAACTTCCACTTGTTTGTAAGATAACTTTAACTTGCTAAGCGTCGCACATTATTCTCTCACATTGGGGCGGTGGACATGGCCCCCGACGGTAGCACGTATCGCCGCTCATTCCCACGTGTTTGCGGTTCGCATGCAACGGGTATCCCCAATAAAGAAAACAAAAATATATATATACGCCGCCTGCTTCAGTTTGACGGTAAACAGTAAGTCCTTTATTTACGTTGGAGATGCGTCCCTGGGAAACACGACTTAAAGTTGAATGTAAATCAAAAGAGAATTTACCATTGACTTCATATTTTTGGGATACTTTTTTTGGTCAAAATTTGCACAAAAATATTAAAATGATTACCACAGCAGCTATGCACTTTTATATCCAGATTGGAAACTAATTTCTTTCTTACTTTTTCTCAATGCAAATCGGGACGTCGATCGCGGACTCGCTGTACTGGTGCGTTGTTCACAAGACAGCATTTCCTGCACCTCCGATTGGCGCGGTTGGCTACTTATGGCGCAAAAGAAGTTCCAACATAATAATTTCACTTTATATAGCGTCATTCATTCAATTTAATCCCAAACCGCTGCACAGAAATTATCCAGTTCCGTACATATACACACGCATACGTGTGCTGGCGTCGGAATTAAGAGTAAAAAAAACGCCCTGCAAAATGGTCAATTGTACTACATATACATCAGCCCACCACTGAAACTTGCAGGACCCTTCATAGAAAAATCACGAGACTTTCAGAATTGTACACTTAATTTTTTTTGTGTGCTTTAACTTTCCTCGCCGCTGCTATAATGCAATTCGGGGGAGGTGGTGGCGTAATGGTTAGCGCACTTCGCTATGAAGCAAGCGATTCAAATTTAAATGCCAGACATCGCAAACAACCATTGCGAGTGTTATCCGAGCCGGTCCTTGACCCCCACCTTTACCAACCCACAGTGGCCAGACTGGTGAAGTATGGTCAAACAACCCCCATATCTGACAGCGTGGAGAGGCCTTCATCCAGCAGTGGATAGACAAAGGTCTTTAAAATAGAATCATTATAATGTAAAGGGCTCCTACGCTAATTGAAACTCAGTTATATGCCTTTGCCACAATATTTCACAAAGGTGGCTCTCGTGAGCTCTGTTCAAGCGCAAATGCCTCTGGGCTGGAAACTAAATGGGGAAATCATTGAGGTCTTCCTCCTTATCGAGGCCAATGGAGTAGCCAAAATCATCGTCCTGCGCTAGCAGCCCCTCCAAGAAGTCCGTGTCCTCATCCGTGCTCTGGTGGTCAGCCAGCCAGAGGTCGTCCTTATCTTGAACTCCCTCGCCACTTTCTGCAACGGCACATCAAACAAACTTCAGCTACCAAACACCCGGACTGGCGGACGTAGGTGGAAAGAAGTCCTACAAAGTGAAGACACGAGGAAAGAGTGAGAGCTCAAGTTATGTGGTGAAAGCCAAGGTCTCAGATACTGTTGTGAGTTTTAAGGTCTGGATCAGACAGCTTCACAAAGGCCGTCCTGTACGCATGTTGCACTTCTTTCGCACCGTACGTAGCCAACCGTGCTCATCAAGGTGCGGGAGGACAACTGAAGACAAAAGGCTATTCTAAACAAATGAGTTTTCAATCTAGATTTAAAAGTGGATAGCTCCTATGGCTTCCGAATATCAGAAGAGCATTCCAGACGGCCACAGAAGCACATCTGAAAGGAAGCAATGCAGTGACCATCTTTGTTCTATGGCTAGCCAAAATATTCTGCTGCGAGGATGACCGGAGTTCGCGTGATGGTTTATGCTCCTTGACGAGATCATCAAGGTACTGTGGTTCATTTGTGGCAAGCGCACTTTGTGTGTGATGAGTGCGACCTGGTGTCCCGAAGCATTCGCCAAAACCAGGTGAAGATGTTCTGGTCTCATACTTGACTCGTGATATGGACGATGGGCGGTGCTTACCTGAGTAATGGGCGGGGGCTACCCAAGCAGTTGGCAGGGCTAAATGAGCCTGTAACACCCTGCACCACCGTGTGATCGAGCATCGCAGTATTTGGAGTGCGTGCGTGTACCTTTGGAAGGAGCATCTTCAAGGATGTCGACCTCATTGGGTTCACCAACCATGCCCTCTGGATCCTTCTCCCCACCTGGCTGCAATGAGCGCAGAGACCGACACCGTCTACAGACCAGGCATTCTCCACGGATCATGCTCACCTCTACTTTACTAATTAAATAATCGGTGACGTGTAAAATACTGACAACCCACATATATAAAATAAGGTAACCCACGCTGGTTGCATTGCAACTTGTCAATCTGCGATTGATAAGTTCGTATCGTCCTCCCCCTACAGGTGGCCAAACTTGTCAATTCATTTACTTCCAGCCACTTCATGCAAACACTCTTAACAAAAACCTTCCGCACGTTTTTGCATTTTTCCAGACATTGTCAAATGTTTTATAATAGTGCTTCCTTCAATGCAAACTCTTTCGCAAATGCAGGGCTGCAACTTTACATGTTTTAATCCATATGGGGAGTGGACGGGGGGGTCGGGGGTGGAGGCCAGGGTGGGTGGGAATCAACTGTTCTGTAATTAAAACATCACCTCAGTACAGCTGTCCAACATTATTTAATTGGTCAAAAGGTTCAAGGAAACGAGACCCGAGCAGGTACAGGCCATAATAGACGGCACACCCTAAATATACAAACACACATCCACGTCATCCGAGAAACAATTCCTTTCCCAAGAGTAAATCCCGAGCCAACACTGCCAGCAGGGGACGCTGCCCACTCTCCGTACCTGCTTCTGGGCCTTCGTCATGCCCCGCTTGCTCGATCCACCACGCACTTGGGAAGTCTGCCCGGAGCCGCTAGCCTGCAGGTGCTTCTGCAACGCGGTACATCCAGCAGCGCAGCGCAATAGAACGATTTAATCCAAAGGTGAAAAACGTGCACGCACACACGCGCCGTGCCCAGAACTCGCGCACGCACAGCATTAAACCCTTGAACCCAACAGACGCCTCAGCTGCTGTCACCTACTCAGCTCAGCACTGTGTGCGTACCCGCGTCGTTAATTACCTCCGCGCTTTGCTGTGGTGAGTGGAACATGATCGTCAAAACTTGAAACGCAACTGCTCGTGCGCTCTCCAAAAAACGGTAAGATAATCCAGGGGGGGTGACACGGAGAGTTAAAAAACGTGCTGCACTACGAACCGGGCCACGGCTAGCAATATCCTACGCACCACCTTCATCCGCATTGATCAGGGTGAAGACGTATGGTCAAACAATCTCGATGACTCACGCAGAGTGGAGGCCTTCACTATCCTGACAAGCGGTTGGATGCTATTATATTATAAGCTATTAGTCAAATAAAAAAAACATCGCCGTACTATTATAGAGCCTAGAGACAAGCTACGAAACTGTTATTGCCGATAAGACAATTCTTAGAGATGCTCCAGGTCTGAATGGGCTCTTATCTGCTTTAGGGATCATCTATCTTTCAATCTTAATAAAACAGCAAGGGCATTCGCAGACGCCTAGTCTTCTTTTTCATTGGTGGACACAAAAAGGGAAACACTGTTTTCCACAAGTAACGCACACAGAGGCGAGGACGCGTACAATACGGGCAGATGGCTAGAGGCAGGATACCGCGTCTGCAGGAATTGGGAGTTGTTGTGGCTCGCCCAAGGCTTGCCACACAAAACCGTAGCTCTTCCGCTGGGCGCGCCGAGTCTGCATCCTCCTTGAGCTTCGCCATTCGAGGAAAAATCGGAGCGCCTTCCATTGCGGCCATGGGACAGGAACATGTGTGTATTAAAAGTGGCACGCTCTGTCATGTGGGCATTGGAAAATGTGGACATTTGAAATTTGACCGTGTAAGGTAGGAAAGGTGATCTTTGGATGAATGGTGGTAATATTAGGCCCGAGGTTTCCTTTGCAAGCGACCTGTTGTGTTCATGGGCTCTTGGGGCTTGTTGCGTCAACAGGGGACTTGGATGAATGATTGGTGACCGAGTCTGAGTACAAGCACAGCTGAAGATATCACGGTTCGGGTTCAAGTGTGAGTCGAAGGCTGAATACAATTGACCATTTTGTGCTTGAGATTTTTTGGAGAAAACAAAAATGCCTTGGAATGTATGTGGTGAAAGATCCTACACAGGCAATGGCCAAATCTTGAATTGACAACAACAGTGTGGGGTAGAGGAGCGAAGAGGCAGTCGTAAATTATGGCCAGAACATAGGACAGTGGATTCTCAGAGCGTGCCCACCGATGGTGGTCCGCCGGTGGTCCTCCAGGCTGTGATGCCAACGCAGGTTAATTTGGACAATGGCAACATTTTTACCTGTTGTGTCAGACATGAACATTTTACTTATATTAAATTTAACATTTTAATGAGGTAAACTATCTAAGATCTAAATGCCCCCCCCCCCCAAAAAAACCTTACGGCTGCGTAAAAAAATTATGATCCAGTAATATAAATAATTTGGTATGACTGGTATTGAGAGAGAGAAGTGAATGTGTTTGGGTGGGGTGGGGCAGAGTGGTCCATGGGTCAAACAAGTTTGAGAAACACCGCTATAGGACGACTGCTTACGATAGAAGGATAGGAGCCATCCATATAGTACGCACGCATGGAGGGGGGGTTAACTCAAATGCGTTCTCTTGCGTATGGGGGGGGTCTGCTGACAATGTACGCATAGGAAACGGGGGGGGGGGGGGGGGGGAGGTGAAGCCTCGATAATAATGTCTACATTCGGCCTTCAAATGAGCCACAGTTCAATTTCTTCAGCTGCCAGACAAGAATTCCAGGGAGAAGTGGGACTGTGGGATGGGAGAGGTGTCACTTGTATCACGCTGCTGTGCTTCAGCCTGACAGTGCACGTGTTGATGAAATCCATAGAACACGTCACCCGTTCGACTGGGTTCACCGGCGTTTGAACCTAGCGGACACGAGACAAACTAGTTTTTATTTTCGGATTGCGAATTGGATAACGTATTAATGATCATGCAGCTAGTGGGAACATTATATATGTTCTAATGTCTGTGTGGGCTGAGGTAAGCATGTCAAATCAGAGTATAGTGAAGGGCTGAAGTTGGATGTCACGATGGAAAAAAGCCACAATGCCATGAACTTTCCCTCCGCTTGTGTGCAAGTACCACGTCCTGACAACTGGCAGAAAAAAAGATTGCCTTCCATTAAAAGACAGAGAATGCAACTGGGCTTTGTGTTCTGTTTCACAAGCATAGGCACCGGTGTGGCAGTGAAGTGGCATGGCTATACACTGCTGATGATCCCATGTAAGAGTGAAAGTGGTTCAATCACCGGGACTTTTTAACTCTTCTCTTCTGGCATTTGTGTAAAGTTGAACATAATTCTTCCAATCCTGCCTTCTCTGGATATGGCAATCAGTGCATGTAAGCCTATAAAATTGCCCTCGATGTCATAAATTCACCTTATGCATGGATGCATAACTCAAACAATTAAAATGACCAAACACTTAAGTTAAAGGTGTATTAGCAGGTGTTGAGACACACCTGTTAATACAGTGATTGCTGGAGGGTTGCTGGATCACACAGGGATCAGCTAGAAGGCAAAAGGGCAACACCGGGTTGGGCAATTCTGGAGTTGCCTGTACAGCCGAGTTTGAGTGATATATTGCCTGTCATGCATGGATTTCGTCGAGGCACACTGCGATCCAACACTTTGGCAGGCAAGGGTTGGGAGATCATGTATATTTGCGAAATGCTCAAAACCTGCTGCACTGCGAGTACGCATGTACGATGGAACTTCTTTCGCACCGTACGTAGCCAACCGTGCTAATGGCTGTCCAGCCAGTGGATTCACGGATCTGTCTGTGCAGACATTTGAGTGCAAGCCCCTCACATTTGTGGGGTTTCTGCTGCTGTACTGGTATCCTATCATGTGCACATTTTTTTTTCAAATTAAATGGAAAAAATCCCAACCCTCCTTGAATGACTGAAAACCGATAATTATTCAGGTTAAAAATATATAACGGCTTTTTCACGTAGATGCACATTAACAATGGTATTGGTCATCTATAAATGTGACCACTTATAGGTACAAATAATCAATACTCAGGGAGGAACTGGTCAAACATCTCAAAATCAGGACTGTTGAGGGAAAAAAAGGTCTTGAGACTCAGCTGCACCTTTCTTCGGCAATAGCGATCATTTAGACTCCACGCAGTGATCGCTTGTTGCTTACCAACAACACATCTGGGGCCTTCAACACTACCAAGGGATCAATATAAATTCAACTCGTAGGCCAGGGCAGGGGAAAATGTTGAAGGCTCTGGTGCCGGCCGATTGTTTTGCCACTTAGGCCGTGGCGCAACAACCACGCGTGTGGGCGAAAATGCGTGCGGGAGGGGGGGGCAAATCTCGGCGCAGGGAAGCCAAGTGGGACCGGCGGTTGGGAAAGTCCGCGTTGGGTGCAGCGACGAAGCGTCCGGGGCGTTTGTTCAGGAGGGGCGTGAGAACTGGTGGCATGAGGGTGCGTGGGGGACGCTGCACTCGGCCGGGCCTTCCCGCGCGTATACCTGAAGTTTGAGAAAGTGAGCGCGCGAGCGGCAGTGAGCCAGCCTCGCCGAGGGCTCCGCGCGGTAGAATTTTTGACACAGGTGGCAGAGCAAGCCACTGACGGTGACGACAAACTCCTCGCCTGTTGGGGGGGACAGGGAGAGGGAGGGCAGAGCAAGGGAAGGCACGAGAGAGCGTTGGGTGTGCGTGCGAGGAAGGAGGTGGAAAGATCGGGGGAGTTCCTCGTGCGTGAAGTGAAAAAAGGAAACGACTGCTCCCTTTAAAGCGATCCGACGATAGCAGGAGATTGAAGGCAGTGGTGGCGAAAGGCTTCTCATTTAAATCGTGAAAGTTCCAGAGTTGAGAGTGCTTGCCAAAGGATGGCGTTTTGCGTGTGAAGGAAGACGCGAAAAACACAAAGACGGAGAGAAGATGGGATCACAGGAAGGGTGGATAAGAGGGGGGGACACGGAGATCTGTGGGTGGGCGCGCAGACGGGATTGTTAATACGATGAGCAGCCACCAGCCCAGCTGCAGTGAGGGAAGGAACAGCCGTGGGCTGACAGACATGGCAGGAAAATCCTCCTCCTGGCTCGTGGAATCATAGAAGTGACTTCTCAGAGAGGAATGTGGTTATATGGACAGAACATACCCTCGCACACGCCAAGCGGTCCAAAACTATTCCATAACCCCGGCAATGCCTGTTGACCTCCCTCATCGTGAGTACTGGATGGTTGGTGCTCATGTCATCTTCTCAATCTTATCCAGCGTTGACCAGCCACAGATTGGTACTCAGCATTGTGCTGGTTTAACTGGCTGTGGGTGGGGTTACGTTCGCCATGTCTGGGATTTGAAAATTACATATACTGTGTACAAATTAACTATTACAAATTATTCCTTTGACAGAAAAAAATAATTAACTTTTTGGCCAGCAGGCCATGAACAACAATGTTTTACATGGAGCATTATGGAGCACGAGGAACTTAGATTGAGTCATGATTTTAGCACCAATGAATAAGTCACAGCTGATTGAAATACCCCAACGGCATCAGGATGCCTGGACATTACAAGCAAAAGCCATCATTAGGGTATGAAGGCAATTGGAAAAAAACAGTTAAGATGTTAAATCAACAACCCTCCTTTCGTCTGTATATACTGCAGAGGCAAGTTCTGTGATTAACAAAAAAATCTGCTAAGGCCAGCAATATGTACGAGGTGGTCATGTGGACAACACCATTGCATCAGATGCTTATTTTAGGACGAGGCCTTGTTCACTTGCAACTTCTTGCGAGAGCACTGGAATAAACCAGTGCTAAACTCAACACAGTTTCACGCACTCGCACACAACCACTGCAGTAAATGCACACAGCATCCACACATCACGCGTGTGAAAAAATCCGGCTAGTTCTTACACTCGGATTTAGATGACGATTCTTCCATATGTAAGATGTGTTTGATAGGAGTTTTATAACCCCAGAAGTTATAATAAAAATATGAATTTTAGGACCTCTGTAGTTATTTGGTACTATCTACATAACGCACTACACAACACAGTATAGGTGATTCATAGTATGGGCAATATTGCTAGCGTCAAGTGCCATATTGACCGATACCTTGCTAAAGAGGGTGACCCTTGATTTACGGTCTTACAAAAATAAGATGTGGTATTCATCACTATTTATCTCACTACGGCAGGAGAATGCAATACGGATTATAGCTTTACTATTTAATTATTGAGTGATACCTCATATCAAGCACGAACTAACAGGCATCACATCAGCATCAAGCCATTAATTGCATTGCCTAGCTCTCACGTAAAGAGTGCGAGAAACACTAATTGATCACTTAAGAGAAGCCAATACTACGTTAGGCGTTATCCAAAAATTACTTGAATTTTAGCTGCTGCCCAAAATGGGGAAAAGGCTTTCCCTGTTTGTGGAGAACCACAAGGAGGTGTGTTAAGTAATGTGCAGGAACCCAAGGCCATAAATCCTCGGCCGAAAATCTTTGAACTCAATGAGGTAACAAAGCAGGCAGCTCCACGTCTCGTGTCTTACCGTACGCCACCTTGGGGTTAAATTCCATCTCCGCAGCATTTCCCCCAACACCCATCGCCTACATACACAGACACACAGGTAAATTGATCAGTGTTAGTCGGGCTCGACTGGGGCGAGCGCCGTTAGTAAACCCTGTGAATGCTCGCGTTGTGGCGAGTTTGTCAACGCTAGTGGGCCCAGCTCAGAGGCGTCGCCACAATTATTGAGCAACACACACAGATGTGGCATTCTAGAAACTGTTCCCAGGCCGCACAAGTGCCACGCACTCACAAAGTGATCACAATTCCCCCATCTAGTCTTCCAGCCCCTAAGGGTTAAGAGCTAATCATTGAGCACATTCAGATCGGTACGGTGCGAAAGAGATTGGCGTGACCAGTATTACGCCCGACAGACATTCTGTTCCCTAGTGCTGTTTACACACCACACCAAGTCGTCATTTAAGGCCGAGTCGAACGAGGCCAGACCCAGTCCAGGTTTATTCCAACGGAAAGTGATGGATGTACATCAAGGTCCACAGCTGAACCCCAGTTGTCGATTGGGAGCACAATGTGCGACCCACGATGTCACCGCTCTCAATACAAAAATCTGAAAAACTATGCTGGCAGCAAAAAAAAACTGAATCACCTTTTTGTTGAATTTTTCTTTGACGATCTCCGTGCCCGATTGGCTTCCTCCTATCTTGCCGATGTCCTCATCTTTCTCTTTGACGTGGAACTTCTCCTCCTCGCGGTCATCGTCATCATCATTATGCTCGTCGTGGGATGCAGCGCTGTCACTTGCCGGCCTCACGACTTTTCTCAGCTTCTTGATGGCACAATCCCCGGCGGACTCCTCATTATCCTCATCCTCCTCGTCCTCTTCTTCGTCCTCTTCCTCGTCCTCCTCATCTCCATCCTCGAAGCAGCCCACGGCGTCCACCGTTATCAGCTCCTCCGTTGGCCCTGGGCTCTGTCCAGATTTCCCTGCATTGCCGCTCTGCACCTGTCGAAAGATTAAAATAATATTCCTACAAAAAACGCTAACGTGGTTTGAATTCATAAACTGGTGACAAAACGCAGCCAAGCGGTAGCACATTTCTGCTTGTTGTATGTGTTGTGACATATCATGGGTCACTATGGCGCCTAACGCCATCTACCGACAGAGAGAGGAGTTGCATGTGTAGAAACTCTCTCTGCCAGCAGAGTACACGATGTCACGGGAGAGGTCTCTAAGGGAGCATGGTTCTGGGGGCTGGCAGAGTAGGGGGCATTTGAGGATGTAGTAGCCAGATTGGCTGGCAAGATCACGTGATAGGGCAAGGTGAGGATGTAGGCCAATGGTGACAGAAGGGACACGTGTTGTAGGGCCCAGAACCTTCTAGTCGGTTCCACAAGAGGGCGTGTCCGAGGGCGCAGAGGGCCACGCCGAGGGGCATAAAAGGGGAGTCCCGGGGCTGTCTGCTCGAATGGAACCCGCCGTGTTATGTCTTCTCCTCGGTCTCCGGTCTTCGTGCTCGGCATCGTGGGTCAGGCAGTGTGCCGACTGACCTGACCCGTTTATATAGTTACCCCGCGGTGGTTACCAGTTATGTAGTTATCCCGTGGTGGTTACTGGTTATGTAGTTACCCCGTTGTGGTCGTAGAATAAACTTGTTGCCTCCTGAATTAGTGTGTCTCTCAAGTGAACCCACTACATCTGTATGTATGTATGCATGTTGAACTTTTATCGCACCGTACGTAGCCGGCGTTCCCCTACTTACCAGCTGTGCGCGCTGTCTGTGCTCCTCCGAGCTCATGTGCTCCACGAACTTGCGCACAGAACGTGTGTTCCACCTGCAGATGGTGCAGTACGGTCTGGTCGAGTTCTTGGCTTTCTGCACGCACACAACAACAGCAGCAGCAGCCAGGGTTTGTCACCATGTGGCGGTAACATTACAATGATGCACATGCCAGGTTAAGTACGCATTGAGGCTTTGTAGAGCATTATGCTATGATTTTACAAACACTTCCAGAAAAAGGAACAGCCCCAGTTTCATCGCAGGATGAGCAGTATGACCCAGGTCCACGCTCCCATACTCCACAAGTCTTGACGTTCCAAAGGCTCAGCAATTCCTGCTCGATCTCCCATGACCCCTACACCTCCCTACTCTCTATGCTCAAGAAAAGATCTTCATTAAAGTTTGTTTTTAATAATGGTTGCTCGGCTGCCTCTCTCTATAAAACTACGATGCACACTGCATCTATATAGCATCTTGAGATGCAGCTTTGTTTTAAGACACCCTGAAATCCAGTTTTTTTTTTATCAACACAGGCTTGTATTAGTGGTGACAATTACATCGGCCCTGGTAAAACTGGGCAACATGAGAGCGTTTTGGAAGCTCAGCTCCCGAGGCCGTTGGCGTTGGGCTGACCGGGAAGCTGTGTCCGTGTCGAGTAGCCAGTGTGCGCGTGCCAGCGTGCTCTCCCAGTGGCTGTGCACGCGAGAGCATCTACCTTATGTATCTGGCTGCGCCGATGTTCCACCACGTTGCAGGTGAAGTATTCCTTGCACGTGCTGCACCAGCGGGAGGCTGGCTTGCCGAGACTGTGGCAAACACACACGCAACACACGTGCCAACATTAACACAAACCAACCGTGGGTCAAGGGGCTACACGACTCATATCGAAGCACTACGCCTACACCAAATAGATCCTGGATGCCTGCTTTCCGCTTTCAGTAGGAACTAGGGTTTCTGCGAAATTATTTTTCACAATACAATGGCATCAATTTCAATATTACATTTATTGTGATATCAATTGCCCATAAAAGTTAAATTATATTTAACATTTTAACTGTATTGTTTTCGTTATGTCTATACTTCAGTACAAATAAACATGACTTAAAAGTTCCTCAATTACAGTGCACTAAGTTTGAAACCCTGATAATTATCCCAAAAGGGTGCAACTGTGCAACCTCCAATGCTGACAATGAAGAATGTGTCAGTTACACAAAAAATAATGAAGTCACCTAAACAAGCCACAAAAAAGACATAGTACACCTGCCTGCGAATTACTACGGAAACATTTTGGAATGCGCCAACTTGAAAGGAATTTGCCTGCACTGCTGCAGAAATCCTGATTCAAATCCTAAGAAGGCCCGAAGCAGTGCATGGCTAAAGCTTGAGAAAATTCACACTCAATACGAAGGCCAATCCAGAGAAGCACACTTGAACGTTGAATATCACCTTAAGTGGATGGATACCATGTTATTAAAACCCAAGCCTAGCTTCGAACTGGTTTAAGTGGTGAGATGTTAACTGCCTCATCCAGTATATAGGAGGTTGTGGGTTCGATCCCGACCCTGACGCCTGCTGTATATTTGGAGTTTGCATGTCTCTCTGCCTGTGGTCACGTGGATTTTTCTCCGGGTCCTCCCGATTTTCCCCTCCACATTTAAAAACACGAGTTATAGAGTATTTGGCCGCATAAAATCCACTTTGTTGAGCTATTATTTGTGGCCAGGTCGCCTCTGAAAAAAAGCTAATAGCTCAGTGGGCATTACCCGGTTAAAAAATAAGTTTTTTTTAATCGATTACATACACCGTGGGGGAGTGGGCGGGAGGGTTGGAGGGTGGTAGGGCAGCGCTGGTGGGACTCACTCAGGCGACACGACGCTGAGGAGGCAGTGTTCAGCTGATTTGGAGCCATCCTGGGCGAGCAGCATGGCGACCTGCACGCTGCTTTTCTGCTGCACCTCCTGCATGCAGCGTGCGTGCATCGCACCGTTCATGTGGTTCTTGAAATGCTGCGGGGTGAGAGCATGGGCGCACAACGCTCCCGCATCAGCCGAGCAGCAAAGCAGGAAAAAGACGAATCGGTAAACAAACAAAAAACTAGAAGGACCCAAAGAGTTAATCTGCATGATGATTCAATAACTCGTCACGAATTGTCTATTCTTATTGTGCTGTATGTACCGTCTAATTTGCACCGTTTCTTGGAGTGTTTTGCTCTCGTTTGTGGAGTTTTTTTTTGTTTGTTCGATCCAAAGTGTCGATTGGCATGTTTTTTGCATATATAATCGAGTTTCATGTCAATAATTCAATGCATTCACCACGAGTATAAACATCCACATTAATTGGTTATGACATGCAACTTAGACAAACTAAAACAATATCATGCGGCGAGTGCCAATTGATGGGCGAGTGTGTCAGGTTACCCACTTTGTTCACAGCCGTGTCCAAATGTGTTTACCAAAACAGTGCAAAGGAATCCCAATGGGCTATTTTCCAGTGACTTGGAGGATGCAACTGATGTGGTCTTTATCAGCCAAGACACTTGGCTGGGGCATTGCTGTTTTTTTGGCAGTTTTCGTTACTGAAGCTGGGCACTGGGGGCCTGCGTTGCAGCTTTTTCGAAACGAAGCTGCCAACTGTAGTTAGGAGTGGTTCTCAGTAGGAATAATCAGAGGCGCTAGGGGAGTTTATCCATTAGGCCAGTCGTGTGAGCAATGCAGGAGGTTGGGATGAAGAGATGTTCCGTGTCAGCACAAACATTTTACCACTTTGGAAGGGAAGACAGGTCAACTCCGGTGTTAACAGACAAGTGTCTGTAACTGTGAAGACCAAAAAGTTGAACTCTAAGTAACAGCATTAATGTGTATACAGTAATGTATATTTATCCAGAAATGTACTCTTTACAAAGAAGACAAAATTTCTATATTGGAAAATGACAATTTCCAATGCTTAAATCCAAATTCATAATCCTGCACTTCACTATAACAGTAATAATGCACTGCTCTAGAATGTTTAAGTCAATGATTGTAATGCCTCCCTGTCAAGGGACACAGGCCAATACTTAGGAAATGACCAAACAACATCACAACCCATACCTTGTTCTACCAGAATAACCCAATGACAATCGTTCTAGTGATGAACAAACTAAATCAAGTCCATATATTTGTGCCTTAGTTATAGCGCTGCAAGGCGATCATGAAGGCACCATGCTTCAGCCTTCTGTAGTTTCAGTAGAGGGCAATGATACAATGTTATTCCCAATTAAGTACGTTGTGGGAAAATGTTCTAATTTGGACTATGACACCGGCATTAAACGGATTATTATTTTTGAATAACGTAACGGCATCGTTGACGTCCACTGTGAAGCAAGCGGAATGCATTAGTGCTGCAACAAGTGGCGGACGCGCTACCGCTCGACCGCGTCACTGCCCCGATGATAACCAAGACAACATGATGCCCAGCAGTCTGACACGAATGCAGAGGAGTGCAGGCGGCACCCGATTGTTGGCGCAGGTGACGTTGCAGAGGTGGCACGTGATGGGAACTTTGTCTTCCACCGCGTCGCTCTTTTCTGTATGCTTCTGGCTCGGACTGCCACCCTTGAAGGCTCTGCTGCTCTCTCCGCGCTGAATCGTCATTGTCAGCAGGCTCTTCTGCGGCAAAGGCCATGCAGAGGACGAATACACAATGAGGGAGATGGATGGGAAGGAATTTCACCGAGCAAGATCGACCACTATCACGGCGGCTAGGAATGGTGGAGGGTACACGGGCAGGTGGGTCGTTTGATGAGCGAGTGGATAAGTCAGTGAATACGTTATTATGTATGTGAACAGCCAAGCAAGTAGACAGACAGGAATGCAGGTAGGTAAGTAGACAGGCTGGAAGGTAGGCAGGAAGAAAAGTAGTTGGATAGGCAGGCAAAGTCAGATACATAAGCAGGCAGACAAAAAGGGAGCTGGGTAGTAGGCTGTTAGGAAGGCAGGCAGGTAAGGAGGTAGCAAGTAGCTAGGTCGGCACGGAAGTAGCTAAGTAGGCAAGAGCCTCCTACCTCTGAACTGTTCTTGTCATTTCCATCGGCAGCAGCCTCAGTGCTGCTCTCTGTTAACACATACAGAATTCATTTCCCATACATTCTTATTATATATATAGCACATATGCCGATAGGCTCTGTACATGCAAGCATATTCTACATGTAGATTGCAGCACAAGTTATGTATATGCATATATTTAACTGTGGATGGTAGTGTACATTTTCAGAGTAATGCCACTGACTTAATTACAAAAAATCTACTTTTACAACCTCAGTGTTTAGCCTGAGACCCTATAACAACGATTTAGAGCCCTTTTTCAATCCACTAGTGGACACGTGTCCCATATACTTCGTTGGTTATGGGGGCTGTTTGACCATACTTCACCACACTGGTCAGAATAAGGTTGGCAAAGGGGGGCAACGTCCAGGACTGGTTCAGGTGTCTTGTGTCACACCGCTATGAGCCGAGGCCGCGCACCAAACTCAAAAGCACGGTGCACTGTGGCGATGTTCTACTGCCAGAAAATAGTCCCCAATTGCCAGTTCTATTCTTGTGTTTGGCAATATGTACAGGAACTAACTTGCAATTTCGAGATCTGCCAGTCACTGCAGGGCTTGAGCACAACAGTACGTGAAGGTTTGCTATCTCTCCGTTGAAGGAATGCAGAAGACAGTGGTTTACTAAATATGGGCCATAGTTTGAGTCGCAGTTACCACAATCGCAGTGTGGCTTGACTTTAATTTCCATTTATGAAGGAGTTATGCGCAACGGCCTGTTGATGTAATAATAATTACATTTACGTAGCGCTTTTCATCAAGGATCTCAAAGCGCTGTCAAGAGCCAGGAGGTACAATGTTTGGGTCTCAAATTGCCAGTGTAGCTGTACAAATCATGTACGTATCAGTGCATCGATGCGAACATGAGCGATTAATTAATTAATTTTGCGTGCATCATACGAACTAAGTTAGACCAATGTGTACGTGTATGCGGGGTGTGTGTGCGCATAGATGTTTACGCTTGTGTCAAGAGGTTTCATTTCCCCCACCGTTGTCGCCTTTGTTCCCATCTTTGGCCGAGGCGTCGGAATGCTTCTCCAAATCCTTCGCTCCGTCGCGACTGTGAACATTACAACAAAATAAAAAAACCTGCAAACGATTCTGTTCAACGGATCGTTGAAATGATCCTGGTCTCTAATATCTGGCAGTTTACCAGCATTGTTCCAAGGAAGCCAAGACTTTAATGGGACGCTGTGTGGAAACCAGTCCAGTTTGTTTGCACTTAATCAATGCTGCTGAAATTAAATTTCGATTTAAAGCTTTCGTGACTGCAGGGATTTATCTTCTTGGTTCGTGACTGCTGATATTATTCACTCCCAGAAGGCCATATGAAGGAGACATTGTTTTGTTGTCTGTTATTTATATTCTCCACAACAATGCAAATGATTATTTTGAGTTATTTTTTTTGTAATTGTACAAAAAATTTGGACCCATGTTTTAAAGAGACGGTCCTTATCTTCAAAATCTGGCCTGTTCAACAGCATTTTTGCAAGCAAGCATGACTGCTGATAAGCCACGGTGATGAAACCAGTCCAGTTTGTTGAATCAATGGTGTTGAAATTATTTACCCTCAGTAGGCCGTAGGGCCGATGGATTGTGCACATAATAACTTTTATGTTGTTTTGTGGAGACAGATATATATCAAGGAGATTGTCTTCTTGTCTCTGTTGCTACATATTTTTTCAACAAAGACGGTATTGATTATTTTGACTTCTAAAAAATTAGGTTTTCCTGGGTACAAAAACATATTATTACCATTCTGAGAAGCCTCTCTGAGAAGCATTAGCATTGCTAAGCTCACAAATGCATTGAGTGAAGTTAACCTTCGCAATTTACCTGGAGCCAGAGAGCGAAGATCCACATGACTAAGTGTGAGGGTAACCTCTGCTGAAATTAGATCGTCACCGTCAACTTCTTTGAATTAAGTCAAGCGACTCGACCACATTCCGCCATATTACTGACCTAAGATAATAAGAATACTTTCATTTTATAAAGTTTCATTCATGCTAATAGGATCCCATAACGCTGTACATTAATTATATATAAGGACCCAAATCCAGTATACAGCCACTACCAAGCAAAGGAAAATCCTACTATCAGGCAAAATACTAAAAGAATAAACAAATAAAGAAATGGCAAATGATGATCAAAGTCAAATATGTTCAACCGAGATGATGCTGGTCAGAACTGAACTCCTATTTTCACAATCTGTCCTCCCAAATGAGAAAGTCCTGCCATGTAACATGGACATTATCATGAAACATTACTGGTTGGACTACAATGGGCTACAAAAAGAAAACGTGGTGATGTATGGGTGTTTATAAAACACAGAATGGCTGGTTTACAAAGAGGAAGTGGATTGGGATGTGTGAATCTTACGTCTGTAGCTTGGCTTTCTTTTCTGGGGGTGCTTCTGAGCCATGTTTTCCTGCTGTGCTTATCTGAGAATCCCCAGTGCCCCCAACACCTGACCAACACAGACACAGCAAGACACAAATCAGGTTACCATAAAGCAGCTATCCTTGGGCTGCACCCATCTCAGGCCTCGCTGTGGCGGTAGCGACATTGACAAGCTCACCTCTCACAATACAATGGCCAGCAGCCCATCAGCTTTGGGGTGCCCTCGATCTTCCTTCTCTACAAATGGCATTTATATTGCACCCACAACTTAACAAGATGCCTCAGAGCACAATTGTGTAGACGAGGGGCCCCTAATGGGAGATTATTTTGTAACGCAAGCCCCAGTGGTATAGGACACGATTGCGCGAGACAGAGCGAGCAAGCAAACGAACACAGGGAAGGCAGCGAGACGCGCAAACCGGTGGCATCGCTTGCGAATGAGCAGCGGAATGACTGCATGGGGGTGGTCGTCCAGTGCTCGCCCAGCTGCATTGGTTTCCGGTTGCCGAAAAAAGACGTTGTAAGGTCGCACTCATTACACACAAAGGGCATGCTACAAATGAACCAAAATATATTTCTGATCTCGTCAAGGAGCATAAACCATCACACAAACTCTGATCATCCGCGCAGCAGCAGCAGCAGCTTTTGGCTAGCCATAGAACAAAGACGGTCACTGCATTGCTTCATTTCAGATGCGCTTCTTGCGGCCGTCTGGAACGCTCTTCCTTCTGATATTCGGAAGCCATAGGAGCTATCCCACTTTTAAATCTAGATTGAAAACTCATTTGTTTAGAATTGCTTTTTGTCTTCAGTTTGTTGTCCTCCCGCACGTTGATGAGCACAGTTGGCTACGTACGGTGCGAAAGAAGTGCAACATGCTTACATTAGTATATATGTCAAAGGGCTGCGAAAAGGCGGGTAGGGGAAAATTTGACAGAGGGAGGGCCCCCATTTCATTCCTTGCACCAGGGGCTATTCCAACCACGCTTGGCCACTGGTATCAGAATCATTATTTATCCTGGAGAAATCCGATGAGCTATGAAGCTCCTTTTGAGATGGCCAGTTGGGCCGGGTCAGAAAGTTACAACAACAATACAAAACACAATTCTAGTGCAAAGTATATAAAAGGTAAGCAAATCACTAAACATAAATATGTAAAATAAAGTATACGAGTTCAAATTGCACAAGTACACCAATTCCCAAACTTGCGCAAGACAGCAAAACAACAGCGAAGGCAGTCCCAGACCAGACAACACACAGTCGCCGTCAATAAAATTCCACGGAAATATTTAACAATCGATACATGAGCAAGGATGAAAGTTACAAATCACAATTGCAAAGGATTGTTGTATCCAGCACTAATCTTCTGCTTCAGGATATTTTTAGAAGGAAGATTTACGACGTTAAGGGAGGAAACAAGGTTGTTCCAAAACGTTGGTGCTGCAATGGCAAAGGCTTTTGCACCTCATCGCATTCTTGTTCTTGTATAAATGCGTCAACATCTCTACACCTCCGGCAGCCTTAACTCACCCACCCCGCCGCACCTACCATGCGTTCTTCCTCTGGAGGCGGTGCCCCCGTGCCCGTTGGCAGACTGTGACCGCTTGTTCGCGGCAGACGTGTTGAGTCGGCCTCTGCTGCTGCGCGTCTGCCCACCGCGGGCACGGCTACGAGACGCGACACGGTTGTCCCGCTCGTAAGGCTGTGACGACAGCAGTGACAGTGCGGAGGAAAAACTAAATGCTGATCACATGACATTATCCACGGAGATGTCTCGTACTCCATTGTCCTCCGCTATTATATTGTCTCTCCACTGGTGGATGAAGATACAGTAACCCTTGGTAGTTCGACACTGGAGTTCTGGTCTTGCCGAATTGTCCAATACTCCGAATTATGTACAATGGTACTCCCCAGTGCTTCCTGCCAGGCGTGTTGAATGTCCACACCGCGGACATGAACGCCAGCTGCACGCTCCTGTGTGTACCACTAATATGCCGCACCATCAAATCAACAAACTCTGCAGCGTTGATCCTCTTCTGTACCTTTGTGGAGCTGCTAGGATCCTCCAAGGTTAAGGCTCCCTAATCTTTTCCCGGCCTTTCTTGATGTCGTAACAGGTGCTTGATTTTATGTCAAACTGTTCACACACCATACGCATTGACATACCTGCATCAATTCTATCCCAAAACTTTGGATTTGTCTCACAGACTAAGGGATTTATACTCCAGTCCCTTTCTATTACTTCATGTAGGTGTAGACGACATTTCTGAGAGGGTTGGCTTGCACAGAGTGCATAAACAAGGTAAAATCCAAAGCAAGGTGTCTGCACTGACGCTCACCAGGCGCGCCGCCACCAGACTGAGTCACTGTTTTGGTCGTGGCGAGTGGCGTCGCTCCAAGTGTATGCCGAAATTGGACTATTCGGTACAGCAATTCGGCTCATGGCGAATTACTAATACAGCGTATGTGCCGAAGGCGCAGCCATGCCGAATTATCCCCAATTATGAATTACCAAAAACCAAAACAATGAGGTTTGACTGTACCTCCTTCACCATCATGATGAGACATTGTCTAACCACTGTCCTTTACATCAGCATGAGACTTTTTCTAGCCACTGCTCAATGAAGGCCTCCCCATGCCATCGCCATCCCTCTCCATTCTTTGATGCGGCAATCCATTTCACTCGAATCATCACTCCAATTCACATACGCAAGTATATACATCGATACAGATACCTGTGTAGCCTACATCACTCTTTAAAATGCTGTCAGTGAGAACCTATTAAAATAAATAAAGTGTCAAAAAGCCCACAAGGGAGTGATGTGGCAAGTATCATGCCTGGCAACTTTTAGCTGTTGCTAAAGCAAAAACAAGTGGAAAATTCCAGGCCATGTCATGAGAACTGATGGACACAATAAACTGCAGAAAGCAAATTAAAGTTCATTAAGCATAGGAGGACCGTGTAAGAGATAGTGGTGAGATGAAATCAACGAGTTCATAGGCCACTCCTGGTCAGGCGCAACTTAGTAAAGGAACGAAAGAAAACTGGGGAAGATTTTTTGCAGAAATTGAAAGTTTGAGGCCGACAACAACAATAACAAGCTTTCAACATGCAGCTGCCAACTGTAAATCAGCCACTTACCCCGACGCGTCTGCGCACTGGCAAAGGCAGGGGGGTTTGCAGCAAAGGCAGCACTGGCGGCGCCACTGCCGGCCGCGGCATGTCGGGGTCCCCCAGCAGGCTCGTCTGCGGGTGTAGGGTCTTCAAAAATGACTCACAACGACACGTTGTAACAAGTCACCTGCTTACACTTTATTCACCTATTCTTGCGCCAGTTATAGTAGGCACTCCTATAACTATCTGTACGGTCACATATACTTAACTTCTCCCCGCTATTATCTATTCTGCACCTCACTTATCCTGCACTCAGCGACTCCGCACACAGCGTCTTTGCACTCAGCGATTCTGCACACAGCAACTTCGCATCTTCACCGCTGTCCTCACCTACACTCCCTCAGACCCACTCTCCCGCCTGTCCCGGGCGGGGGGTTCAGCCAACACCCGCCCAGCGACGGCGTGAGGGTTGAGGTCCCGTTGATGGCTGGAATGGCAGCGGTGAGATGACTTCACTCTTGGTTCTCGGCAACAACTCCCCGCTCCGCTCACACACACTCCTGCTTATATCCCTCTGCTCATCCCTAGTCCTCACGTGCTTTCACTTAAGCTGCCGCCAGGCCGGCGCCAGTTGTCCCATTAACCTCTTATCACCCCCCATCTCCCGTCTCGGTCACAGCGTAGCACCTGTTCGACCTCAGCTGCACCCGGTTTCCCCCTTTTTTACTGGTGGTTTGTCTGTGCAAACCTCATGTCGCAACGCGCATACCTGTTTGCCCTCTGCTGCACCCGTTTAACTGTGTGCACCGCGTATTTCTCTCCTCTACGTGAGAACCTATTAAAAATAAAGTGTCAAAAAACCCACAAGAAAGGGGTGTGGCAAGTATCATGCCTGGCAACTTTAGCTTTTGCTAAAGTAAAAAAAAGTGGAAAATGCCAGGCCATGTCATGAGAACTAATGAGAGATGGACACAATTAACTGCGCAAGGCAAAATAAGCATGGAAAGACCGTGTAAGAGATAGTGGTGAGATGAAATCAATGAGTTCATAGGCCACTCCTGGTCAGGCACAACTTAGTAAAGGAACGAAAGAAAACCAAGGAAGATTTTTTCTAACAATTGGAAGTTTGAGGCCGACAACAACAATAACAAGCTTTCAACATGCAGTTGCCAACCGTAAATCAGCCACTTACCCCGACATGTCTGCGCACTGGCAAGGGCAGGGGGGTGTGCAGCAAAGGCAGCACCGGTGGCGCCACCGTCGGCCGTGGCATGTAGGGGTCCCCCAGCAGGCTCGTCTGCGGGTACGGGTTTAACTGCGGTGGCGGCACCAGGGGTGGTGGCGAACCGAGCAGCCCCCGCCCGGAATGCGGCGCCTCTGGAGCCTGCTCGTAGGCCGTCCCATATGGTGCCGACGCTCTCTCGTACGGGTCGGGCCTCGTTATCTCGTACTCGCCGCCGTCCGCGGCAGGCGCGTAGCTTTCACGGTCGTACGCGTCGCGTCGGTAGGGGTCGCGTTGGTAGCGGTCTCGATCGTACTGCTCGCGTTCGTAGGTGTCGCAATCGTAGTTTTTACGATCGTAGGGGTCTCCCGCTATGCTGCCGCCATCCAGCGGTGTCGCTTGGTGGCCGTACTCAAAGCGTTGCTGCGTGTGATGCTGCGTAACGTAGTCATCGTTGGAGGGCACACAGTCGTAAGAGTGCGAGTCTTGCACCTCTCTGTACACGGGTGCGTCGTCGCCACGCCCACCGTAGTCTTCGTCGCGGGCGGCCATGCGGTGTTTCAGAAGCATGGGCCGGGGCTGGTCGTTCGGCGGGGGGCGCAGGCCCAGCGGGGGAGGAGGGCTCAGTGCGCGCCCTTGCCGCGGAGGCAACTCCCTTCCGCCGAAGGTGGAGGAGTGCAGGTAGAGGTCCTCCTGCCCAGGAGCCGGCCCCAGGATGCCCACTCCTGGAGATAAAGCGCAGATTGTGTGCTGTGTACAGCATAAATAGTGGTGCGTGTGCTATGTATGCTGTGCTGCGAAGAGTACGGTGTGTGTTGTGTATAGTGTGCTGTTTACTGGGTAAGAAGCGGTGTATATAGTTTGGTTCGGTGTGTTCTATGTACAGTGCATGTTGTATATAGTTCGGCGCGATTGGAGTGGAGGTCGTGTGCCAAGTATGGTGCGCATTGTATATTGTGCGCTGTGCCGTTTTCTCCGATTACGCATTATTACGTTGTCTGACGTGGTTGCCGTGCGGTTGCCGTGCTAGCGTACCGGATCGCGGGTCTGGCATTCCGGAGAACTCAACGTGGTGTCTCCCACCCATTGCAGCGGCGCTGAGTGGGTGCGCTTGCCGCGGAAGCATTTCCCTCGGCGGCCTGCCGAGGATCGGTGGGCGCCCAAAACCCAGCGGCGGCTGCTCGTCGGAGTGCGGGAAGAGCTCCTCGTGCCCTGGCACCGGTCCCAGGATCCCTTCCCCTGGAGATTCGTGGCCACCATCACGGTGAGCATGGTTAGTATGTGTTCTGCGTCTAGTAGAAAGAAGCTGCGATTTCACGTGAATATCCTTATGTTGAATCCTTGTGTGTGAAAAAAGAGCTCCGTAGCTCATCGGGTTTCTCCAGGGTAAATAAAGATTATCATTCTGAATGGTTCACTTCTGCAAACAACACAAGTGAAAAGGTGTGAACTGTCCCGTCGCCAATGTGTTTTCACGCTGCACTGGAGCGACATGTCAGATGTAACGCCAAATAAGCTGCAGTAAAACATGGAACACGCCGCGCAGCAATAAAGCACACATATAAAACATCTACACAGGAGTAAAATTATCCCCAATTACCTTTTTTGCTGGGCAGCTGAATTGAAAACATGTTGTCAAGGAGGCTGGGAATTCGTTTCGCCATAACTGCAATCCTGCAGGCACACGTTACACACGTTACACACACACACCAGGCCACTCAACGAGTAAATTGCCACAACCTTGGTAGGCCACAAATCTCAGCCAGCGTGTGAATTGTTACGGCAGCTCATGTCATCAGTGGCTGGTCAAACAACCAGACCTCAGAAGCTAAGCAGGTTAAGCCTGGTTCATACTTGGAAGGCAGAGTACTTTAAACCAGGTGTTGTTGTCGGCTTGGGTTGCAAGGTGATTGGGGGATGGTCGTACAGCTACGTGACTTTACCGAAAGACCCAAGAACATGAATTCCTGCAGTCACGAAAGCTTTAAGTCAAGATTTAAAAAAAGGTCTCTCTTATTTTTGGAGCGGGTAAACCCGCACACGTCCAAAAGACGCGTGGCGTGATAGTTAACTTTTAAAACATTTTCTTAGGTTTTTTCGGTAAAGTCACGTAGGTAAAACATTAAAATTAATAAAAATAAAATAAAACAAAAATCACGACGTTTCAGAGGCAACACAAGTCTCCGTCATCAGGTGGGACCGTCACAGCCGGATTAGCTGCATCAAGTGAGGCAATGATTCAAGATGTAATCCCTTAAAAGGGCACATGAATAAGTTACCTTATAGTAGCTACTTAATAACCGACCCAAAATAAACGAATTTACGTAAAAAATATATACATTGCAATGCATTGATGGGATGTTTATTCAAGGTACAACGCACCTAAGCAATGCATTCCTGGGCCGAATGACCATTTCAAAAGAAGGATTAACCGCCCCACATTCCTGAGGAAGTCTAAGAAATAAGATGTCCTTGTGCACCACTGCCCAAACAGCAGCACCACCAACTCTTAAATCAATGTTCTTCCATCGTCACCGAATGAGACAATTTAACACGTGCAGATAATTGCAAAGGCAGCTGCCTATTTGCAACGCGCATTCTTTTAAATACTCTCATTAATCGATATACAAAAATTACACATTTGCATAATTAATCGAGTTCGCATCGAAAAGAATCAAGCCCAAGATTGTTTACACGGAGCGCGGATTTTTGGAGTTCAGTACAGTATCACGAAATGTGGCGGAGAGTCTGTAATTGTCAATATACACCCGACATGCACACATCAATTGATGCAATAATAATGCACAAACATATTTAATATTCTCGGGGTCCAATGCCATTTCCTCGGGCTCCAGAGAGCGAGACGAAGGCGGCACCTCTAAGGCGCTTCACAAAGCCACATGGCGCAATCGTATTACCTCAGGCGCACAAGTCCAGGCCTTGTGGGTACCAAGGGTTCACAGTGAATGTCTGAAATGAACCTGTTCAAATGCACATTGTTTAAACTCGACGCGGCGGGGCACACATCGCGGCACGACTCGTGGCCGCGGCGATCAGCGTCTGAGCCGAGCCTGGGCCTAGCTGCCAACCCCCGTGAACGGTGGCCTACATCCAGCACAGGGATCGCAGATTTGGTATTTTAGAATTATGTTCGCTTACAAAGAAGAAAGATTATCGCAAATGTTTACCGTAAGTAGGTGGCTGGGAGGTCGAGCAGAGACACCGGGACAGTCCTAACGAGAGACGCAAGGGGATGTCCTGCAGGGAAACTCGACTAGATCGAGGTCCCGCAACGGCCGACCACGAGCGGGGGTCCCCCTTGGGGTCCTCTGGGGTCCTCTGGGGTCCGCTACTCCCACAGCCTCTGCACCGGCGGGCACGAATGAGTGGCGTTGTTCAGATACTAAACTTTGTGAGTAATTTTTATCGCAACTAATGATTGTTTTTAGAAGGTAAACTGCCTGCGCGCTCTGCCCCTGGCAGGGAGAGAGAGATGGCTTCCGTCCAGCAAGAGGAGTCGGCGGGCGGGTCGTACCAACTGCGCAGCGCCACAAGGGGCGTGGGGTTGACTATGGGGTGGGTGGGTGATACCAACTGCGCAGCGCCACAAGGGGCGTGGGGTAGACTATGGGGTGGGTGGGTGATACCAACTGCGCAGCGCCACAAGGGGCGTGGGGTTGACTATGGGGTGGGTGGGTGATACCAACTGCGCAGCGCCACAAGGGGCGTGGGGTTGACTATGGGGTGGGTGGGTGATACCAACTGCGCAATGCCACAAGGGGCGTGGGGTTGACTATGGGGTGGGTGGGTGATACCAACTGCGCAGCGCCACAAGGGGCGTGGGGTTGACTATGGGGTGGGCGGGTGATACCAACTGCGCAGCGCCACAAGGGGCGTGGGGTTGACTATGGGGTGGGTGGGTGATACCAACTGCGCAGCGCCACAAGGGGCGTGGGGTTGACTATGGGGTGGGCGGATGATACCATTGCGCAGCGCCACAAGGGGCGTGGGGTTGACGATGGGGTGGGCGGGTCATACCAACTGCGCAGCGCCACAAGGGGCGTGGGGTTGACTATGGGTGGACGGGTGATACCAATAGCGCAGCGCCACAAGGGGCGTGGGGTTGACTATGAGGGCGGGTCATATTGGGATCGACTGGTCCAACACGCTTTAGAAGGGGGGTGTTTATAATCTTGATTTCGACTTGGGGAGGAGGAATCTGATGAGCCATGAAGCTCTTGTTCCACAGACATCCAGTCGGGGCGGGTCAGCAAAGTTACAACAGCCAACAATACAACAACAACGATAGGAGTGTAAAATATATAAAATGGGTAAGCAAGTCACTAAATCTAAATACAAATTAATGTATTATATAAGTGCGATATATATACATGACGTCCATTTCGCCTGGATGAGGGTGAGCTTCAGGTGACACGAAGCACCACGAAAGAGGTTGGCCACCGCGAAAATGTCGAGCTGCATGGAGTTCAAAAGAGCTCCCAGACAAACACCGCTCGTGGAAGACAAAACACGGCGGGATGCCTGGGGTTCGACCTTCCACGAAGCTCACGGTCCACCCTAAATCGCATCCACTGCACAAGCCATGGCAGCAGCAGCAGTAGATGCGGATTACGGATGGTGCACAAATGTAAAGTTTAAAACGACGCAGTGTGACGACTGCGGTCATCCCGGACAGACCGCACACCACGTGATCACGACGCACACCACGTGATCACGACGCACACCACGTGATCACGACGCGATGCCCCGTCCACAGATAGGAAGGAGACACCGCACGGGGCTTGACCGCCTGGACGTGACGTCTTAGTTGTTGCTCTGCATCTACAGCAGCAGCAGCAGCCGCCATACGACAGGAGGAGAAGAAGACCGCTAAAAGGCGACCGCTTGCCACCCACAAACTTGCAGGAGCGGCCTGGGACTGCTCAGCTGATGCCCTCCGACCTGTCGACCCCCCCCCCCCTCACTGAGCTACTCAGTGGCAGAAGGAACAGATGGCATTCGTCCACACGTGCTGGCACCGCCATCTCCTGGCGAGCCAGGTGTGTGGCGACTCCTCTCGATACGCACGGAAGGGGGCATGGCCGGTTTGTCGTGTTCCACCACCACCAACCCTCGTTGCCTTCGAAGGAGGTGGGATACGGCAAGGAGCCACCCACTGGGCGATCAGCTCGTGTTCAGAGGCGGCCCGGCCACTCATGATGTAGCTCATCCAAGTGATTTATCACCACCACCATCATCATCATCATGTGGAAATGTATCGCAGCAGCGACATAATCTAAACGTATTTTTCTAAATGTGGAGGGAAACATCGGAGGACCCGAAGAAAAATACACGCGGCCACGTTAATATTTTTTTGAAAAATTTAATAAATTAAAATCTCCGCTTATTTTGTTTCTTTAGCCTCTGGCCGCTACGAGGCGCTCTCTCCGCTGCGAGATTCCCGCATGAGGGTCAAACAGAAGTCTGGCACAGGGCTGCAGCAGCATGTCGTACCGGGGGATCCTCGCCTGTGCTGTGCAAGGATGAGAGCCACGCGCGCGTTGCTGCTGCTGCGTTTGTCTCGCGGGAGCCGCATTCTCGGCCTGGCGCGTGTGCAGCGATGCGGGGAGACGCGGAGCAGCGCGCCTGAGAACCCGCCTCTCTCTCTCTCGGTGCACCACTCAGCACCACCGCCAACTCAGCAGCAGCTGCTGCAACAGCAACAGCGAGTTATCTAATTCCTGGCTTCCACCAATGGTCGCAAAGAGCACGGGGCACTCCCCCCCCCCCCCCCCCCAGCAGCCCCGGGGAGTGGCATTGGTCTGAAGAGCTCCGTCCTCACTCCCCCGGCTCCCCAGGGTGGTGGTGGTGATGGTGGTTGTTGTTGTTGTAGTCGTGGACCCCGACGTATCCACCACCGCTCGCTCCGTGCTGGCAGACGGGCGGGCGAGCGAGCGAGATTCCAGCACGGTAAGTTGTTAAGAACGCCTCTCTACTAAACGTCTGTCGCTCCGTGCGTAGGCGACCGTGCTCATCGGAGATGCGGGGAGACGGGCTGGCAGACGATACGCAAACACGAAGTTGTTGAGCTCTTGCAGTCCTCCGTAAAGTCAGACGAGCCCAGAGCTCGTGTTCTCGCCTCCAACGGCGACACTCGCTTCGTGCGGGTTCCACACTTGGAGCGATCAGTTGCGCGCGACTTTGGTTGCGCGCAACTTTATTTATGAAACTGAAGCGCGTCTGCGTGGAAGATTGCGCATGCAACGAGTCAGACGTCCACGTGCAAGCAGACACTCGAAGTTGCCCGGTTTAGAAAGCAACAGATCGCGCTCATATACAGCAAGCAAGCAAGCAACCCCTGTTGACCATGAATTGGATGACTGTGTACCATGCGTCCATGGTCAATTCGCTGTGGTATTTAAACTGTTTGGTGCTGGGAACGTTGTTTCCCAACGTAGTAGCAATAAGAGTGACGTGGAGGCGGCTGTCCAAGTGCCTGGAGTCACCCTGACTGCTGGATGCTGAATTCTGAGGTCGTTAGGATTTGGGTGCCATACCCCAGATATGACTGCAGTATAGTATTCCGTCAGCTGAACCTCTGCTTTATATGATGGGCGCCACGGTGGCTAGGAGATGTTAACTACCTCGCCTGGTGTACAGGAGGTCGTGGGTTCGATCCCGACCCTGGCGCATGCTGCTGCTGTATATTTGTTGGAGTTTGCGGGGTCTCTCTCCCCTGTAGTCGAGTGGATATTTCTCCGGGTCCTCCGGTTCTATACCCTACACGTTTAGAAACGTGTTTGAGTGTTTGGCTGCTATAAATGTTTACATGATAATTCTCTTTGTTAAGCAATCATTTGTGCCCAGGTCGCTTATGAAAATTAGTTTTATAGCTCAGTGAACCTTTCCTGGTAACGTCGTGACAATTATTTTATTATGTTTTGTTTTTATTATTTTATTACTTCCCTTCTACGTGACTTTACCGAAAGAACCAAGAAGATGAATCCCTGCAGTCACGAAAGCTTTAAATCGAAAAATAAAACAGGATATCGTTGCAGTAAATGCGAATATCCAACACCATGGAAATATGGAATTTCCACCATCGCCAACAATGAGTATTGGCCATGCTTGTTTGAGGAGGGATACATCTTCACATTGTTAATGTTATTTATGCGACACTGATATTTTTAAATCTTCAACAGCAATCGGTGTGTTCTGCAGACTCGGTGTGCATGCAGCTGTTTCTCATGGCCACCTGGTCCACAAGATTAAGCTCCTGCTCGGCACACTACGCTGGTGTGTTCACTCCACTATCTATTGATGAGTGCATCTCGCAGTTCACGTATTTTTGTGTTTGTTCTGATTGCTATACTTCATTGCTGGAGCAGTGCTCGACTTTGTTCACGATTGTGTCATTTTGTTGACCCAGGCCACGTTTGCAAATGAGTCTCTTCTTGGTCTCTTTGAGTTCCCTCGCCTGGTTCAACAAAAAACAACTTTCAACTAAAAGCAACTTTAAACTAAACGCAACTTTAAACTAAACGCAACTGTAAACTAAAAGCAACTTTAAACAAAAAACAACTTTAAACTAAAAGCAACTTTAAACTAAACGCAACTTTAAACTAAAAGCAACTTTAAACTTGACCGGTCACTGCTCGGTGTTACGTGTCTGCGTCTTCCCCGTGGCCATTGCGCTCTGTAACGTGGTGCACGCCGAAAACAATGATTCACCATCAGCCCCACCGGCCTATTGCGTCGCCACAATCCAACCGCGCTCCTGCTGCACGTGAGCTCATCAACATATCTTCTATGTGGTTGTGGTCGTCCTCTCTCCGGGTCCTCCGGTTTTCCCCTCCACATTTAGAATGGACATGCGTTTCGAGTATTTGGCCGCTAGAAATTTCGAGACGATAATGCTACTTAATTGGGCTATCACGTGTGGCCAGGCCGCTTCTGAAAAAGAGTTATTATCCAGAAAACCACATTTTTTATTTTGACCAATATAATGAATGTGATCTTGAAAATTTAGTTTTGAATCAAGATGATCCCAAGATAGATCTTGGCTTGCTCTATTTAATAGTTATTTCAGGAATGCTATTGAAGAAAAATAACTTCCTGCTTTAGTCCTGGTGAGAAGCGTAGCACCTTGGTGTTGGAGATATTCAGGACTAGTTTAAGAGCAACTCGCTGATGTTGTAGTTTGTTGAAATCACCCTGGAGCCTAGCAACACGTCATCCAGAGAGTGGCCAGCAGCAATCAGTATCGTGTCATCTGCAACAGATTTACCCTGGAATGATCCAGGTCATTGCCCAAGTCATTGACATAAAGAGAGAACAAGAGGGGGCCGAGGATGGAACCCTGTGGAACCCCTTTTGTCATCTTAACACTGTTTGACCTCCAACCATCTGTGAAGACAGTTTGGGTGCGAGAAGAGAGGTAATGTTTTAACCATTCCGCTGCTTGTTTGGAGAAACGGAGGCAACTTAGTTGACTAAGCAGCGTGTTGCTACACAAGCAAGCCTGGCTCTGCTGATGGGATACTGCAAGTCAAAACCAGTCCAGACTCTGCTTGTGTTCAATCCGTGCTACTGAATGTATGTCCTCCCAAAAGGATGTAGGGCTTATAGGTTGTGTAAATTGTACTATTACTATACACTTTCCTCTTCAGGCACAATGGTATAATAATTAATGCCGATTTTAATACTTGCATCGCTAAATAGAGTTTAGTAAATCAAAGTGATTTTCTATCTCCCATGCTTGCATCAATTGGATAAATAATCAATTTTCGTTGATGCATCGCTCCAGCCCTACTGCTCTTCATCACAATATTCTGTGCACGCGTGCCACTTGCTACCCCTGTTTGTCTCTGCATCTGTGTAGGCAGCTCTTATGCCGGTTGAACTCCACTCAGGGTGCCTCATGCTCACTGACGTGTGCAGGATGCACTCCCGTTTGCCGGACTAATCTGAAAAAAATCCACATCTCAGGCCTGTGTATGTATGCATGTTGAACCTCTTTCGCGCCGTACATAGCCAACCATGCTAATGGGAGGTGTAGTGTTGAGTCTATGGGTAGTGTAAGTCTATGGGCAGTATGCATGTGTGTTGAACTACTTTCGCACTGTATGTAACCAACCGTGCTAATCGGAGGAGACGGATTGCAGTTGCGATTTTGTGGAGCGTAGCAGCAGCAGCAGCAGCTTCGGCTGTGATTGGTCACTGGCATGATGCCAAGCTGTGGCCTTCTCAGAGAGAGACGTGGACAGCATACATGTCTTGAGGCTATTTTCTTGCTCAGACATGCATTTTACCCAATCTAGCATCTTTACACGAAGTTCCATTGCAAATATTCCCTGGCCAGCATTGGAAATAAAAACAGCAATGCAGGCTACGGGCAAATGCCTGCTTGGAAAGTATTATAACAGACACACACACACAACAAACTATTCATAATTGCATACTGTACGCACAATGTTTCATGCACATAATAAACAATGCATAAAACTAACCCATACGTACAATGCACGCATTACCCACATCACGTAATAAACCAACTACATAAAACACGTTGTATAATAAGGCACACTAAAATTATGATACATTACATAACCACTATGCAAAGTGCGGTCGTGTCACTACGGTTTACTGCGGTGAGTAACAATGTCTTTAAAAACAACGTCGTTAGTAATTCTCTCTAAATCATATTAACGCTGAGCGGCTTGCACGTTGTGAGATTCAGCGGTGATCGGGACACTCATCCTGCCACTTGCAGACGTCTCGAAACGGGAACGGGTTAATAGTGTCTCTTAGAAATGTGTTAGGTGCCGTATTTGCTATACCAAACTCTAATGTGTGGACCTGTTTGGTCCTAATATAGTTCAAACTCTTTGGACACAACAATGAAAAACTCTTTGAGCTCATGAAATAATGTTTGTTGATTTTTTCAGATTGAGCCTTGGAAGACAGAGGAGGAAAGGTGAGTGGAACAACAGGACGAGAATCAAGGGAAGAAGCAGAAGACGGAAACAATTTAAAGTTAGAACAACACAGAAATACAAGATAAAGAAAATGTGCAATAATAACTAAAGAAGGTAAGAGAGACAGGGAAACAAGAATAGAACTATAATACAAATTTAAGTAACCATTTGGTAGAAGATTCTATTAAATGTAGGATTAACTGTGATGCAAGGAAATGAAATTAAAATCTATAAAAGAAGATCAAGCAAATAGATTTTAACAAAGCACAAGCAGACAAAGAGTCACGAGACAAGAAGATACCAGGCAAGGTGAGAAGGTAGGAAGAGAGGACGATCAACAAAATCAAGCAATCACGAAACTGGTAAAACAAAAACGGCATAAAGTAACACGCAGTAACAACACCAAAGAGCTGAACACGTGGCAGGAAAACCAGAGTCTGTGGAGTAAGAGGACTGATCTGTCGCTGTCACTGACAACGAGGAGAGATGGCGCAGGTTTGCCGGATCCTATCGCGGGCCCCGGGCTCGCTGAGCAGGGGAACGCGTGGCCTGTCCGCGGCGGCCTCGTCGTCATCATCGTCGTCGTCATCGTCGCCACCGTCGGCAGAGAAGGCCGTGCCGTACGCCAAGACGCTGAAGGAGGAGGACGGCGGTGGCGGGGCGAAGGTTCCCGGCGCTCCCAGCAAAGCGCTGCCGCGGCACGCGAGCGTCGTGGTGGTGGGCGGCGGTAGCCTGGGCTGCCAGACGCTCTACCACCTGGCCAAGGCCGGCGTGACGGACGCCGTGCTGCTCGAGAGGGACCGGCTCACGGCCGGCACCACCTGGCACACGGCCGGTGAGTGGGCTCATCATTGTCATCGTCGTTATCATCGTTATCATCGTTGTAATCATTATGGTCATCGGCATTGTCGCCAATATCATCATTGTCAATATGTGTGTTGTTGGACTTCTATCGCCCCGTATGTAGCCAACCGTGCTAATCGTGTCATCACAATGGTTAATTTGGTGCTAATTATTCTCGTTGATATTGAAGAAGAAAGACAAAACTGCAAGGTGACATTCCTCCCACCGGCAGGCCAATGTCCCCCTGCCAGCCGCACCACAGGAATCCTGTGTTGAGGGGGGGGCAGCTGCCTCCGGGGGTCCGCTTGGCAAGACTGCGGCAGGGCTTGGGAATGGTTGAGATGCGGCGTAGGGTGCTGTGAGTTTCTTAGACGTTTAAGCATCATTTACATTAAAATCCTTATCCATATCTTTCACAGTAAGATAGATTCAGTGGCAGTGCTTTGCATTGGTAAGTCAACAGTTGTCCTCTGAAGAGTCTGGCCCTTGCCATTGCAACCAACGGGGTTAGGATCACAATTGAGCAACATCCGTGCCCTTGTGTGCAGTGGTGACTGTACGTCAACAGTTCTCCTGCTGCGTTTGTTTAACCTGATGATGGTTGCTTGCGTTGCGATCGAAACGTCGTGATCTATTGATTTTATACTTGCGTGACTTTACCGACAGAAGCAAAGAGTATGGATTCCTGCAGTCACGAAAGCTTCAAATCAATATTGTATGATACTGATGCATAGGTTATCGCAGCTGTGCTGTATCGCTCTTCAGGAACTGAATTAATTTACAGCACATGGAAGGAAAAGTCAGACATCATGCCAAACAACAATTGGGGCAACTCGGAAACTCATCGAAAAATGATGATGATGATGATGACGCTGATAATAATAATAATGCAATGCATAATGTGCGCAATATTTAACGTATATAGATGACCACGACTGAGTTGCGGAGTCAAGCTCAGCGTGGCTCGAAAAGCCAAGGGATAGAGGTGGAAGCCCTTTAATGTCTCTTCAAAGTCGGCGTGGGTTGAACGCTTACTGCTGTGAATGTGCAGCAGCAGCAGCAGGAGTAGCAGCAGCACGGATGACAGTGGCCGCGTTCCACACGGCAGGGGGCTGCCGTGGAGAATCGACGCCCGGCAGTGGCGTAATTGCTCCTCGGTGCAAAGAGCAGGAGGAGGTTGTGAGTCGTGCTGGTGCGAGCCATAGTGCAGGGTCTTCTTTTTCTCTTCATGGTCCACCGCAAAATCGCATCCACTGCACAAGCCATGGCAGCAGCAGATGCGGATGCCTGATGATGCAGAATAGAAAATGTAAAACTCTCTAGGAGTGTTGCGACTGCGGTCATCCAGGACTGACCGGTACAAACGCATAACGACGCCATGCCCGATCCACAAATACGAAGGAGACATCTCACTCCGCTACTCCTGACTCGGTTGTCTCACTTGACCCACCGGAATGTGAAATTGTAGTCGTTGCGCTGCATCTACATCAGCCATACGAACAAAGCGCAGGGTGACGGGAGGCGGAGAGAGAGAGACACGGCGGACGACCGAGCGTAGAGGCCGTGGTGACAGAGGCACCGATGATGACGACGATGATGATGTTGCCCGGGCCCCAGGCTTGCTATGGCAGCTGCGGCCGAGCGACACGGAGGTGGAGCTGCTGAGGCACACGCGCCGCGTCGTCTCGGAAGACCTGGAGCGCGAGACGGGCCTGCACACCGGCTGGATCCAGAATGGGGGGCTCTTCATCGCCTCCAACCGCCAGCGCCTCGACGAGTACAAGCGCCTCATGTCTGTACGTGAGGGGCACGGCCACCGCCGCTGTCCGCGCGCTCATTCCCAAACGCCTCCGCCGCGTGGGGGTTTTGCGGGTTTTGCTGCGCGGCTCTGTGCGGCGTTTTTGGGTTTTTGCCGCGTGCGGACACGATGTGCGACGTTTCCATTCACATGCTTGGGGGCTTGTTCGGAAACTGATTAGAGTTCCAATTCAATTCCTCCTATCTCTACCGCTGTCTACCATATCCATAACTGTTTGCTATTATCTATGATCTATGCTATATATCTAACACCATCTACCCTCTCTAGCACCAAGTCCTATCTCTAACACATATTAATGACACTGACTCACATCTCCAATGTTGCCTCCTGTCTCGAACACTGACTGCTATCTCCAGCACCGACTATCTCCAACACTGACTTCTCTTCTTCTGTGTAGGACACGTATTTTGGTTGTACTGCGTGTTGTTCGGCACGATGTCCGACGTTTCAGTCCACATTCTGGGCGCTTCATCAGGAACTGAAGAAAGCTCCAGTTTAATCACGTTTATAAAAACATTGATGGGCTGCCTCTAGGCACTCTGGATTCCTCCCAGACAAAAGCGCGCTCCACATCTGCCTCGCCTAGAGTGCAGGAGGTCGTGGGTTCGATTCCGACCATGACACCTGTATATTTGGAGTTTTCATATTCTCCCTGTGGTCGCGTGGAGGTTTCGCTGGTTTTTCTCCGGTATTTCCCTCCACATTTAGAATCAACATCACGCATTTCGAGTATTTAGCTGCTAGAAATTTACACGTGACGAGCCACTTCATTGAGCGATCATTTGTGGCCAGATCACATCTGAAAAAGAGCTGCATAGCTCAGTGGGCCTTAACTGGTCAAATAAAAGTTTAAATAAACAAGATCCACTTGTCTACATCAGACATCAGCAGCTCCTCCTAGCTGAAGCCCTTCCACCAGCAGTGGGGAGGTAATTGCAGGACTGCGCCTTTACTTTGAAAGTAACATTGTCGGATTTTCTCTGTTCAACCTGTTCGTGTGAATAACGATTTCCCATTTTCTTCCATGCAAAGTGGTTCCCCTGTTGCCTTCATAACTCTTAGGAGTCTACGCAGATGAAAAGGGCACTTTGTCTTCACTGTGGAGTCAGCACATTTAGCCCACTGGTGTATTTATATAATGAAGTGCTTATCCATTTGTTTGTATTGTGTTGAACCATTAACCAACTGGATCAATATTTGCATCCAAAGAGCTAACAGTGACCTTGCACTCTTAAACCATCCACTTGTCGTTATTACTTGGCTGTACACAAGCATCAACACTCGCGCATGCACACACGGACTCCCGTGTTTAGCCTCCAGACTGCCGGGTCGGGTGCTGCTCGTGTGAGCCTGTCCACAGTGGCCCATCTCGAGAGGGTGGTGGAGTCAACACAGCACGCATGCCTGTGCTGTCTTACTATAAAGACAATGTTAATAACCAGGTGTAATCGGTGAAGCGAGCAACCTATTACTCGTGGCACACCACAGGAAGGAGAGTCAAGGATGGAAAACGCAAAATGATTTTTTTTGGTTCTTTCGGTAAAGTCACGTAGAAGGGAATTAATAAAATAATAAAAATAAAACATAACAAAATACAATACAATGCAGTCACGAAAGCTTTAAATCAAAACACAAAAGGAATTGGAAAGGGCAGAGAGAAACACACATAATGAGGGAATGGATGTAAAAAGGGGCCAAAAGGTGTGGGATGATGAGGATGGGAGGAAGAGGCTCCGCGAGGGCAGCGATGCTGCTGCTGCTGCTGCACTGAGGAGCGGCGGAGTCTGTTTCCACGGGGGGCGGGGCGAGGGCAGCGATGATGCTGCTGCTGCTGCACTGAGGAGCGGCGGAGTCTGTTTCCACGGGGGGCGGGGCGAGGGGAGCGATTCAGAATGGGAGTGGCTACGCAGAAGTCACGTGATTAGCGGGAGGTGTCACCTGATTTACAGACGTAGATAATCTCTTAAGTATTAAGACATTTTTACAGGAGGATCCTGCACTGGTATGTTATTCTTGCCAGTTGATTATTAACGCATGTTTTATAATATATTTCACGTTTTATATTATATTTCATGTTTTATATTACATTTTATATAATATTTTATATAATATTTCATGTTTTATATTTCATGTTTTATATTATATTTCATGTTTTATATTACATTTTATATAATATTTTATATTATATTTCATGTTTTATATTTCATGTTTTATATTATATTTAATGTTTTATATGTTGGAGGAAACTGGAGTACCCGGAGCGGGTGCCACGGTGGCTAGGAGATGTTGACTGCCTTGCCGGTTATACAGGAGGTTGTGGGTTCGATCCCGACCACCACATCTCTGTCATCCAATCAATGAAAATTACATTAAAAACATAATTTCGGGAGAGGAAGTAAAAAAAACCAATGTATTCCTTCATTTGAGGCAGTATCATCTAACATTTAAAGCAACCCGATTTCGGCACCGAGTACTGTCAGCTACCATGACAGTTTTAAATGATGTAACCTCATGTAACCTTGTTTTAGAGAGGAGGCAAATGTTTGGTTGTATATGTTGACTCAAATAAATAGCCTTTGACATGATAAATAATTCACTTTCTAATCTCCACGCAGATACTCTGTGGTGGTGGTGGCAATAACGCCGCCACAGACTCAGATGCCAGTGTGATCAGCTAATCCAGCTGCATTGATTAACAAGGCTGACTGCTGATGAGAACCAGAATGTCAAAACCGGTCCTGAGTTTGCTCCCTTGAATGAATGTCTCTTGATAATATTTGTCTGGAAAGCTGATAGGCTGGTTGGACTGAGATATAGCTTTGCTTCTTTATTAAAGTTCTGCTTATATCTCGTAAACAAAAAATTAGACGTGTTCTCAAGTAATCTTGCGGAACATTTAGAAACAATTCATTGGACTGTCTGGCGGCCGTGGAGGAGGAGTTCCTGAAGCCTCAGATCGTGGATCCACTCTCTTTTCTCTCTTTACATGAACAGTGTTGTACTCAAAGTCAACTCAGCGAAGAAGAAAAATAATAATCTTGTCCTGGTAACCCCCGCTGCCCACCCTTTGTATATATCCGCTTTCTTTGGAGTGGGGAGGGGGGTGATGGGGAGATCACCTCCCCCTTGAGACCTCAGCAATTGATATTTTTTTGTTATATTTGCCTGAAAATACGTTGGCAATTATTATTATTAATGTTGTTGTTGTTGTTGTTGTAGGGCCCTATTTAAAAAAACTTGAACTTTTGTAACTGTCACCGCCACCCAGGGAAGTTTGTCGATCCGCATTTGAAATGACATTAAATAGATTTACGAAACGGTCTGCTCCACGGTGACGATGACGACGTCGACGACGGCGGTGGCGGTGATCGCAGCGGACGGCACTGACCCTCCTCCACGTCCCCCCCCTCCGTGCCCCCAGCTGGGCAAGGCGTACGGCATCGAGTCGCACGTGCTGTCTCCCGCCGACACCAAGGCGCTCTACCCGCTCATGAACGTTGACGACCTTTACGGGACGCTGTACGTGCCGGGCGACGGCACCATGGACCCCGCCGGCACGTGCTCCACCCTGGCCCGCGCCGCCACGGCACGCGGAGCCCAGGTCGGTAGACTCCGGCATCCCCCTGGCAGTGGGCGGCGAGGGTGAGAGGTGTGGCGGACGACAGAAGGGGGCGCAGGTCCCGGTGTGTGGGAGGCCCGGTGTTGAGGGTGGGTGCGGCGCAACGAGAAGGTGTTGAGTCTGCACAGATGCAGAGTTGAGTACCGGCGACGCGGTGGCGAGATGTTCACTACCTCGCCTGGTACGGAGGAGCTCGTCGGTTTCGATCCCAACCCTGATACCTGTATATTTGGTGTTTGCGTGTTCTCCCTGTAGTCACGTGAATTTTTCCCCGGATCCTCTCGTTTTTCCCTCCACATCTAGAATCAACGTGCGAGTATTTGCCTGCTATGAATTTCCACATGCTAAGCCACTTCGTTGAGCTATAATTTACGATAGCCAGGTTGCTTCTGAAAAAAGCTACATAGCTCAGTGGGCCTTACCTGGTGAAATAACATTGTTTAGTTTAAGTTTAGACATAGAACGAGGGAGGCACAAGAGGCCCGTGTGGGAGACACGGAAAGGATGGATTCGGGTCTGAGTGTGAGGGACTCACGGGGGATGAATGAGGGAGACGAACAGAGACAATGGGGTTGAGTATGCGAGACACAGGCTCTTTGTCGGAGACATCGGCAGTAGCTGGGTGGAATGTGGCATCCCTCCGTGGTGTGCGTGGCTGCTGCTGCTGCTGCAGCAGAAGGTGGTACGGCAAGTCCCCGTTTAACGCGGTGGTAGATACCTTCCTGAAAAGTGCCGCTTGAAGCAAAAATCATTGCCCAATAAATAGTGTAACGATAAAGTTTGGACGAGGTGCGACAAACGCTCACGCAGTGAGATAGCGGGACAAATAACTGAGGGTACGCCGCCGCGTTACTGTGTCATTCTGCGTACTGTGTCAGACCGCTCAGCCGCGCAGCTCAAGAAAGTAGTTCGTCGTCGACTGCTCAGAAGCCGCGTTATAGCGGTGCGCGTTCCACATTGTGCGAAAAGTGTTCCCTCGTGATAGAACCACGTTTTAGCGACAAGGCGTTGTGTGAACACCATGCGACCCTGTGTGCTGCTGCTGCTGGTGCTGCAGGTGATAGAGAACTGCGCGGTGACCGGCGTGCGCGTGGAGGAGGACGACATGGGCGTAGCGAGGGTGCGCGCCGTGGAGACGCAGCACGGCGTCATCCACACGCCCTGCGTCGTCAACTGTGCCGGTAACAGCCTCCAGTGACAGTGTGCGGTAATGACCGTCACGCCGCCACCAGTGTGAATGGGGCGCTGCGGTGCCGAGATGTTAACTACCTCGCCTGGTATACAGGAAGTCGTGGGTTCGATCCAGACCCTGACGCCTGCTGTATATTTGGAGTTTGCGTGTCTCTCTCTCTCTTCCTGTGGTCGTGTGGATTTCTCTGGGTCCTCCGGTTTTTCCCTCCACATTTAGAATCAACAAGCATTTAGAGTATCGATTTAAAGCTTTCGTGACTGCAGGGATTCATCTTCTTGGTTCTTTCGGTAAAGTCACGTAGAAGGGAAATAATAAAATACAAATGAAACATAATAAAATAAAATTAAAATATATGTTCGATTTATTTTATTTTATTATTTCCCTTCTACGTGACTTTACCGAAAGAACCAAGAAGAAGCATTTAGGGCATTTGGCTGCTTTACATTTCCACGTTGTAAACCCTCTTTAGTGGATGAATCATTTGTGGCCAGGTCGCTCCTCAAACAGAGTCAATAGCTCAGTGGACCTCACCGTATAAAAACTAAATTATGTAGTTTAACATCGTTTAATTCGTGTTCGTAGGCAAGTCAAAGTGGTGATCTGCTCATATGAGCATTGAGTTTGGAGTTCATCTCCCGTTTACAGTGCTCTGAGCCTTTGGTGGAAATTCCACGTTCCGGTCGTTAGGCAGTCTATTTGGTACAATTAATGGGTCAAAAAGGGTTCCTTCATCGGGACTGCCATGGAACTTGATGCCCATGTCAGGATTTCTTTTTTCAGTGGAATCCCATTGGGACGAGCTGAGTTAGAAGGGTTAAAGTAAATCAGAGCGTGTTCTACTTCTTGCACCTTGAGAGCTCTATGATAGATGGGGAGGCATGTACACTCCTCACAGACCGAGGGGGCGTGGGGCGGGGGCACATGGGGACAGATAGATGATGAGGAGAGGGCCCCGCTCCGGCCCCGTGGGGGAGTGGAGCTTGCGCGAGGCCGTGTGCTCACCCACTGCATCGATGCGACTGACCGCAGGACTGACCCGCAAGAGAGACTTGCACTGCGTGGTGTTGCAGAGCCGTCCGCGCACGTTTAACAACCGCTTCACAACACCCACCTGCGCTGCTACGCGCCGCGTTTGTTCATCGTGATTGTTTGCCACGTGGCAACTGTATTTATTGGCCATGTCGGGTGGAGGAGGGATCACTACGCACATTTTTACTCACGCGATCTGACTCGAAACTGCGGCCGGCTCTGGTGGAGTTCACCGCCCCACCCCCGTCCACCTGCGTGGCATGCCAGCCTCAATGGGTGCTCTCCTCTTTGCAGGGGTGTGGGCAAGGAAGTTGGGACGAATGGCGGGCGTGAATGTGCCTCTCTGCGCCATGCACCACGCGTACGTGGTGACGGAGCGCATTGAGGGAATCCAGGTAACCCTTGCGGCGAGTGTGTGTGTGTGTGTGGGGAGCGGTAGTGCAGTGGTTAGCACGCTGCTCTACGAACTCGGGGACCCGAATTCATTCCTGCTCACGGCGAACACCGGTGACGATTATCTGAACCGGTCCTGGGGCCTCTCTTAGGTCGACTTAGCCTCAGATGAGTACGTGGTGCGGTGTGTAAATCTCTCCACTCGGGAGACAAAAGTAGCCCGACGTGGTGCTGGCCACCCACCCTCTCGTGTGCCGTGCTCACTAACGGTGCTTCCCCCAAGACAGTCGTCTGTTTAGGCTATGCGGGCACACGAGCAATGACACTCCATTCTGACCTCGTCAGGCCTCACCATGGTTAAAGGATAGACCAGCATGCCACGGTGGCTAGGAGATGTTAACAACCTCGCCTGGTGTACAGGGGGTCGTGGGTTCGATCCCGACCCTGACGTCTGCTGTATATTTGGGGATTGGGTGTCTCTCTCCCCATGGTCACGTGGATTTTTCTCCGGGTATTCTGGTTGATCCCTCCACGTTTATAAACTCCATGACGCGTTTCGAGTATTTGGCTGCTATAAATGTCCACGTCATAAGCCACTTCATTGAGGTCGCTTCTAAGAGCTATATAGCTCAGTGTACCTTCCCTATTAAAATATATTAAAATATATTAACAAACATGGTTTAATAGCAGCTGCCTTTTGTTTCTCATTTGAAGCGATGAGAGCGCGATGTTTCTTGTTGTGTGCGTTTGCCCTAGAACATGCCCAACGTCCGAGACCACGACGCCTCCGTGTACCTGCGCCTGCAGGGCGACGCGTTGTCCGTGGGGGGCTACGAGTCCAACCCCGTCTTCTGGGAGGAGGTACGGAGCCCGTTACCCGCCCCCACCCCACATCGCCCGACGTAGCCACACATTGACAATGACTAGTACGAGTTATAACACGCGCACAATTCAGCACGGCGCGGCAAGTCGCGCTACGCGTTTCGGGGCGCGTCACCGAGGGGCGTGTGGAGTTGCTGCTGCTGCTGCTGCTGTGGTCTCCGAAAGCGGCGGGTCGCGGGGGGCGTGCGGCACCGCTCTCGCCTCTCTCGCCTCGTCGTCGTCGTCGTCGTAGCCCCGGTGCAACACGTCGCTGTTCAGTGGGCGAGGGGCCTCTCTCGACTGATCAGAGAAGAAGTCTACGTTGCGTCCTGTTCATCCACAATATTCTGATTGGCAAACCTGCGCTGTACTTGGCTCATTCATTGTCCCCATTGTCAAGCCCAAGAAACCTCAGACGTCTGTCGAATCGCCTTTTAAATATCCCTGGAATTAAGAATTGTAAAAGGTGACAAAGCCTTTGCCGTTGCAGCACCGTTTTGGAACAACCTTGTTGCCTACTTAACATCGTACATTTTCCATCAAAAAATATCCTGAAGCAGGATATTAGTGCTGGACACAGTCACATTTGCAAACGTGATTAGTAACTGTGATCATTACCCGTGTATCGGTAGTTCAATGTTAATGTGCCGTTGTATTGATGGACTCCTGCTGTGTGGCGTTACCTTGCTGTGGTCTGGGACTGCATTGTTGTTGTTTTTGCTGCTTTTTCCCAAGCTTGATAAATCGGACTTTATCATGAATACATTATATATTTACTCTTTTTTTGTTACTTTCTTACTATTTTCTCTATTTTGCACTGCTGTAACCTTTCTGACCCCGTGCCCATACTGGACATTTGTGAAACAGGAGCTTCATAGCTCATCGGATTCCTCCTCCTGCCATCTAAATAAACATTCTGATTGATTATAATTCTCTCTCTCTCTCTCCTGCGTCGAGCGTAGGTCTCCGACAGCTTCGCGTTCGGACTGTTCGACCTCGACTGGGACGTCTTCGCGCAGCACATCGAGGGCGCCGTCAACCGCGTGCCCACGCTCGCCAACACCGGCATCAAGTCCACCGTGTGCGGCCCCGGTGAGGCTCGGTCGTGGCGTACCGGGGGGGATTGGCGGTGGCCCGGCTGGCTTGGCGCGCTCGCGCGGTCTCCGGCGCGGCCACGGAGCCCGTGAAACTTCGGGCTTCGGTGTTTCGGAGGAAAACGGCGGCGACGGGTTTGGCCGAGTACCGACATCCCGAGCGAGCACCTGGGGCCTGATCGCCGCGAAACCTCGGAGAGTGAATTTACACCGAAACAAGAACGGTTTGTTTTTTGAAATCGAATCCGCTCCATCTCGCGTCAGATCCTCCCACTGTGACCTCTGGAAAGTCGTGGAAAGAGGATTTTTGCCTGACCAATAATGACGATGCAATATTACACTGATTTCCTGTTCGAACGAGGATTATGACAGTGCTCATGCCCTGTTACACCCCTGAGATAATGGTGGAAGCTCCATACTCCTATGGTGGGGGCGAGCCTATCCACTGTTGACTCCCCTACAAAGTGGTGCTCATTTTATCGAGCACAAACGGATGATTGGCTGAGTCAACCCTCAACCAGGAATTGAACTCTCAACCTTCCGATTGCAGACCGGCATTCTCTACAGCCCATTGCTAATCCGCTGCTGGATGAAGGCTTCCCCACTCAATGGCGATGCTCCCACACTTGATCAGAGCGCACGGGAACGTGGCCTTCTTGGCCAGTAGATGGCACATCCTGCACGTGGTCCTTGAGTTCGTAGCTTTGCCCCAGTGGCTCCGAGATTCAGTATCCAAAGACTGTACTTCGGCAGTGATGTGGTCGAATAGTGGCGCGTTTTCTGCTAAGTTGCAGAGTTCGTGGTTTGAACCCAGCAGCTGCCATGGTTAATACCGTGAGTGTATTGACTAAAAAAATGCACGCCCTCTGCTTTCACAGGCAACGCTAAAGATCCCGTGATGTTTTCTGAAGACGGCTGCTTGCGTTGTAGCCGAAACGTCGTGAGAATTATTTTATTTTATTATGTTTTATTTTTATTATTTTATTACTTCCCTTCTACGTGACTTTACCGAAAGAACCAAGAAGATGAATCCCTGCAGTCACGAAAGCTTTACATCGAAAAATCCCGTGACGTTGTTCGAAGAAGAGTGGGCAAGGTGTGCCGGCGTCACGGTTCAAATTGTCCAAGTTTGAAAAAAAAAATACTCCCAAATTATTGATTCGGGTAAAACAACAAAGCAATGTCCACACCCCCTCCTCCTCCCCCCTAATGGAGGACTTTATCCATCTGTGACACAGCACCTTCTTGACATCCTTGTGCTATAAGAATAGCACAAATACCAAATCAAATCACTATAAATGTAAAGCTGAACTTGTTTCCACGATCATGTGGTGGTGTGCATCTCTGTTAGTAAACTTGACCCAGTGGTTGAAATTCAACATTCCTATGACAGAGATATGCTTTTATCTTGGGCTCGACTCATTTAATAGATCAAGTTCCAGTGAGACCCATTATCTCTGGCATAGCGGTCTATAAACGTAATTACGTTGATCCTATTATGGATAATAATTTAGTGTCGTGCCAAATGACAATTTCCCCCCGAAGGAAATTTTGACCCTGGGCAGTGCATCACTTTGTGGCGAGATGTTATCTCCCTCGCCCGGTACGCGGGAGGTTCGCGGGTTCCATCCCAGCTGCCTGTTGTATGTTTGGAGTCGGCGTGTTCTCTCTCCCCACGTGGGTCGCATGGATTGTTCTCCAGGTTCTTCTGGGTTTTCCCTCCACATTTCGAAATATACGTTGAGATTATTTGGCTGCTACAGATACGATCCTTCTTGTTTTGGTGCCATTTCTTAATTCGTTTTTTTCAATTTATTTTGCTTGATAGTAGGCTTTTCATTTGCTTGGTAGTGGCCGTATACAGGATTTGGTCCTTATATATAATTAATGTACAGCGTTATTGGATGCTATTAGTTTGAATGACGTTATATAACATTAAAGTAGAATTATTATTAGATCAGCCACTTTGACGAACTATCTAGTGTGTGGCCAGGTCGCCACTAATAAAGAGCGAATAGCCCAGTGGGCTTTGCTTGGTAAGTAAAATAGTTTAGTCATTTTGTGTCAGACAATGGTCCTGAAAGATGATGGCACAAACACAGCCCTGGAGTTACTTCAATTGCCTCCTATCCACACGAGATACCACATCAATTTGTCATCATCATCATCATCAGCAGCAGCAGCAGCAGGCATGGTCAATCCACAATTGGATTAAGGCCCCTCTCCAAATTGCCACCACCTTTCACAATCCCACCATCTCCGAGGCGGATGACCTCTCAGATTCGTTTCCATACCCCTGTAAAGAACGTTACGTAGAGAAGTGTCATTTGAGTTCTCAATAAGAAATTGCCAAATTAGGTGATTAACCGAATTTAATATACCGCGCAACCACCGGGCGACTGAGCTGTGGCTATCAGCTCGCCGCCCACACCGGACAACCCAAATCTATCGTGGGCGGCTGAAACCGAAAATCAAACACCAGGAACTCATTGGGTCCACTGGGTGGCACGCAGCTGCTTCTGTTATAAACTTACTAGCTGTGGTGTACCTGGCACGTTCGTTTATTTGTGGGCGTCTTTAACATTTTATATCCGGGCTGAGGCACCTGTGTGCGGTGGGTTAATTACTCTGGTGAATAGATTGCGGTGTGGAATCGGAAAGGTCACCAGAAGCCTCATTTATTTAATTCTGACTCCTCGACGCCCGGAGCAAAAGTGTGATGTGGTTACAAGTCGAATAATGCGGTGCAATAGGCAGCAAGGTCAAGAGGTCATCTCGGCCACTGCCGTTGATGCAGCCATCCCTCCCTTCTTTCTGCCAGATTCCCACCACTGTTGTACCGTCGACAACTCTCCTCCAAGGAGTGACATCTCGATCACCATCACGTGTCCATTCTGCTGCAAGCTCATGAGCGATATTCATTTATAAGGCAATTACCCAAAGATCTGTATTTTATACTCTTTGGTTTTTTCGGTAAAGTCACGGAGATAAAAAATAGAATAAAATAAATGAAAGCAACTAAATTTAATTCTGTAGCCAGTATTGCTGCCTCGTTCAGTCGCTATTAAGGTTTGGTAGCGGCGTTCGCCGCTTGTTGCAGAGGTTCACGGTTCGAATTCACCGGCCGCCCTGGTTCTTACTGCGCTGTGCACATGAACCATAACAACACGACCCGCCGTAGGCTTCACAGTGGACGTTCGAGACCCCCTGGTGTAATTATGCAGGAGCCGGCCCACCGTGTGCTGGCACCAGAGTCCGCATTTGTCAAATTTTGAAAAATTGCACCACAAATTGCTCATTTGGGACCCTATGTAGAGCGACCGACGTGCCCATGGTCACACACTCGTGCCCCGAGTCACTCTTGTGGATGGCACTCACGCTGGTCTCATGAGCCCTCACCCGGTTCAACAAAATCAACTTGAAACTTTACTTCTTCCTGTTTGTGACACAGTCAGCGTGTCCTTCAAGGACCACTGTTACATCCTCGTCTCCAGCTTGATGTAGTTCACCACCCGTCTTGTTATTGCGCTCGTTTACCCGAGCGAGCCCCGCCGAGTCTCAAGACTCTTTGTCAGGAGGGTCCTGTCAAGTTTTTCAGTCCGGGGCAATGTTGCTGGCTGCTGTGTGCAATCCCAATTTAGTCAGAATCAGAATAATTATTTAGACTGGAAGAATCCGATGAGCTATGTAGGCTAATTTTCAGTGTCATTTTGCAGCATCGGGATGTTGTTTTTGCCCAGTATCAGCTACATTGTATGGTTTTCTTTTTTAGTTATGGGTGGAAAGCGGAGAACTCGGAGGAGACAATAGGAGATCAATAGGAGAATGTACACACTACACGCACAAAGGCTCCCCGGTCGGGAATTGAACACAGACCCTTCTTGCCGTATCGACTTTGGGCGGCAGGGTGGCGCAAGTGGGGGACGCTGTCAACGCAGTCCACGCGCCATTCAAAGACCACTCGCAGAGTTTCATCATCGTCAGCGAGCTTGAATCAACAACTCAGTCGTCGTAATCAGCCGTGTGCAATCCACTGCTGGATGACGGTCTCCCCCCAAGCTGCCGTCACCTCGCACGACCCTCGCCGTAGTAACGCGGCACACCTGCACAAGAGCCGAGTCTCATCGCACCGTCTCACCGGCAGACGTCCCGTCGGACGCGTCCAGTTCCTCTGGCCTCCACTCCGTGACTAATGTTGACCATCGACCATCGTCCCTTCTAATGACGACTCAGGAATATCAGGAGATGGGGCACCATGGCAGGGATGGTGAGCTGAGAGGCGAAACCGTGCCCTCTGGGTGTGCTCAGCGGTGTGGGCTGGCCACATTGCATGGATATTAAAGAACGTCGCACTCCCTTGGCCAGATTAAATGTCACAGATCATTGCGTGCGTGCGTACGTGTGTGTGTGTGCCGGCTTGTCACCACGTAATCATCCCCCGGGGCCACCTAGAGACCAATGTACAGGCGTGATGAGTCCTCAGCCCTGCTACGCTGTTTTGTCGAAGATGGAAACCAAAACGAGATAGAAGGATCACGGATACGCGTCGATTCCGTAACGCAGTTCCAACATGCGCTTGTCTTTGGAAGTGTTTATTTGGAAATATTTATTTGCGGTACCCGGGACAAAATGCGTTTGCTCATTGCTACTTATGCTTTTAGTGCTGGTTTGTGTGTCTTTAGAGTTTGGTCAAATCTTTTAATGATCTTGACTTAAAGCTTTCGTGACTGCAGGAATTCATAAAACAAAAAACTACGACGTTTCGATCACAACCTGATGACGATTGCTTGTGTTGCGATCGTCGTAGTTTTTTGTTAATTTTTTTGTTCTACGTGACTTTACCGAAAGACCCAAAGAATACCTTTTAATGATTTTCTCATTTATGGCTGAGCGAGTGGAAAAGTGCTGCCCGTTAGTTCAGTGATGGGCAACCTAGACTAGTTAGTGGGCCACGTGGGCAGCCTTCCTTCACCTCAGTGGGCTGCAAGCTTGACGTGGTGCTTGTGCACTCATCATCATGACCTCAGGCATCACCCTGAAACCCCTAGACCAGGCCACCACGTGGAGCTCCACCCTGGACTCACCTAGACCAGGCCACCACGAGGGGACCCACCCCAGACACCCCTAGACCAGGCCACGATGAGGGGACCCACGCTGGACACCCCTAGACCAGGCCACCACGTGGAGCTCCACCATGGACACCCCTAGACCAGGCCACCACGTGGAGCTCCACCATGGACACCCCTAGACCAGGCCACCACGAGGAGCTCCACCCTGGACACCCCTAGACCAGGCCACCACGTGGAGCTCCACCATGGACACCCCGAGACCACGCCACCACGTGGAACTCCACCCTGGAGACACCCCAAGACCAGGCCACCACGTGGAGCTCCACCATGGACACCCCGAGACCAGGCCACCACGTGGAGCTCCACCCTGGACACCCCTAGACCACGCCACCACGTGGAGCTCCACCCTGGAGACACCCCTAGACCAGGCCACCACGACCCACCCTGGGCACCCCTAGACCAGGCCACCAGGAGGGGACCCACGGGTCGCAGGTTGCCCCCCACTGCTTTACTATATGGACCAGAGGTCACTTGCAGAAGGGACCTCAGAGGTAGCTCTGTTACATCTACATCTGTGGGCCAATCTCTGACACGAAAGGGCTGCACCGCTCTGAGACCAACAGGCATTTCGCCTCAAGACCTAATGGCAATAACACAATTGGGATTACATTGGGGAAAATTGCAATAATAATACAAAATATTTCTACTTTGTGAAAAGTTGACATTGTTTTTCCTTTGGACATGGCAATGTGGAATTTCCACCACGGGCTTAGTATTGCTGCATGCTTTTTCGAGACCAGCACCACCACGTGCTCGTGTGAAAGAGTGAGGCACTTGGGACATTGTTGCTTTAACGCTGTGAAACATTGTGCACGTGTTCTCCCAGAATCCTTCACTGCAGACCACAAGCCTCTGCTGGGAGAGTCGCCGGAAGTGCGTGGATTTTTTCTTGGCTGCGGCTTCAACAGCGCAGGTGAGCGCTCTCAAGCGCTCACACTCATGCACTCACGTACACACATGAACCAGAGCAGCCGCGGGCCTCGAACCACGGACTTCTTGAACAGGCTGCATGTTGGCTCGTACAGTCCTGTAGTCCAGCGCTGTAGAGGCAGTGAGTGTTGGTGGATAACACAAACTCGTGAAACTAATCACACAAATGCCCCACCCGTGTGGCATCAAAGTCACAATCTCCTGGCTTGCCAGGGTATGATGGCAGTACACAGCAAGAGGGTTTATTTCCACCTGTTTCCATCTGTACGGGGATTGTGCGTTTACCCCACACGCACACGCGAATTTCTCCAGGTTTTCGCCAGTTTACTCCCGCGTCTATAATCGACTCATGAAATCGAGTTTGTCAAACAAACCAAACTAGGACTACAGAGCTTGGGACATTCTTGGCACCCGGTTCTGCATTGCCTTCCCATTCGCCTGTGATTCTACATGCCTCTAAATCACTCATTCTCTGAAAAGGAACAAAAACTGAGCGCTTAATAAAAAAACACATTCCTGCGGAGGGAGCTAGTAGGAACGTTGGGTTGCTCGGTCAATGGCCAGGATCAACGGCGGCGTGGTGTATTCCGCAAATATGCCCGACTGTGAAGGTGGACACAAGCCGGCGTGAGTAAGTTAAGCGTTGAGTTTTATAAGGGCACCACGGGGTGACCAGCCCCTCCCCACCCAGCCCCACCCCTCCCACCCCCACCCAGCCCCACCCCTCCCACCCCCCACCCAGCCCCACCCTCCCCACCCAGCCCTCCCCACCCTCCCCACCCAGCCCCTCCCCACCCTCCCCACCCTCCCCGCCCAGCCCCTCCCCACCCTCCCCACCCAGCCCCTCCCTCCCTCCCCACCCAGCCCCTCCCTTCACGATGGACGGACACAATAATCCCTTGTGGGCTGGTGGAACCAGTGGGTTCCTACCAGTAAAATGTCTTCTTATTATACAACATCTGTGAATAGAGTTGAAACTTAATAACAAGTGCATTCCAGTAATATTCAACAGGGTCTTGCATCACAGAGGAGTTTTTCAAAATGCAGGCGAAGTAAAATGTGTATCCTCAGAAGCCCCAAATGTTTACTTGCAAATAAAAATAAATGTTTTACATATCATTCAGTGAAGATACGCATAAAGAGTGAACAGATTCAAGTGAACATGTTTTTGGCATGATGTTTGAAACAGAATTAAAATTTTCAGTGAGATTAATTTTAATTGAGGCAGAAGCTTTGATTCATCGTAGCCTCTTACGTTCATATTCGACCAAGCTAAAAGTTTTAATTGCTCATTAAATGTCACTTGTGGGAATAAGTTTAAGAGGAAAATTAGATGCAGTGTTTTGCTCGCGATGAACTGCACTATGGAAGAACGAATCGTCTCAAGATTTAGAATTTACTTTTGGGACGTAAGGCAGAAAACTTCGAGACATGTCTTAAAATAGTTAATCGTGGAACTGTATTGATGCAGATGAACTGGTTAGTAATGTTTCGATTTAAAGCTTTCGTGACTGCAGGGATTCATCTTCTTGGTTCTTTCGGTAAAGTCACGTAGAAGGGAAGTAATAAAATAATAAAAATAAAGCATAAAATAATTCTCACGACGTTTCGGCTACAACGCAAGCAGCCGTCTTCACCTGAAGACTGCTGCTTCAGGTCACTATGGAGCATAGTGACCTGAAGACGGCCTGCTTGTGTTGTAGCCGAAACGTCGTGAGAATTATTTTATTTTATCATGTTTTATTTTTATTATTTTATTACTTCCCTTCTACGTGACTTTACCGAAAGAACCAAGAAGATGATTAGTAATGCCTTGGTAAACGTGTAGTGACATGGAATGGGTCACCACGTAGCATAACGCTGGTTGCTGGCAGAGAAGGCGATCTGCAGGTGCAGCAGCCCTGTCTGTCAGCAGGTCACGTGATAAGCAGAGAGAGAGAGGGATGCAGGGCAAAGGTGAGAGAGGGGTCACGTGAGGTCAGCCCGGGACCCACGAGCAGGTTCCAGAAGGGGGGCATGACCGGGGGCTGAGCGAGGCCACGCCAGGAGGAGAAGAGGGACCCCGATCGTCCGGAGTGGATCCCTCGTCGTGCTGCTGGAGTCTTCGTGTTCACCTTCTCTGTCAGTCAGGCAGTCTGTTAGCTGTCCTCGCTGAAGTGTAGTTACCCTGTGAAGGCTGTAATACATAGAGTGCCTCCTACTCCTAGTGTCTCAAAGTGTATCACTACAAATGTGTAAAATACAAACGTAGGCTAGTGCCTATGTCTCCGTGTGGACAGCAGGAGGTCTAACTACAGAGATCACAGAGATTCGTGGAGTTTGTAATACAGCGCGCAAAGGCAGCCAGAACCCGCACCAACAATTGCTCTAGCTCTGTGGTCCTATATTGACATGATGTTCCAACTCCACTCATGAGCGTTTCATACGTGTGGGGGGAAACCGGAGTACCTGGAGAAGACCCACACGTGTGAGTGAGGGGAGTGACCCTCAATCCCTGCACAGGTAGAAATTGACCCACTTGCTGTACTGCAATCACATCCTGGCCAAACCGTAAGTTGGCGACCTCAACTCCCACGGGTGGAGATGGCGTTTCACCGGTGTGTGCGTGATGCACCAACCCTCACCTCCACAGTGCTGGATTACAGGTCAAGTGCAGCATAGCCACAGGCGGGCTGGCAAATGTTGAGCCCTCTGCAGCGTCTGGTCACTCAGGCAGCAGCCTCGGATGTGCAGCTGGCACAACGAGTGGTGGGCAATGTAGGATGGCGAATCTCCCAGTCACTGGAGTCTCTTAACCCTCCACACCTGGGTCTGTCACGTGATCTCTTGCTGGTGAGCCCGCGGCACTCGGTGTACGGAGCCGTGGTGACATCACCGCCACTCGGTGCATTTGATGCGTGGTGTGGTGCGGTGTACGTTTTGCGTTGATGCTTGCGAAGGGATGATGCTGGGAGGTGGCTGTGGCCAGGAGCTGGCTCACTGGATCATTCATGGACGCCCAGAGAAAGACATGTTCAGCTACGACATACGGTAGGGAACGCAACGCATTGTCACACGAGACGATGCAGTACAACGTCGCATATCCGATTCCCTGGGGCCTGAGGCTGTGGGCGGATATGTGAAAAGGTCAGATACGTGAATATCGCCTGCACCTATTAGGAAACCACTGGAGCTATGCACTTCTAAATCTTGATTGAAAACGAATCTCTTTAGAACTGATTTTTGTGTTTAGTTTGTTATCCTTCCCCCCGCACCTCCGATTCGCTCGGTTGGCTACGTACGGCGCCAAAGAAGTTCAACGTACGTACATACATCTCACCACTGCGGCACCCTCAATACGTACGTGCGGCGCGTGTTCCCCCCTCTCCCTGCCTCGCCCCGCCAGACGTTTCCACGGCTCCATGACGAATGACAACCGCTGGATTCGCGAGCGGAGTCACGAATCGTATGCCAAGAACTACTCGGTGGTCTTCCCGCACGACGAGCCGCTGGCCTTCCGCAACGCTCGCCTCGACCCCTTCCACAAGGTCGGCTCGCGCTGGGGCGGCAGCGCAGCGGGAACCCGTTGTTGCCTCGCTGCATTAAGAGCCTGGGTTCGATTCCCAGCTTGCGGGAGTTGGGATGTCCTCTTCCCCCCCCCCCTGTTCTGCATGGAGTTTTGTCCTGTTTCTCTGGCTTCCTCCCATAGCTAAAACATAAACAGCATGCACAATGGAACTGCTATTGGCCAAAGCTGTCGGAAAGACAGCGTCTGAATGAAAATATGCTGTCTTTCCGTCAGACGCTGTCTTTCCAACAGCCCTGTTCTTCACCTGAGGACGGCTGCTTGCGTTGTGGCCGAAACGTCGTGAGAATTGTATTTTATTATGTTTTTATTTTTATTCTTTTATTATTTCCTTCTACGTGTCTTTACCGAAAGAACCAAGAAGATAAACTTGTAGTTCTTGACCTTCCCGGGACGCGTGTTTTCCCGAAATAATCAACGGATCAAGGCTTTATGAAGAGCTCGCTTGAACAAAAATAAAGCAACAAGCATCCAGCCCCGGTCACGTGACCCTGCCCGGTGCAATGCGAGGAGTCGGCGGCGCTGCGGCCGTTAAAGGTCACGGCGCGCCGGTCGTCGGGAATAATTTCATGCTCGGAGAATCCGGTCCGGTGAGCCCCAGGCTCCCTCCACGTGTCCCCCAAAATTAGTGAAAACCTTCACAGGGGCCAATCGAGCGGCGGAGGGGGCGACGACTAACGGAAGGAGGCCTGAATAAACCCAGTGGGCGCATGTCTGCGCAATAGATAAAAACTGCGAATACGTAATGTAGCGTGACACACCTCAGCGGAGTAGATAACTGAGATAGTTTTTATTGCTGTTTTAGAATGTTCCTTTGAATCACCGTGCATGTGTTTATTCCGCGTTTAATGTGTCAGTTTTGTCGACGTGCACTCTCCCTATAGTCACCGTTTGTGTTTTGGAGATGTTCCTCGTTTATTATTTAAAATACGCTCGGATAAGTTGTCTAATTTCCTGCAAAGCAAAGCCTCAAAGTTGATCTTTTCCCCCCAGAACTGCACTGGGTTGGGATGTTTGGTAACTTTCTTTTGTGTTTTGTTTTGTGCATGGGCATAAACCGAATACCCAGCGGTGCGGTCATAAGACTCTCTAACGTCCACACAGATGGGTTCACGAACCCCACTTGCTGTACTTCCACCTCCTGGCCACTTTGCGGCCAATTTGTCTCGGGGGATTTTGCAAATGTGCGTGATCCACCAGCCGCCTGCGTGCGAGGCACTGGATCGTGGGCGTGCGTAGCTAGCAAGCCGGCTCGAAAGCCTTTGATGCATCTGATTTTTTTTTTTTTTCATTGTGACACAACGGGAGCCCGGTGCGATGCCGCCGATCGCCATTGGAAGGGAACAGAAATTCGGCGAGCGGCAACTCGAATTGGGCGCGGCAGGACCAGTCTGCAGGGCGGCGGGGATCGGACTCGCTGTCCCGGCCAAGTGGGGAACCACGCGCAGGGGACTTGGAGGATTTATACGGAGAGGGAGAGGGAAGGCCGAGGGAGGGGTGGGGAGAGGAAAGAGGGGATCTTGATGTGTCTGTTAATCTATCAAGCATCCGAGATGGCCTGAGACAATCCTGCTTTTCATATCCCAGATAATCTGAGATGATCAAAGCCGTCGTATCAATACAGCATTTGTATCCCCCCCGTCAGAAATACCCCCGGTTGGGCGAAGGCAGTCAGTGCAGCTCCGCTTACACGATCGTTGGTCCTGCACTGGTTTGTCTTTACGGTGTCAAGGTCCACGTTCCTATGGCGGGGGACGGACATGTCCGTAAGACATCCACTGTTGATGGTGCCTCATGTCGAACTTGGAACTTAAAAAACAAAACAATGTGTTTACAACAACAACAACAATGCAACAGTGACCACAGGGAGCGGTGGTGCTCGTCTCCCTGAGCTGACATGCACAGCAGGGGGTCAGACGCCGTCTCCCGGCAGCAGTAGGGGGTCAGACGCCGTCTCCCGGCAGCAGTAGGGGGTCAGACGACGTCTCCCGGCAGCAGTAGGGGGTCAGACGACGTCTCCCGGCAGCAGTAGGGGGTCAGACGACGTCTCCCGGCAGCAGCAGGGGCTCAGACGCCGTCTCCCAGTAGCAGCGGGGTCAGACGACGTCTCCCGGCAGCAGCAGGGGGTCAGACGACGTCTCCCAGCAGCAGTAGGGGGTCAGACGCCGTCTCCCAGCAGCAGTAGGGGGTCAGACGCCGTCTCCCAGCAGCAGTAGGGGGTCAGATGCCGTCTCCCAGCAGCAGTAGGAGGTCAGATGCCGTCTCCCAGCAGCAGCAGGGGGTCAGATGCCGTCTCCCAGCAGCAGTAGGAGGTCAGACGCCGTCTCCCAGCAGCAGCAGGGGGTCAGATGCCGTCTCCCAGCAGCAGCAGGGGGTCAGACGACGTCTCCCAGCAGCAGTAGGAGGTCAGATGCCGTCTCCCAGCAGCAGCAGGGGGTCAGATGCCGTCTCCCAGCAGCAGCAGGGGGTCAGACGACGTCTCCCAGCAGCAGTAGGGGGTCAGACGCCGTCTCCCAGCAGCAGCAGGGGGTCAGACGCCGTCTCCCAGCAGCAGTAGGAGGTCAGACGACGTCTCCCAGCAGCAGCAGTAGGGGGTCAGACGACGTCTCCCGGCAGCAGCAGTAGGGGGTCAGACGCCGTCTCCCGGCAGCAGTAGGGGGTCAGACGACGTCTCCCGGCAGCAGCAGTAGGGGGTAAGACGCCGTCTCCCGGCAGCAGTAGGGGGTCAGACGCCGTCTCCCGGCAGCAGCAGTAGGGGGTCAGACGACGTCTCCCGGCAGCAGCAGTAGGGGGTCAGACGCCGTCTCCCGGCAGCAGTAGGGGGTCAGACGACGTCTCCCGGCAGCAGCAGTAGGGGGTCAGACGCCGTCTCCCGGCAGCAGTAGGGGGTCAGACGCCGTCTCCCGGCAGCAGCAGGTGGTCAGACGACGTCTCCCGGCAGCAGTAGGGGGTCAGACGCCGTCTCCCGGCAGCAGTAGGGGCTCAGACGCCGTCTCCCGACAGCAGCAGCAGGGGGTCAGACGCCGTCTCCCAGCAGCAGTAGGGGGTCAGACGCCGTCTCCCGACAGTAGCAGCAGGGGGTCAGACGCCGTCTCCCGGCGGCAGTAGGGGGTCAGACGCCGTCTCCCGGCAGCAGTAGGGGCTCAGACGCCGTCTCCCGACAGCAGCAGCAGGGGGTCAGACGCCGTCTCCCAGCAGCAGTAGGGGGTCAGACGCCGTCTCCCGGCAGCAGTAGGGGCTCAGACGCCGTCTCCCGGCAGCAGTAGGGGGTCAGACGCCGTCTCCCGGCAGCAGTAGGGGGTCAGACGCCGTCTCCCGGCAGCAGTAGGGGCTCAGACGCCTGTCTCCCGGCAGCAGTAGGGGCTCAGACGCCGTCTCCCAGCAGCAGCAGGGGGTCAGACGCCGTCTCCCAGCAGCAGTAGGAGGTCAGACGACGTCTCCCAGCAGCAGCAGTAGGGGGTCAGACGCCGTCTCCCAACAGCAGCAGCAGGGGGTCAGACGACGTCTCCCGGCAGCAGTAGGGGGTCAGACGCCGTCTCCCGGCAGCAGCAGTAGGGGGTCAGACGCCGTCTCCCGGCAGCAGTAGGGGGTCAGACGCCATCTCCCAGCAGCAGCAGTAGGGGGTCAGACGCCGTCTCCCGGCAGCAGCAGTAGGGGGTCAGACGCCGTCTCCCGGCAGCAGCAGGGGGTCAGACGCCGTCTCCCAGCAGCAGCAGTAGGGGGTCAGACGCCGTCTCCCAGGCAGCAGCAGTAGGGGGTCAGACGCCGTCTCCCGGCAGCAGTAGGGGGTCAGACGCCGTCTCCCGGCAGCAGTAGGGGGTCAGACGACGTCTCCCAGTAGCAGTAGGGGGTCAGACGCCGTCTCCCGGCAGCAGTAGGGGCTCAGACGCCATCTCCCAGCAGCAGCAGGGGGTCAGACGACGTCTCCCGGCAGCAGTAGGGGCTCAGACGCCATCTCCCAGCAGCAGCAGGGGGTCAGACGACGTCTCCCGGCAGCAGTAGGGGCTCAGACGCCATCTCCCTGCAGCAGCAGGGGGTCAGACGACGTCTCCCAGCAGCAGTAGGGGCTCAGACGCCATCTCCCAGCAGCAGCAGGGGGTCAGACGCCATCTCCCGGCAGCAGTAGGGGGTCAGACGCCGTCTCCCGGCAGCAGGGGCCGACCGAGTCGGAGGTAACGGGAGGGCCGCAGGAGAGAGGGAGCGCGGGGCGAGGCATCAACATTTAAACCCCTTGACATTTCATTTGCGTGTCAAACGCTCCGACGACAGCAGCACTCGGCCACAATGTTGGGTACGCAAAGAGCGCCCGTTTGTGATGGGGGAGTCTGGGGGGCGGTGGAGGGGGGGGGGGGGTCGAGCAGCCGTAGTGAGAGCTCCGGGCGAGTTGAGTTGACATTTAATCAGGCCCTAATGAGATGAGATGCCGAGCTGATTGCAAGAGGATTTAAATGATCTTGTGAAGGGGATGGAGAATCTCTCTGCCATTAATGCTTGTGTCAGGGTGTGGAATTTAGCTTGAAGTGATGCCAAGGTTAGGCGCTGGGGTGGGGGAAGTTAATTAATTCCTTAATTCATTAAATTATCTTTACATTACACGTGGCCAGGCGCCACTGTGGTTAGAGAGCGTGATTCACATCCAGACGTGTGTGGGTTCAAATCCGGCTCAGTCGGCACCTCGCCTCGTGATCCCTTCTGGGGTGGTTAATCTATTGCTCTCCTCTTGCTCCACTCCCCTCCACGCTCTCTCCTGCCTCTCCCCTCTCATCTCACTCTACTCCCCTCCGCTGACTCTCCTACCTCTCCCCTCTCATCTCACTCTCCTCCCCTCCACGCACTCTCCTACCTCTCCCCTCTCATCTCATCTCACTCTCCTCCCCTCCACACACTCTCCTACCTCTCCCCTCTCATCTCACTCTCCTCCCCTCCACGCACTCTCCTACCTCTCCCCTCTCATCTCACTCCACTCCCCTCACATCTCACTCCCCTCTCATCTCACTCTCCTCCCCTCCACGCACTCTCCTGCCTCTCTACCCTGAACTCAGTCCAATTCTCCTCCATGCCCTCTCCGTCTGCAATGACAGCCTGTGAAATTTGATTTCGCGGGAACGTATTTCCCGACCTTTCCCCGGTTGCCTTCTCTCCACACGAGGCCGTGTCGCCTCCTCGCTGGCTCCTCGATGGATGTGTTGGTCACACGCCAGTCGAACTGAAATGTCGACTTCTCTTGAGCTGCAGTCAGACAGTTTAAGTGACTCACAGATATCAATAACGGGGGCTGTGGGAGTGGGGGGGGGGGGTTTGTTTTGACAGTCATCGGTGAGCGGGCCAAGATCTTTATACCGCTCCATTGGAAAACCCCACGTCGATTCACAGTTGGCTGGAACCCAGTACCCGAGTCAAGAGCTGCATGGCTCACAGGGTTATACCTAATAAATGAAAAATAAATCAAATAAATTCAAAGCCAATACTCGACCCAACAGTGATCATTCCTGACGTTGGTCCGAACCCGATGCACAAAATACTGCTGGCTGGCTCTTCACGGCTGGCTTTGCCCAGACAGCGAGCGGGTGAGTGTGTCAGTGTGTCAGTGCTTTTGTTTAATTTCATGTGTATCTGTGTGTGTGACTGGGGAGACAAAGGCGGGCGGGCGTGGTGGTCAGGCCACACCACCCCCTGGTGCACCGTGCCTGCCTTCATAGGTGCTCGCTCACAGCACTTGACCCAAACGGTCTAAAAAGCTACGCAGGGGATCTTTGTCTTTTTATTGTTGTTGTACGGTGCCAATTAATTAGTTTGGATTCTATTCCAAATATGATTCAGAACTAGTTATTATTTGTGCGTGTATATACCCAGGAAAGCCTCATTGAGTCTCAAACTGTTAAAGTAGGGGGCAATGCCATTGATCAGCGTTGAGATTTTTGGCCAATGTCAGTTACCTTGTGTAGGTTTTATTAGATACTTGCTTTTTGCCAGTCCAAGGACGACGGGTGTATTGCAGTAAATCTGAAACTTGCAAGCAAAAAGCAGACCGCGACGTGATATATTCATTGCATCAATTCGTGTGCAATTTGTAAGGCCGCGGGGACACAGACTTATCTCATTTAAAGGTTATAATCCCTTGTTCATCACGACGTCCTTTTTACTTCGATGTCTCAACAGCGTTATGGAGATTGCGTGACGTGAGGGTTCTGCCTTTGTAGTGAGGGTTGTGAGTTGACGCCGAGGAGGGGGGAGGAGGCGCCTCGCCCCCCCCCCATGTGGAGTGACGTCACCCGCTAATTATTATTAATGGAGGGCTGTCCATTTGGAAGACGTCACCTGTTCATGATTATTAATGAGGGGGGCTGTTCGACGTGGAGTGACGTCACACGCGAGACACACAGACATTCTCGGTTCATTATCGTAGTGAATGCGCAGAAACCGGAGATGCCGTAGGAGACCCACGCAGAACACGGGGAGAACATGCACACTCGACACAGCAAGGGATCCCAGTTGGGTATCGAACCCAGGCGCTTCTTGCCGTGAGGTACAAGGTGTTACCACTGCACCACCCTGCAGCCCACACAGACACCTTCACGAGCGGTGTATGCATTCATATGCTGAACAACCGAGGGTCAGTGCAAGTTGCTTGAGTCACACCCGACAGCCCATTCCCCCGCGGGTCGACGGTTGATGTCCAGGGATTATAAAAACGGTGCGAAGTCGGCCGAGGTCCCCCTTGTGTGTGTGTGTGGATGGCGAGCATCAGTTAGACCACCAGTGGGTCCGCCCCACTGAGGAGTCCTAAGCTTTGTCACGGCACTTCACCGGTTAAGTGGTGCGAGGGGTGGGAGGGCGTATGGTGGAGCAGTGTGGTGAGCGCGCCGCACCACAAATCCGGTGAGCCGAGTTCAATTCCTGAGCACGGCTAGCGTCGTGGCGCAAGTGATATCCGAGCCGGTCCTGGACATCTGCCCCACTGGTTCACCAACCCGTACCGACTAGCGTGGTGAAGTATGGTCAAACAACGCCATTAACTAGCGTGGCTGACATTATTTGTAATTATTATTACGAGTGTGTATAAAAGAGCAATGCATGATTATGTTTTATGATTTCCTTGCACGATCCCTTAATTGATCTTTTTTACACGGGTGTCCAAGGGTGTCACGGGACACACGCACACAGATAGCCAAACGCTTCGTGAGACATTACAAACGTTTTAAACAGATGCACAACAGATGCTTGAAAACACGGTGATATTAAATTTGTTAAAATATTATGCTTTTCCTAAAATAATGTCGAGGATTGTTGTCGTGATGCCCATAATCCTCGCCAAAGCTTTGAGTTTAATTGCCGGCTCATTCGTGACATTGGCGGCCACTGCACGAGCTGAATTATTGTTCCCGCTTAATTAGAGGAGCTAAAAGGGACCTTGCACTGAAATCCAAACACAGCCAAATGTCAGCGGTGCATGCCTCTTGAAGTTCTCGCCAGCTTAGGGAGCGTGCGTGGATACTTAACGCTGCTCCCCACAGGAGAACAGATGTTGTGGAGGTTTCCCTGCGCTCTCTACTTCTTCTTAGCACTTAAATTTCGCTTTAAAGCTTTCGTGACTGCAGGGATTTATCTTCTTGGTTCTTTCGGTAAAGTCACGTAGAAGGGAAATAATAAAATAAAAAAAATAAAACATAATAACATACAAATCTCACGACGTTTCGGCCACAACGCAAGCAGCCGAAACGTCGTGAGAATTGTATTTTATTATGTTTTATTTTTATTATTTTATTATTTCCCTTCTACGTGACTTTACCGCAAGAACCAAGAAGATTCTTCGCACTTCTTCACATTTCTTAGCACTTCTCCGTTGAACCATTTTGTTGGTTCAGTGGCTCCTAATTTTTCGCAATTCATTTAATCCCCTGGCGTCGCTCGTTATGTCCTCGATTACAAAGCAGGACGGGGTGGCACCCTGGGAGGAGGTTGTGGCCTTGGCCGTTGCGGGTCACGGTCGTTTTCCGGTGGCATTGAAAAATAATAGGGACATTTCACGTCACATCTCTTGGCCTGCCTCTAAAACGATGATGATTGTGGGATGATGATATTATTTCGTCGTGGTGGTCGTGGTATTGGTGAAGCCAAAGATGGCGGTTATAATAATGATGGTCATGTTGATCATGAGAATGGTGGTAGTCGTTATGATGATGATGGTCATGATAAAGATGGTGGTGTCGACGTTTATGGTGGTTGATAGTGATGACAATGACGGTGGTAGGGGTGGTAGGGGTGGTAAAGGTTGTTGATGGTGGTTAAGGTTGTTGTAGTTGTGATGGTGATTTTAGTGGTGTTGAACGATGAACACTGGCAGTCATATTGACGACGACGATGATGATGGTCGTAGTCGATGATGGTGGTAATGTTGATTATAATGGCGGTGGTGCTGATGATGAATGTGGTGTTAGTTGTGATGACAATAATAGTGTTATTCGAAGTTGATAGTTATGATGTTGCTAATGGTCATGATAACGATGCTGGTGGTGGTAATTATTGTTGTGTTGATGAAGAAATGTTGAATGATTGTGTTGATGACGGTTATGCCACTGCTGCTCCTGCCGATGATGATGATGATGCTGATGATGACCACGTGATTGCTCATGGTCGTTCTCTTTGTTGACTCTGAACAGGTGCTGCAGCAGCAAGGCTGCGTGTTCCAAGAGCGCCACGGGTGGGAAAGACCCGGATGGTTCAACTTGGAAGGAGCCGCTGACGTACGTGTTCAATTGTTTTACGTCTCATTTCCCTCCGTCACGACCCCGCGCCGTCGCAGTTGCAATTCTTGCGGCGCTTTGAGACGCAATTTTGCGTGCATGACGCCGCTCTGTGCAAAATACAAAATGTGTATCGCTATCGAGCAATGGGGCAGCACAGAAGGCCGAAGTCTCCCACCTGAGTAAAGCCCATTGAGCTGCACAGCTCTTTTGCTCGTGACTACGTATTTGTAAATATGTATAAATATTTAATATGTAGTTCACTTTAAAGTCCTTTTTGTTCTCATTAATAAAAACTGCGCTCTTACAAACTAAGAGGTTCATAATAGCGGTTTTTGAGTTAGATCGCGTCACTAGTGTAGGCCATGCTCACCCCGTTCCCCCTCCACGGGAACGCTTGGTGCCACGGGTGTAGGAGGCGTTCTGTCAACGTGCCGGTATTCACGCGTGCGCACGTACGTTGAGCTTCACCGCACGTAGCCAACCGTGCTAATCTAAGGTGCGGTGGGAAGGACAACAAACTAAACACAACACAACTGTTTTAAATAAAAGAGTTTGGTGTTGTGGACCGTGACCGGCGTGGCCTACCACCGCATACCGGCACTTCTTGGCCACTGGGTACTGGTTCATCGCAACGCAATTGGTACGGATAGGAAATCGCGTGCGTACGTCCGTGCGCATGCTGCCACGTGTAAGGGTGCGTGTGTGGGTTGTCTGGGTTTTGGTATAGGGGGACCACTCCTCAAAGTGTTTTGAGTGAAGTGCCAGCGATGCATCGGTGGCGAGCTCTTCCGCCAGCAACGCCTTCATCATTCAAACGGCGATTGTCGCCGGGTTTCTGACGGCCACTCACGTGATGTTATTCCACTTCGCAGGAGTTGGCGTGCTCTGATCATTCCCCGTCCTCATGACCATAGCAGAGCTTGAGCACTCGCTGAACATTTGCCTGGTCACCGATATACTGGAGTATGGCGGCACCTCCGATTAGCACGGCTGACTACGTACGGTGAGAATGCAGCTCAACGTACAGGCGTACAAGACTCATAGCCAAAGCCATGGGGAGAGGCAAAGGGGATGTTGTGCGCCGGGCACGGGAATATTTCACTGGTTCACCGACCTGCATGGAATCGGCGGGAACGAAGCTCCGAGTGGCGTGCACCCGGAGCTTTGTCCCCTCCGTTACCGAGTGACGCCGTGGCAAGCGCAGCGAGGGCCGAAGCACAGAGACCCCGGCCGCACGCCAATCATCCCCAATGACCGCCAACCCCACCCCTGGAAGAAGACATCGTTCGTAAATGTTGCGTGTTACCGTATTGTGCGAGGAGCGGCAGAACGAGCGCAGAGCTGGAGACCCGGTGAGCTGGATTGATTTCCCTGCTGGCGACTGCGATTTGGCAAAGTCCGTCGCAGCCAAAGCGGCGTTCGCGGCCAACGTTTTTCCGCAGGAGAAATTAATTAATTAATTATTGATTGGCTCATTCCACTGTTAATCATATGGCGCCACCAGGGGTGTGGGAAATTAGTGGACACCAATCCCATCATGATGGCGCAATTACGATAAGACCATGCAGGCAGCAGAGAGCTGGGAATTACTCTGTTGTGACACAATATAATCACAAGCATCATTTTGGAGAATATAAATGAATAGACAATATATGTGTGTGTGTGCTCCTTAACAAATCCGCCTCTCCGCTTCAAAAAATATGAAAAATTATTCGTACGCAACCTATCGGCGGCACGGCCTTCTGGGAGTGCATTATTTCAGCAGCACTGTTTGAATATAAGCAAACCCTGGACCCGATTTGGCATCGGCAGAGTCTGGCTTACCTGAATCACTCAAGATCTAGATCGAAATGCCAACATGGACAATTTCCACAACTGCCTTAAGGGCCACCATCACAGCCTTGCCAACCCCAATGTGTATTTGAGATAAGGGGCACTTTGACTTTGAATTGGTTATTTTCAAGACAAAATCATGTTCAACTCGTCGACCGATGAGTCTTCCGGATCAGTTTATCCCGATAAGGTTTTTACTTGCACAAGGAAATGCTGGAGTGGTTTCCAGCTAATCTGGGCCTCATCAGCACGGTCTGGCCTCTTAAACCAATGCACAGTGCGACTGCAAATAACCAACTGGAGCAATACCGGTTCATGTTGGCGATGCGTTCCTGAAAGGCGCGACATATATCGTAAATTAAAGCAAATTGTTTAAATTACCAAAACACCGCACGCCAATAATATATAGCACTCTACAGTACGGTGCATTTCTTAAAGTGGTTCGTGTACAGGGTAGTGGGTGACGGCTTACTGAGAGAGGATGGACGATGCTGTTAGCGACGCAAGTGTGGTTTGAGGCGACGTTCATCAGGGAGCAGTGTTCACACACAACGACGACATATTTGTGAAACGCCATAAGGGCGAGACGCGAATCGGGGTGTGACTGTATAAGCAACCGTTTTTCCACGTCGATGAATTTCCTCGTCATCTTTTTGTACGACGTTGAAATTATTTTGCACCGCATGCAGCCAACGATCCGACTTGTGAAAACTTGCCGTCACGCCCGCTGCCACCGACGAAACGACATCGCCACGGTGATGCGTTCTGTCCCCTTTGGCCAGCCGTGCGTCCGGCCCTCGGTGTGTGGCAGCGGTGTTAATCGGGGGGCCCCCATTCTCGCCCGCACATCCAGCCATGTGGCCCTCGAACATTCGGAGTCGCAGTGTCAATCCTATTTGCGTCATCCTCAAAACGTAAACCGCAGGTGCAAACAAAGTCTCAAAATGCTTTGTTTTACTTGTGCCACATTGAGCCGTGAGCACAGTATAAGCACTGTAACAGAAGCTGATATAAGCGAGGTTCACATCTGTGATAAATATTACAGTGCTTACCGAGTGGGTGGGATGGGATGTGTGTGTGTGTTTGTCTCTGCTCACGGGAATCGCTGATGCGAGGTCGAATTTTATAAAAGGGGGAGCGGTGGTGTAGCGGTTAGCGCGCTGCGCTGTGAACCCGGCCACCCGGGTTCGATTAACAACACCAGTGACGATTATCTGAACCGGTCCTGGGCCTCCCTTAGATCCACTCAGCCTCAATGAGTACCTGATGTGGTGTGTAAACATCGTTACTAGAGAGACAAAGGCGGTCGGGCTTGGTGTTGGCCACCTATCCACTCGTGTGCCATGCCCGCCTTCATAAATGCTCGCTAACAGCACTTACCCCAACAGCCTGTTAGGGCTACACAGGGGATCTATTTCTTTGTGTCTCTGCTCACAGGAATCACTGATACGGGAATCGAACTCGGGTCGCCGGGCTCGTAGCGCAGCGCGCCAACCATGCGCACACACGCACGCAGGCAGGCAGGCAGGCACACTCCCACGCTCTTGTGAGGACGCATCTAAGGCAACCGGCTTCGTCCGCGCACCGACCTTGAGGGATGACAGCGCGGCTCAAACTCCAAGCGTCCCGTTTTGATCACGACTTCATTGTCGCTGCGCGTGGGACACTGGCGGCAGTAATGAGCCAACTGCTGCGACAATAAACAGCGCTCGTGACAGGGGGTGGGGGGCAGCATCTTTGAATTTTTAACGAGCCACGTAAATAATGTCGGCAAATTACGGAACGCGCCGATCGCCTCCGATCCTGGAAGCTGAGCGGGGTTGATGATGGATAGTGATTGGATGGGCAACGATCTTGCATGACAGGTGCTATAGGCTGTAGGCTTTGCTTGCGGGTAGCATGGGGCATTGCAGAAAAGCAATGGTTGTGCTGTACCAATATTCTCCCACGTCTTTGCTTCATGTTCATCAATCCGCACTCACCAACGTGGTGACGTGTGACAAGATAGACACCGTGGCCCACAATTGCATTGTGACTGGTTTTTAATTCATCTCTGCGTCTCTGTGGGTCTCTATAAGTATATATGTGTCTCTGGGTCTCTATGGGTCTCTGTGGGTCTCTGTCGGTCTATTATATAGTCCATAGTGTTGGTTGCACTGAGTTCTGTTGATGTTCTGATGCGATTGATGGTAACACCAGTAACCATCAATCCTTGAGAAGTAGCAATGAGGTCTACCGTTGGGTCTTCCAGCCCCTTTGCCGTGTCTCAGTGACGCTGTGTGTGTGTCGCATGCTGTAGACTCTCCCCGTGTCTCAGTGACGCTGTGTGTGTGTCGCATGCTGAAGGCTCTCCCATGTCACAGTGACGCTGTGTGTGCGTCGCATGCTGTAGACTCTCCCCATGTCTCAGTGACGCTGTGTGTGTGTCGCATACTGTAGACTCTCCCCATGTCACAGTGATGCTGTGTGTGTGTCGCATGCTGTAGACTCTCCCCATGTCACAGTGATGCTGTGTGTGTGTCGCATACTGTAGACTCTCCCCATGTCACAGTGACGCTGTGTGTGTGTCGCATGCTGTAGACTCTCCCCATGTCACAGTGATGCTGTGTGTGTGTCGCATGCTGTAGACTCTCCCCATGTCTCAGTGATGCTGTGTGTGTGTCGCATGCTGTAGACTCTCCCCATGTCTCAGTGATGCTGTGTGTGTGTCGCATGCTGTAGACTCTCCCCATGTCACAGTGACGCTGTGTGTGTGTCGCATGCTGTAGACTCTCCCCATGTCACAGTGATGCTGTGTGTGTGTCGCATGCTGTAGACTCTCCCCATGTCACAGTGATGCTGTGTGTGTGTCGCATGCTGTAGACTCTCCCCATGTCTCAGTGATGCTGTGTGTGTGTCGCATGCTGTAGACTCTCCCCGTGTCTCAGTGATGCTGTGTGTGTGTCGCATGCTGCAGGTTCTCCCCTACGACTATTATGGCTCCTACGGCCACAAGCCCCACCAGGATTACAAATACAAGAGCCTCCTGTCGGACGAGTACACATTCGACTTCCCTCCCCATCACCACGTGGTGAGTCCCCCGTGTACCATCGTCATCATCAGCACCACTACCACCAGCGTGTTCATCATCATCAGCAACAGCATCGTCATCATCAGCACCACTATTACTGGCAGTTGTATCAATAATGGCAGCTTCACCACCAGCAGTGTTACCATCATCTTCAGCAGCAGCAGAAACAGCGTCGCCAGCAGTACTACCATTGCCACTGGCAGTTCCATCATTATCATCAGCGAAAGCAGCAACAGCTTCATTAGCAGAACCTCTACCACGCTCTACCAGCAGTGTCATGATAGTTTTATGGTGATTGATGGGGATAATGGTGTTGATGCTGTTCATGATGAAGATGCATTCGACGACGATGGTGATGATGGTGATCAGGAAGATTTAATCATGGAGATGGTGCTGTGCTAATGTTGCTATGTCGGTGATGATTTCGTTGATGATGTTGGTGACGACGACGATGATGATGATGATGGCGATGAGGTCATTGTACTATCGCTCGCATCGCGTGTAGATCCGAGACGAGTGTGTGTCGTGCCGGAACGCCGTCGCGGTGTTCAGCATGTCGTACTTCGGCAAGTTCTACCTCGTGGGCCCCGACGCTCAGAAAGCTGCCGACTGGCTCTTCACAGCTGACGTCTCCAAGCCAGTGGGTGAGTGTGGCCGGGCGTGCTGCTCGCCACCCACCCCCTCGTAGCGCCGTGCCGGCCTTCATAGGTGCTGCTCGCTAACACCACTTGCCCCAACAGTCTACTCAGGCTGTATGGGGGATCTTTGTCTTTGTATGTGTGTTTAAGAGGGAGCAGTGGTGTCGCGGTTAGCGCACCGCACTACGAATTCGGTGACCCGAGTTTGATTCCCGCTTATGGCCAACACCAGTGACGATTATCTGAACCGATCTTGGGCCTCTCCTAGGTTGACTCAGTGTCAAATGAGCACTTGGTGCGATGCGTACACTTAACCACTGGGGAGACAAAGGCGGCCAGGCATGGTGCTGGCCACCCACCCCCTCGTGTGCCGTGCCGGCCTTGACAGGTACTCGCTTAACAGCACTTGCCCCAGCAGTCTTTTCAAGGCTATTCGGTGGGATCTTTTGATTTTGCGTGAGTGTGTACGAGTGTGCATGCGTGTGTGGATGTGCACTGCTTGATGGAGGCCGTCATCCCTCATGGTCCCGTGATGCAACCGTCAACCTCCTGCCCGAAACGGGAGCAGCTGAAACGCGAGCGGATTTCTAGGGTCGGCCTCCGCCGCCGGCCATCAACCCGGTTCAAACCCCACGACCCACGTCCTCTCCTTGACGGTCAATCCCACGTCCCCGAAACTTGCGCACATCCTCACATCCACGTGCTCCTCTCTCTTCTCTCTGCCGTGCCCGTCTGTGTCGCCCGGTGCCATTTGGAGATCCCTCTTCACCGTGCGATCTGGATAAGAGCGCGCACGCGTCAAGAGTTGTGCGTGCCTAGGGCAGGCGGTGACGGTGGATCCGGGGGATCTAAGCGATCGGAATAAAGATGCTGCGCACGAGATCGGGTCGGGGTGCGTTCGGAAAGCCAAACTTGAATAATTGAAAGCAGCTCATCAACGTGGCAGGCGCTGAGCTAAACAGAGCCTCATTTGCGTATCGAGCAGGGAGACAGATGGCACGAGCATTTGGATGGGTTAGGGAAACTGGGCTTCGCCTGGGCTGACAAGACTCCAGTTCCGCGCCAGTGTTGAGATGTTAACGGGTGCCACGGTGGCTAGGAGATGTTAACTACCTCGCCTGGTATACAGGAGGTCTTGGTTACACCCCGACCGTGGTCGAGTAGATTTTTCTCTGGGTCCTCCGGTTTTTCCCTCCACATTTAGAATCAACATCACGCGTTTAGAGTATTTTGCTGCTATAAATTTACACGTGATAAACCACCTCGTTGAGCTATTATTTGTGGCCAGGTCACTTGTGAAAAAGAGCGATCTAGCTCAGTGGGACTTACCTCCATATATCTCTCCACGTCTCTCTCCAAGTCTCACTGTCTGTCTCTGTATCTCTCTCGGTATCTCTCTGCTTGTCTGTCTCGGTGCACATCTCAAGAGGTGGGAGTTACCGCACCTCCGATTAGCACGGTTAGCTACATGCTGTGCGAAAGAAGTTCAACTTAAAATCATTATACATGTACACACATATGGCTCCTGCTTTCTCTCAGTGTTTGTCTCCCTCTATCTGTCTGTGTCTCTCTCTCCGCGTCTCCCTCGGTGTACGTTCTCTGTCTCCATGTCTCCCTCTATCTGTCCGTGTCTCTCTCTCCGCGTCTCCCTCGGTGTACGTTCTCTGTATCCACGTCTGTCTCTATCTGTCCGTGTCTCTCTCTCCGCGTCTCCCTCGGTGTGTGTTCTCTGTCTCCATGTCTCCCTCTATCTGTCCGTGTGTCTCTCTCTCCGCGTCTCCCTCGGTGTGTGTTCTCTGTCTCCATGTCTCCCTCTATCTGTCCGTGTCTCTCTCTCCGCGTCTCCCTCGGTGTGTGTTCTCTGTCTCCATGTCTCCCTCTATCTGTCCGTGTGTCTCTCTCTCCGCGTCTCCCTCGGTGTGTGTTCTCTGTCTCCATGTCTCCCTCTATCTGTCCGTGTGTCTCTCTCTCCGCGTCTCCCTCGGTGTGTGTTCTCTGTCTCCATGTCTCCCTCTATCTGTCCGTGTCTCTCTCTCCGCGTCTCCCTCGGTGTACGTTCTCTGTCTCCACGTCTGTCTCTGGAGCCTCCCTCTGTGGCCGGGCCCCCGTTGATTGTCGCGCTGCCTCGGGGACCCCGTCGTGACGTCCGCGTGCCGCCCACCGCTGATCGATGGGCCCCTTCCCCAGCAGCAGCGGCGGCCCTCGTTAACTCGCCTTTGGCACCAGGTGTTTAATCACCGCCGGGTATCGACGCCATTGATCACTCGCCAAGCTCCGTCTGTCCCATTTTTAACGTCGTTTACTTATTTACCAGTCGTCCACTTTTGCCCCGTGCTTTTTGATGTTTTGTTTTTTACCGCCGGCTTTTATCCGAGGTGGGTGGCGCTGCCATCCAGCAGAGGGCGGCTCGACGATCGGAGAACCCGCCTCACGGGGTTCAAATCCCCGTCTGCACGGCGACTCAGAATCAGAATCTTTATTTCGTGAGAATTAGAATATTTATTTATACTGGAGCAATCTGATGAACTATAAAGCTCTTTTGTCACAGATGTCCAGTAAGGGCTACCGGGTCAGAACGTTACAACAACAAACAATACAAAAACACGATATGAGTGCAAAGTATATGAAAGGTAAGCAAATCACTCAAAGAAATACAAATAAAACTAAACTATTTTAATGTTACCAGGCAAAGCCCACTGAGCTATTAGCTTCTTTTTCAGAAGCGAGCCGGTCATAAATGAGAGCTCAACGAAGTGGCTCATCATGTGGACATTTATAGCAGCCAAATTATCTAAGTAACTTAAACGCATGTTTCTAAATGTGGAGGGAAAAGCCAGAGAGAAAATCCACGTGACCCCGCGGATAACATGCAAACTCATACCAGGCGAGGTAGTTAACATCTCATAGCCACCGGTTGATTGAATGATTTTCTCTGGGTGCGAAGTCCACGTTGTTTGATGACAATGATTCATAAACTCTGCCTTCGATGAGAGTTGGCACAGTGGAATGGGCACCCAACTCGCAATCGTAAAATGTACGAGTTCAATTCCTGGCTGGCGATCACCATGGACCATCATCCCTCTGGAATCGATCAAATTAATACCGCTTTTTTTGGAAAAATGGAAAAATCAACAATTTGACTTTTTCTGAGTTATTTTAGGAGGTCGACAGACATGTCCCATAAAGAACTACTGCTGAGTCGCTTCAGTAGGCCTCTATCACTCGACACTACAGAGTTTCTCCTTCTTGTGGTGGAATAGCGGTTCTCCTCGTGCCAATCGTCTAATACAGCTTGCCTCTCAGAGCAGGGTCCGGTACAATTCATCCTTTCCCCTCCCGAGACGTCTGAATCTCGGAGCGCGCAAGCCGCTCAGCGTGAATTTTATTTAGAGAGGCGTAGTGCCATTGTTTTTAAAGACATTGTTACTCACCGCAGTAAACTGTAGCGACACGACCGCACTCTACGATAGCTGGCACCAAACTGTGCCGCACGCACTCCTGAACGGCCTTGTGGGAGCGTCGATACCAATGAAGTTATTCTTTTTTTTTTGATGACGTACACGTACATACACGTATGTGTATGTGTACGTCATTGGAATGGGAAAGGGTTGATTGAAAAAAACTAATTTACTCTTGTAGGATTTTTTTTGCAGTTAACCTTGACTCGACCGAGACCATCACCTCGCTGGTGTAATCATCGCGACTGAGACCTGGATTCAGACTTTGCTCTTAAATCTCTCCCGAGGGACTCCAGTTTTATATTATGTTTATGCGACACGAATTGCACTCTGCTTGTAATTTGCAGACACGTGCAGGATTTCTGGGTAGCACAGCTGCTATGTGGGAGTTATGATTATTATTATTTTTAGTGCGAAGAATGTCAAGATGCCATTCCTCCTGGGAATTAGTGCAGTTAACTGTGTCGTTATCATCAGAGGTTGGAGGTTGTTTTTTTTTTCTTCTACTTTGTAATTGCCGGTCCACTCTCGGAACGACTGTGCCCCATTACCCTCCAGATGCTTCTAAGCTGCGAGGACTCGTGTGTGAGTGTGTGTGTTGCTGGATGAAATAAATATACCGACTCCATCGTAAGCCTCGTTCAATCCAATTTATCTCGTGAACCCACCCCGCACTTGTGCCATTGCGCCGTTACAGCGTGAAATGGCGCGGTGATAACCGGATGGCTCGGAGGTCGGAGCGCTGGGCTGGCAACCGCTGACATCCCGGGCTTGTCTATTGTGGTTGCGTCTCGTGTCGCATGTTTTGTGTTCCTGCGTGTGAGCGGTTTGCCAGGTGCCACCGTGCACACGTGTCTGATGAACACTCGTGGTTTGCCAGGTGGCACGGTGCACACGTGTCTGATGAACACTCGTGGTTTGCCAGGTGCCACCGTGTACACGTGTCTGATGAACACTCGTGGTTTGCCAGGTGGCACCGTGTACACGTGTCTGATGAACACTCGTGGTTTGCCAGGTGGCACCGTGTACACGTGTCTGATGAACACTCGTGGTTTGCCAGGTGCCACCGTGCACACGTGTCTGATGAACACTCGTGGTTTGCCAGGTGCCACCGTGTACACGTGTCTGATGAACACTCGTGGTTTGCCAGGTGCCACCGTGTACACGTGTCTGATGAACACTCGTGATTTGCCGGGTGCCACCGTGCACACGTGTCTGATGAACGCTCGTGGTTTTCCAGGCGGCACGGTGCACACGTGTCTGATGAACACTCGTGGTTTGCCAGGTGCCACCGTGTACACGTGTCTGATGAACACTCGTGGTTTGCCAGGTGCCACCGTGTACACGTGTCTGATGAACACTCGTGATTTGCCAGGTGCCACCGTGTACACGTGTCTGCTGAACGCTCGTGGCGGGGTGGAGGGCGACCTCACTGTGAGCCGCGTGGCACCCGGGAAAGGAGACGACCCACTCGCTCCCGAGTTCGAGGGTAAGAGCAACAGCATCATCAGCATCGTCATTGTCGTTGTCATCATCATCATCACCATTCTCAGCAGCATTGTTGACCCTTTACCCATTCTGAAATGACTGCAAGTTGCAGGGTGGGTGTCCCTTTGACCGCTGAATCGCGAAACGCACAAGCGGTTACCATTAATTTAATTGAGAGAGGTGTAGTAGCGCCGTTGTTTTTAAAGACATCATACTCATCGCAGAGAACTGTAGCGACACGACCGCACTCTATGATAGCCAGCGTCAACCTGTGCCACACGCCCATGACGTATGTGTACGTCATCGGAATGGAATCGGAAGAAACGGTGATGATGTGCAAGTACGTCATCGGAATGGGAAAGTGTTAATGATGAGAGCGACGTGCGTTTGATTCGAATATACAGCAGTAATAAGATATAATCAGAGCCTCCTGCAGGATTTTAACCGTGAATCTGTGCAACAAGCAGTCGGACGCTCCACAGCGGCGTCGCCTCCCCTTCGCCGTGCCATGGCACAGCGGTCATCATCCTCCTCCTCCTCCCCCTCCTCATTCTCCTCATCATCCTCATCGGCCAGCAGTATAAATGGATACATCACAGTTGGTCACCCAGCAGATCACATCAATCAATCAATCGATCAATCTTTATTGTACGCGCCACTATAGCCAGGCACCAATGAAGTATGCATCAGTGCACATGACAACGGAAGGGAGCGGTGGCAGGGAGGGCACGGAGCAGCCGGAGCCGGAAGAGAAACCCGTCATGATCTCAGTGGCTAACGCCGACTGAGCAGAGTCGATTACAACAGCGCGCACAATAAAGTGCAACCGTGCACAACGTATAGCATTAGAAAGGTAAGTAGTAAATAACAAAATGTAAAATAAATAACGAATAAAGAGACAGTTTTATTTAAAATATATTTTTTATTTTATGTAGAGGCGAGTCTGAATAGATGTGGTGGGGTAGAGTGTGGGTACTCACACCTCTTCCCAGGGTACCCAAATGCACCTCATCGGAGCAACGGCAGGGCTGCACCTCGTTTCCATTGGTGACACGCAACGGAGAGCTGTTACCGTGATGATCTCGTCAAGGAGCACAAACCATCGTCACGCAAACTCCTCCGGTGGTCATCCTCACAGCAGCAGCAGCGGCAGCAACAGCAGCAGCATCATCATCATCATCAGCAACAGCAGCAGCATCATCATCATCAACAGCAGCAGCTCTTGGCTGCTGCCATCGCACAAAGGCGGCGGTCACCGCATCGCGCGGCGCTTTCATGTGCGCTTCTGCGGCCGTCTGGAACGCTCCTGCTTCCGATATTAGGAAGCCACTGGAGCTATGCACTTTTAAGTCATCATCAAGGTTGAAAACTCATTTCGTTAGAGCTGCTTTTTGTGTTTAGTTTGTTGTCCTTCCCCCGCACCTCCGATTAGCACAGTAAGGCTACGCACGGTGCGAAAGAAGTTCAACAGTACGTGCACACGTACACGATTGGGTCTATTGGCTGCTACTCTTCCTGTCCATCAGCCGCGCCGCTGCCCTCGCGCATATTGTGTGGGCGAGCTCAGCTCTATTGCTCTGCACCCTGAGTCTGCCAGATGGGGGCGATAGCTTTGGCGTGGCTTATGATGGAGCTTGCGAAGCTGACGTTAAGCATTGCGGTTGTCATGCAACGGTGAAGGTACAGGCGCAGCCCCGCAACCTCTCGCTCACGCCACTTCTGGCGCGTCCTGCCCAATTGACTTCTCGAAACATTCAACACGTGATACACGCGCTCCCGTTTTACGTGTCGCCAGGGCAGAATCGGAATCTTCATTTGCAGGAGGAGGAGGAATCCGATGAGCTATGAAGCTCTTTTTCACAGATGTCCAGGAGTCAGCAAAGTTACAACCACAAACAGTACACAAATCGATAGGAAAGGTAATCAAGTCACTAAATATAATACATAAAGTATCCAAGCACGAATTGCGTTATGCTCACAGTAGTGCCACATCTGTCTGGCACCAGTCGTCGTCGTCATCGTCGTCAATCCACTCTCCGTGAGGTCTTCCTCTCTTTCCGCTTCCTTCCATTGTTCCCCAAACAACACACGTGCATTGTTCCCCAAACAACACACGTGCATTGTTCCTCAAACAACACACGTGCATTGTTCCCCAAACAACACACGTGCATTGTTCCCCAAACAACACACGTGCATTGTTCCCCAAGCAACACACGTGCATTGTTCCCCAAACAACACACGTGCATTGTTCCCCAAGCAACACACGTGTATTCATGTTTTCCTCCAGCATAAACAAATATTACGATTCCGACCTTGTGACATTCCGGTATTGGCGACTGCCACGGTGGCTACGACACCGCCCCCCCCGCGTGCGCCGTCTGCGTGCGCCACAGGTGACGGCTTCTACCTGGCGGTGGGCGGCGCTGCGGCGCAGCACGCCTGGTCCTACGTGAGCTCCGTGCTGCAGGACGGCGCCTTCAGGTGTCGCCTCGTCGACGCCTCGCCCCGCTTGGGACTCCTCAGCGTGCAGGGCCCTCGCAGGTGCGGTCGGACAAAGCGCAACGTGGCTTGACGTGTTTCCGGACTTGACGGCGTTCGTACAACGACAGAGGCCCCCCCCCCCCCCCCCCCGTGTAGCCTTGAACAGAGTGTTGGGGCAGGTGCTGTTAGTGAGCACCTGTGAAGGCCGGCACGGCACATGAGCGGGTGTTGCTAGTTACACACCGCTCCAGGTACTCATCTGCACACACATACACACACACTTAAGCATATTTACACTAATTGCATATGCATGTTTGTTTATGTGATGCACCGTACTAAATTAGCTGTGTCGGGTGGTGGCGGGTTTAACAACACATTGATATGTATGCGATCTAACCCAAACACCTCTATTATGGATTATGTACGTATACGTGCGTACACTGTCTAAGTTATCGCTGACAAAGAGGCACAGTGTATTTGTTATTCTCCATGGACTTTCACTGTTGAATGACTGATTGAATCAGAATCAGAATTTATTTTGCGTCATTGTGGAGATATGGACGTCTGTCTATTGAATGTTTCCATAGTGGAGGGAGTGGTGGCGCAGTGGTTGACTTACCGCACTGTCAACCCAGCAACTGGATTTAAATTTGCGGCCACAGCCAGCATCAATGACATATTAACTAGTCCTAGTTCCTCTCTCTTAGGTTTTTTTGGTAAAGTCACGTAGGAAAAAATAAAAAATAAAAATAATAGAAATAATAATAGAAATAAAATAATAAATCACGACGTTTTGGAGGCAACACAAGTCTCCGTCATCAGGTGGGACCGTCACAGCTAAATTTACTGTATAAATTCACCCTTGAAACAGAGCCAAGGTAGCTCAGCGGGTAATTGACTCGGATACTCAACTTGTGATTCTGAAAACGGTCCAGTAGAATAAGTCGCCGACATGGGGTGGAGCAACCAAAGAGTGGACAGTTCACAGGACCAGCAACCATGGCAGTAGCAATAGCAGAGTGACGAGGAGGTGACCGTAGGTGACCAGGATGCCGTGTGTGTCTGCAGCCGGGAAGTCTTGGAAAAGGTTCTGGATGCTGATCTCAGCAACGAGAGCTTCCCCTTCTCCACGCACAAGCTCGTCAAGGCGGCTGGGCACGAGGTGAGTGTGTGATGCCAGCTGTTCACTTACGGCACTTGTATTTTGAACTTGTTTGCACACTGCGCTTGTATGCTGAGCTTCTTTCGCACCGTACGTAGTCAACCGTGCTTACATCGGAGGCACTAGGGTCTCATTGTAGGCTGCCTTCACCGAGGGATAACCCAGGATCGTTTCTGATACCGCTGATGTTAGCCGTGGCCGAAAATCTGAATCTAGGTCGCTGGCTTCATAGTACAGTGCGCTAACCACTACGCTACTGCTTCCCACACCTATACAAAGAGAATGATCCCTGATATAGCGTCCTTGTGGGGGCAGGTGCTATTAGTAAGAACCCATGAAGACCGCATGAGAGGGTGGTGTGGCCAGCATCGCTCCCGGCTGCCTTTGCCGACTCACCACACCAGCAACTAATTTAATTCTGGGCGAATCCAGAAGAGGCCAAGGACTGGCTCAGATATTCGTCACGTGACATTAGCTTTGGCCGGGAATCCAATTCGGGTCGCCGGGTTCGCAGCGCAGCGCGCTAACCGCCGCGCCACCGCTCCAGTGCGCTGTCTTTCCATGCGCGCCACACACGGCACGCGGACACGCGCGCCACGTCTCCGCTCGGACTCCTTTAGGCAGCGCGCTCTGCCCCCTAACGAGCCTCGAGCCCGGCGCCGACCTCGGCGTAACAAGTCCCCCCTTGGCAGCCGTGCGGGCGTCATACTCGGAGGTGTGGGAAGCCGCCGCCCCTTGGCCCTGGGTTCGTTATCCCGATTATCGTCAGTCGACGCCGCCTTGGCAGCCGGCAACTTTGCCTCCCTTGCGTTCGCTTCGTTCGCTCGTTCGTTCGTTCGTTCGTTCGTTCGTTCGTTCGCTCGTTCGTTCGTTCGTTCGTTCGCTCGTTCGTTCGTTCGCTCGTTCGTTCGTTCGTTCGCTCGTTCGTTCGTTCGTTCGTTCGTTCGCTCGCTCGCCTGGGAGAGCCTTGCGAGTTTGCGTCGTTTCTGCAAACACTTGGAGCCGGGTCGGGCCGGGTCGGCTCAAGAACAACCCAGGGATGCGCTGAGAACTTCCACACGCCCTGGTCGCCATGCTCGTTAAGCAGTGAGGCTTCCTGGGTTCATACTCTCCCATACCACCCCCTAGGAATGAGTTTTGGATTTGTATTATTTGAACGTTTGTCTTCGTGCTTACCAAAGGTATGTCACTCGATGCCACTTGGCGTGGGCGGGACGTAAATATTCGTGACGTCACTCCCCGTGACGGCATGCTTTCAAATCGATCCTAAACAAAAACAAATTATTGTACAAAAATCTTTTTGTCTAGGCCCAATCAATCAAGCTGGGCTTTTGCGAACCAATCAACCAACTCAATATAAAATTACAGCTGTTGCTCTCATCACCGTACTGTGAAGTAGATGAAGTCGCAGGCCATCGTCACGCTCGACGGTTTTCACCCACGCTACACACACAGAGCCACCCGTGAACAACGTGGACATTGCTGCCACCGATTTCGCTCACGCAGGGGTCCGCAACCCGTGGCTACGGGTGCGCACGCAGCTCTTCAAAGCGCTGCCTCGTGACGTTATTTACAAACGAGCGTCTCGCTTTCACGAGCATGGCGGCTCTTGAAACATTAAACCGTGTACCCAATTCGAACAAAAAGGGCTCTTGTCGTTAGTTATTGGATGCCGACCCCTGCGCTAACGGAATGACCACCGTGTCCCCCCCCCCCCTGTCGCGGAAGCAGGTGCGCGCCATGCGCGTGTCGTTCGTGGGGGAGCTGGGCTGGGAGCTGCACGTGCCGGCGGCCGCGTGCGGTGCCGTCTACGCGGCGGTGATGGAGGCCGGGCGGCCCCTGGGCATCGTCAACGCCGGCTACCGCGCCATCGACTCGCTCTCCATCGAGAAGGGTGAGCCGGCGATGGGCTGACCGTTCTTTCCCAGGGTCCCCCACCCCCGTCAGGGCTCAGGACCTGGGCTCGAATCCAGGTTTCAGCCGCCTGTGATGAAACAAAACTGATTCTCAAGTCTAGTTGAGTCGATGGCCTCCACCAACGATTCTGCAAAAAAAACCCCATCGCTTTAATTTGTCTCACGCGATGAACATTACTGTCACGTACGTATATGTACCTATGTTGAACTTCTTTAGCACCGTACGTAGCCAACCGTGTAAATCGGTGGTGCGGGAGAAGGACAACAAACTAAACGCAAAAAAGTAGTTCGCATGGCAGACGGGGTGGGAAAGTGCTGTCCCCTACTGTGCGGTGGGCCAGAGGTCACGTGAAGAAGAGATCTCGGAGGTAGCTCTGCGATATCCACTTCCACGAATCGCTTGAACTGCTCTGTGAGAGAGAGCCACACGGTCGCTGCGTTTCGTGACGCCGTTGGTACAAACCGAAGCGCGTGAGTTGAGGAGGGCCGCTCTGCCGCTCCGGCACCGCCGTTTACCCGCCGTGTCCCCCCCCCCCCCCCCCCCAGGCTACCGCCACTGGCACGCCGACCTCCGCACGGACGACTCTCCGCTCGAGGCCGGCCTGGCTTTCACCTGCAAGCTCAAGTCGTCCGTCTCGTTCCTGGGCCGCGGCGCGCTGGAGGAGCAGCGCCGGCGTGGGCTGGCCAAGCGCATCGCCTGCTTCACCATCGACGAGTGAGTCCCACGGGTGCCGCGTCTCTCCGATCCCACGGCTGCTCTCGCCGCCCCGGTACCAACGGCGGTAAAGAATAGAAACACGCCGCACCTGGGCGCTGACGGAGCAGAGAATTTGCGCTTTTGCCACTCGCTCCCTGCAGAGGTTTGCGGTTCGGGTAGAGCGGCCACCCTGGTTAATACTGCGGGCACCATCGTCATTAGCCATGGCGTCGTCACGCACGGTGTCCGTGCCCGCGTCTGTCTCTGCCGTGTCTGTGAGTGTGTCTGTCTGTGCCGTGTCTATGAGTGTGTCTGTCTGTGCCGTGTCTGTTAGTGTGTCTGTCTGTACTGTGTCTGTGAGTGCGTCTGTCTGTACCGTGTCCGTGAGTGTGTCTGTCTGTGTTGTGTCTGTGTGTGTGTCTGTCTGTACCGTGCCCGTGAGTGCGTCTGTCTGTGCCGTGTCTGCGTCTGTCCGTGCCGTGTCCGTGCGTGCGTGTAAAAGGCTTAAGTGCTGCCGCGTCGGCTTTGAGAGAGTGCGGTCAGGGATGGTTGGGCCGAGTCAAACTCACCGCTCCCTAAAAACCCTTTCAGAGCGAGCGGCTCCTTACATTCATTATTCACCTCCCCTTAAACGTCTCTCCGATGCGCAGGTCCCTCGCCTTTTTATTTCTTTCTTTTTTCAAAATCCAGGAAAGCTTCACTGAGTCGTTGGGATTCGTTCGCAATCAGCGCTAATGCTCGCTGACGAAGACGGCCTTGTAGGAATCTTGTGTCGTTGCTGTTCCTACCGCCGTTGAAAGAAAAACTGCTAAACGCTTAACAATTTTTTTTATTTTACCAGGTAAGGCCCACTGAGCTATGTAGCTCTCTTTCAGAAGCGACCTGGCCACAAATGACAGCTCAACAAAGTGGCTTGTCACGTGGACATTTATAGCAGGCAAATACTCTAAATGCGTGATGATTCTAAATGTGAAGGGAAAAAAGGAGAACCCGGAGAAAAATCCACGCGACCATTGGAGGTGAGACTCCACAAACTCCGACTATACAGGCGTCAGGGTCGGGATTGAACCCACAACCTCCTGTATGCCAGGCGAGACCCGTAACGGCGCCGACCGTGGTTCACGTGGATCGCGGGCGGTGGAGGCCACGCTGCAGGTGGCAGCCTGCAATCCTGGACTGCCGAGGCAGCAGCGAGAGTTCGTGGATCCCAGGCAGAGCTGTGGCTGGCTGGCCAGGAGAAGGCGGTACAGCAACGGTGGGCTCCATCTGTTCCATCAGCACAGGATAGAGTGTTGCCCCCTTGCACGCGTGGGTTTTTTGCAGGCACTCCGGTGTCCTCACACGTGTATACACACTCATTAATTGGCCGATAACACCTTCATATTTAGAGGACCCCCAGAGCTTGGGGGGGGGGGGGGTATTTGGTGCCATGTAGATATTTTTGCAGCTCTCATCTCAAACAGTTCAAATGGTTTCTTGCTCAAATGAGCATTGAGGTGGTGAACATCACCCGTTTACGGCCCTGGTGGATATTCCAGCAGTGGATATTCCTATGGCTGGGACGAGTCCCTCTATCGGGCAGCCACTTTTTACTTCCCTGCAAAGTGTCCTCAATTTTATCCACCCCGGAGAGATGATGGGCTGAGTCGACCCCCCCCCAACCAAGATTTGTAACTCGCAAAGCTTCAATGCCGCTCGCTCTACCGCTGAGCCACATTGCTCTCATGTCGCCTCTCGTCCGTCTTCTCTCGACGGAGAATGTAGAAGATTGTGGGGGGAGGGGAGCGAGGCGACTCAGCCTCAACCGAGTACCTGGTGCAGTGTTTAGCAACGTCGCCACGAGGGAGACAAAGGCGGCCGGGCGCGGTGCTGGACACCCACGCCCTCGTGTGCCGTTGTGGCGTTCATAGGTGCTGCTCGCTGACAGCACTTGCCCCAACAGTCTGTTGAGGCTATACTGTACCGGGGATCTTTTTCTTTGGGGGGGTGGCAATCATAATTCCTGATCTGTCGCCCCCCCCTCTCCCCCCCTCTCCCCGCCCCTCTCCCCGCCCCCCCCCCCCACAGTGGGCCAGCGCCACTGCTGGAATGACGCACGAGCGAGCGGCAGCGGTGTTCACCAAACGCCCCCCCCCAAACCCCCAGCCCCCCCCTTCTCGCTGCCCCCCGCTGTCTCCAGCTGTGCTCAATGATTCACGCGTACACGCCTCGTGGCGTCTGTACGCGTTCATTATTCATGACCGCAGCGTGTGTGCACGCGCGTGTATGTGCACGTGTGTGTGTGTGCACGTGTGTGTGTGCGTGTTTGTTCTAGAGGAGCGGCAGTGCTGCAGCAGTCAGCGCGCTGCGGCTGTGATCCCGGCGACCCGGGTTCGATTCCCGCTCACGGGTCAACACCGGTGACGATTACTTATCTGACCCGGTCCTGGGCCTCCCCTAGGTCGACTCGGCCTCAATTGAGTACCCGGTGCGGTGTGTCAAAACATCGCCACTGGGGAGACTAAAGGGGCCCGGGCGTGGCGCTGGCCACCCGCCCCCTCGTGTGCCGTGCCGGCCTTCATAGGTGCTTGCTAACGGCACTTGCCCCTGCCGAGGCTACACGCGGGGGGATCTTTATCTTTGTTTATTCCTGGCGTCGCGTTTGCGACGTGCGGGGAAGGCTGATGACGCGGCGACGTTAAGCGGGGAGCCGCCTCCGCCCCGTGCCCTCCTCGTTACCCGGGGTATCTGCGGAGTGACTCAGAACCACGGAACGTCATTAACGTTGCTCCCCTTCGCAGACGAGGAGGCGATGGCTCCCGGAGGGGGTGTTGCGTCAAGGATGTGTTTAGAAAAAAAACATTCGGAAACATCTTGACCGACGCGAGCGAGCGAACGCATGGAGGGAGCGAGACCGTAGGGACCCCCCCAGTGGCGTTAGCGAGCGCCTATTAAAGGTCGGCACGCACCAAGGGGTGAGTGGGTAGGTGAGTGGCAGCACTGCAGCACCCAGCGGCTCTCTGGTCTTTGGCGATGTTGACGCATCTCGATGCTCGTTTCAGGCCCAGCGCCTATTTCCAATGCCGGTGCCTTCGATGTGAGCCCAGGCCGGGGATCAAACTCGGGTCACGAGTTTGCAAAGCGCAGAGCGTTAACCACCGCGCCACCACTCCGCACACAGACGTATACACAGACAAATATGCCCCGTGTAGCCTTAACAGACTGTTGGGGTAAGTGCTGTTAGCGAGCACCTATGAACGGCAGAACGGCACAGGATGGGGTGTGTAGCCAGCACCAGGCCCGGCCGCCTTTGTCTCCCCAGTGGCGATGTTTTTACGCACCGCACCAGGTGCTCATTTGAGGCCGAGTCGACCTAGGGGAGGCCCGGGACCGATTCAGATAATCGTCACTGTTGTTGGCCGTGAGCGGGAATCGAACCTGGGATTGCCAGATTCATAGCGCAGCGCGCTAACCACTGCACCTCCACTCTCAACACACGCACGCGTACACAAACCCACACACGCGCACACACGCGCACACACGCACACACACGCACGCGTACACGCACACACACGCACGCGTACACACACGCACACACACACGCACACACATGCACACACACCCGCACACTTGCACACACACACACCCGCACACATGCACACGCACACACCCACACACATGCACACGCACACCCACACACACATGCACACGCACACCCACACACCCGCACACATGCACACGCACACACCCACACACATGCACACGCACACGCACACCCACACACCCACACCCACACACACATGCACACGCACACCCACACACCCGCACACATGCACACACACGCACAGCAGCGCTGCAGCCTGTGTTTGGCAGCTCAGTGTGCGTGAAGTTATTAATCCACTCACATTAGCATCACCACCGCAGTCCACGGCCACACGAAGCCCCGGCGCCCGTAAAGACAACGTGGCTCAGAGGGTCCCCAGAGGCAGAGCGGGGGAGAGATGGGAGGGAGATGGGAGGGAGGGGGGAGGGAGGGGGGGAGAGTTTTGGGAGGGAGATGTCAAGGGGGAGAGTGAGGGAGGCACGAGAGAGGTGCATTAGAGACAGCGGAGAGAGAGAGAGAGAAATTCAAGGAAGAGCCAGCAACGGGGGCAGAGTGCGTCAGAAATGAGAGAGAGAGAGAGCGAGAGATGGGGGAGAGGCATGCTACAGAAACAGAGAGGGAGGAAAGATAGAGAGAGAGTGAGAAGAGCATGAGAGGAAATAGAGAGATGAGAGAGAGAGGGGAGAGACAACACGTGAGAGGAAGGAGCGAGAGAGGGCAGAGAGAGAGGGAGGGAGAGAAGGGGGTGAGAGGGAAGAGAGGGGGGGGCCCATGGGTCACGCTCGCAGCGCCCCTGCCACTGCATGCGTCGTCGCGACCCCTGCTGCTTGCAGAGTAAATCCCCTTCCAGCCTCGTGTGTGCGCGTGTGTGTGTGCACTGTGTGCGTGTGTGCACCGTGTGTGTGTGCACCGTGTGTGTGTGCGTGTGTGCACCGTGTGTGTCACCGTGTGTGTGCGTGTGTGTGTGCACCGTGTGTGTCACCGTGTGTGTGCGTGTGTGCACCGTGTGTGTGTGTGTGCACCGTGTGTGTGTGTGTGCACCGTGTGTGTGTGTGCACCGTGTGTGTGTGTGTGCACCGTGTGTGTGTGCACCGTGTGAGTCACTGTGTGGGTGTGTGTGCACCGTGTGTGTTTCTGCACCGTGTGTGTGTGCACCGTGTGTGTGTGTGCACCGTCTGTGTGTGCGCACCGTGTGTGTGTGTTGTGTGTGTGCACCGTGTGTGTGTGTGTGTGCACTGTGTGTGTGTGTGCACCGTGTGTGTGAGTGTGCACCGTGTGTGTGTGCGCACCGTGTGTGTGTGTGCACCGTGTGTCGGTGTGTGCCATGTGTGCGTGCCACGTGTGTGTCCACTCGTGCCGGGTGCGTGTGTTTGCAGGCCACGTGCGTGTGTGCGCGCCACGTGCGTGTGTGCGCGCCACGCGTGTGTGTGCGTGGCGAGGGCTCTCGATGAACCCGGCTGTGGGTTGAGTGCTGAGGCACACACGGAGGACGCGTTTGTGCGTGTGTGTGTATGCACCGTGTGTGTGTGCACCGTGTGTGTGTGTCATATCCTGGGCAGCGGTAGTGTAGCGGTTCGCGCAATTCGCTATGAACCTGGTGACTCGAGTTGGATTCCCGCTCACGGCTAACACCGGTGATGATATCTCAGCCAGTTATGGGCCTCCCCTAGGTCGACTCAGCCTCAAATGAGTACCCCAGCGTGGTGTTCTAAACATGGCCACTGGGGAGACAAAGGCGGCCGGGCGTGGTGCTGGCCTTCCACCCCATAGTGCTTTAGCAGCACTTGCCTCAGCAGAGTCTGTCGTAGGCGACATGAGGGGATTTCCGTCTTAGTCTCGATGTTATCAGTTGGGGAGGAGTGATTGAAAGGCATAGGGTCGTATCAGCTCGGTAATAATAATGGCAGGAGGCTTCAGGATTTGTGTGCGCTGCCCACGGGCAAGTAATTATCACGACGCGCCGGCCAATGTACACAGCACCTTGGGTGCATCATCCCGGCGCTGAGCGCGAGCATCCGCTCGTAGCAGAAGAGCGAGAATGCAAACCCTCGCCTTTGACGCGAGCAGCTGCTGTGAAGCTGATATGTCGTCCACTGACCCATTGAGCTTGCTCATCTTGAGGGTGCACCTGGCATTCGTACCCTTGCGGAAGTAAGGATCATCCACTTCGCTTCGCGTTCAAGCGCGCAAGAGCCTTGGTCTTGGCCGCTTGTTGAAGATTGCGAGAATGAAGAAGTTACATTTTGATTTAAAGATTTTGTGACTGCAGGGATTCATATTCTCGGTTCTTTCGGTAAAGTCACGTAGAAGGGAAAAAATAAAATCATAAAAAATATAAAACAATTAAATTCTCACGACGTTTCGACCGCAACACAAGCAATCGTCATCAGGTGTGAAAAAACACGGCAAGAAAATTTGAAAAAAGTGGCGGTTTTTTATTAACGTCAGCACCACGGACAGCGATTTGGCAGTTGGTCAGATGGACGAGTCCATCTGTGTTCGGAAAAGAGGAGGGGGGATAGGAAGAGAATGGAAGGCGGTCTGAAAGTCACCGTAAGCGTGAACACAATCAATTAAGACCCGAAATGTGACTTTACCGAAAGAACGAAGAAAAATAAAGAAGTTGTTCACGGCTGCTGCTGCTGGCCACTGCCCCCCCCCCCCCTCCTGCGACTCGACATCTGTGAGCAAGAGCTTCATAGCTCATCGGATTCCTCGAGTCTCAATAAAGATTCTCATTCCGATCCTCCTTCTAATCGACGGAGGGAATGAGTGGCCAGTACCAGACCTCCCCATGAAGCTGTGGCCGGTGGAAGGGAGGTGATGGAGCCAGCCCCGCGGGAGGAAGAAGCCGGCCCTCTGTTTCCCTCCACGGGACTCCTCCTTGCTGTGCTTAGTTTGTTATCCTTCCCCCACACCGCTGATTAACACGGCAGGCTACGTGCCGTGTGAGAGAAGTTCAACATTCATACATATAGCATCCATCCACCAAGCTCTCTGTCCTAGTATCGTCACATTCATCAGATTCACCACCGCCATCAGCATCACTCGCATGCTCGCTACTTGCATCACCAAGCGATACGATTAGTACGGTTGGCTACGTATGGATGGTGCTGATGAACGTACACTCGCTCGCCGTGACGCGGCCGAGCAGGCTCGCGCATGCGCCGCTTGTTGTCGAGGTTCACGGTTCGAACCCAGCGGCTGCCCTGGTCATTACCGCGGTAGTGTCGGAACCGTAACTGTACCAGTCTGCTTCTCTCGCAGTGGACTCTACATCTCATCTCATTAATATTTATGGGACGCCTTCACGCGAGGCACTTGACATAGCTTACAAAACGGTGACGCAGAATTTAATGATTTAGAGAGCAGGGGCGTACACGGATCGGGCAATGAGTGACCGCGATTGAGGGGTATTTCGAGGTCACGAAAGGGCAGGGGAGGGATGGGGAGGAGTGGAGGGGCGAGGGGAGGGAAGAGGAAGGGAATGGGCGATAGAAAAGAGGCGAGGCTTTGAGAGAGGAACGGAAGGCGGTTAAGGAGGGGGACTGATTAATGTACAGAGGCAGTGTTGAGTCTACGGGCAGTGTTGGGTCTATGGGCAGTGCTGTGTCTATGGGTAGTGCTGAGTATATGGGCAGTGTTGAGTTCATGGATGGTGCTAATCAATGTACAGGGGAAGTTGATTTCAGTGGAGGGGTGCAAGGAGGGAGACATTATTAGGCCGTTGAATGTGCCAGCGTCAATGGTCCCAAATTTGCCAAATTTGCCACGGTAGCAGAGGAGAAGAAGGAACCTCCCCGGAGGTGGTGGAGTTGTGATGGAGGGTGATGGGGGGGGGTGGTGGGGGTGGTGGGGGTGGTGGGGGTGGTGGGGGGTGATGGGGGTGGTGGGGGGTGATGGGGGTGGTGGGGGGTGGTGGGGGGTGGTGGGGGGTGATGGGGTGTGATGGGGGGTGATGGAGGGTGGTGGAGGGTGGTAGAGGGTGGTGGGGGGGGGGGATGGGGGGTGATGGGGGGGTGATGGTGCCATTCATCAGGAGGCGACAGCTGCTCGAGTGAAGCTTCGAAGCAGGAGAGTAGAGGGGGTAGACGAGGGGGTAGACGAGGGGGTAGACGAGGGGGTAGACGAGGGGGTAGACGAGGGGGTAGACGAGGGGGTAGACGAGGGGGTAGACGAGGGGAGGAGGAGGAGGAGGGGGAAGAATCCATTATCAACGTTTTTGGGTTTAGATCGCGTTTATTTATAAATGTGTCGTAACCCTCCACCGGTGTGTTGAAGCCACAACATTTACAACACACCGGTGGGCTAAAGCAGTGAACTATTTGTCTTTGTCAACGTGACACTTTTTTACTGATTGGCCGTGTCGGGTGGTGGAGGGTTACGACACATTTATAAATAAACGCGATCTAAACCCAAAAACGTTGATTATGAATAACATTGGTCGCGAAAGCCTACGTGTTAAACAGGGGGAAGAATGTTGAGGCTGGTAAGTACAAATGAAGGCAGATGTCGTCAGCGACTCCAGCTGGAATTGGGAGCCGCCACCGCTGCCATCTGAGTGATTTGACCATATCTCGGGATGAGCTCTCCCCCTCCGCAGGTTTGCGGAGTTCCCAACACTCGCGCGAGGCTGTAAACAAGGGCTGCTCATGTCCGCTGACTTTGAGGATCTCGCGCTAACTAACGTGGCACTTTAAAAGTAATATCGATTCACCCAACCCCGTGTTCTGTTTAAGTTAAATATTACATAGCCCCATTAATATTCCCTGGGAATAGCCTTTGTACAAGTGTTTCCTCTTATGTAAAATCGGCAATCTGCCGGAACATTCCTAAATACGTTCCTAAAATAATTAATTTGCTACGCGATATAATTTTAATTAGCCAGCAAACCTGAAAAAGAATCTACAAAAGTGACCGTTTACACTTTAACTTAAAGTCCGGTACCCTTTCTATTTGTCTGCAAAACTAAAATACATTCGCGAAGTCACGAGATCCGCGTGGCTCATGGACGAGCAGCGTGACCCGCGGCGGCACGGGGTGGTCGCTGTCCGCAGTAATGTTTTATTTCTTAGCCGCTTCCTGTCGTTGCGTTTTCAGTGTTTAATTTTACTGAGTCACCCGTGTACAATAAAACTATAATTTTCAACTCGTAAAATTGAGAAGGGGTCTTCTTGGATGGAACAGTGTCCCGGGGGGGGGGGGGGGGGGTTGGTGTGGTGAGTAATGGGCTGCTTGCAGTCAGAACATAAGTTTAACGCATAAGCTTTTGCAACCAATATTCTCCATAAGAGAGGATTTTGGGTTAGATCGTGTAAATATAAATGTGTCGTTAAACCCGCCACCACCCGACACAGCCAATTGGTAAACAGAACCTCCCAATTCGTGACTAGTGCAGCACCTGTGTGTTGTCACGTAAACCCACAACATTCACAGCTGTAAATTGTAAAGAGAGTAAACCCACAACATCCACAGCTGTAGATTGTAAAGAGAGTAAACCCACAACATCGTGAGGTCAAGTTCGAGCTGTCGGTCAACTCGGTCGTTTGTGATTCTGCACCAACGTTTGTGTTGGGCCCTCTGCGCGTGTGTCAGGCGCGTGCCACTGCTGGGTCTCGTTTGTGATTCTGCACCAACGTTTGTGTTGGGCCCTCTGCGCGTGTGTCAGGCGCGTGCCACTGCTGGGTCTCGTTTGTGATTCTGCACCAACGTTTGTGTTGGGCCCTCTGTGCGTGTGTCAGGCGCGTGCCACTGCTGGGTCTCGTTTGTGATTCTGCACCAACGTTCGTGTTGGGCCCTCTGTGCGTGTGTCAGGCGCGTGCCACTGCTGGGTCTCGAGGCGGTCTGGAGGGACGGCCGCGCCGTGGGGCACGTGCGGCGAGCCGACTTCGGCTTCCACATCGACCGCAGCCTCGCGTACGGGTACGTGCAGGACCCCGCGGGCATCGCTGTGAGTACCCCACCACCCCACACTCCTCCAACTCCACCTCACACTCCTCCTCGTACTCCACCTCGCACTCCTCCTCACACACTCCGATTGGCGTGGTTGGCTAACTACGACTACGTACATACAGACGTACAAAGACAAAGAACCCCCGTAAAGTCTTAACAGACTGCTGGGGCAAGTGCTGTTAGCGAGCACAGACGTACACACTCCTCCTCACCCCCCTCACTGCTCCCACACTGCACACGCCTCACACTCACCACACTCACCACACTCACCACACTCACCGCACTCCTCACACTCACCACGCTCACCACACTCACCACACTCACCACGCTCACCACACTCACCACACTCACCGCACTCCTCACACTCACCACGCTCACCACACTCACCACACTCACCACACTCACTACACTCCCCACACTCCCCACACTCACTACACTCAACACACTCAACACACTCACCACACTCACCACACTCACTACACTCACCACACTCACCACACTCACCACACTCACCACCACTCACTACACTCACCACACTCACCACACTCACCACACTCACCACGCTCACCACGCTCACCACTCACCACACGTACACTCACCACACTCACTACACTCAACACACTCACCACACTCACCACACTCACTACACTCACCACACTCACCACACTCACCACACTCACTACACTCACCACACTCACCACACTCACCACACTCACCACACTCACCACACTCACTACACTCACCACGCTCACCACGCTCACCACGCTCACCACGCTCACTACACTCACCACACTCACCACACTCACCACACTCACCACACGCCTCACACTCCCCACACTCACCACACTCACCACACTCACCACGCTCACCACGCTCACCACGCTCACCACGCTCACCACGCTCACCACGCTCACCACACTCCCCACACTCACTACACTCACCACACTCACCACACTCACCACACTCACCACGCTCACCACACTCACCACACTCACCACACGCCTCACACTCACCACACTCACCACGCTCACCACACTCACCACACTCACCACACGCCTCACACTCACCACGCTCACCACGCTCACCACACCCACCACACTCACCACACTCACCACACTCCTCACACTCACCACACTCACCACACTCACCACACTCCCCACACTCACCACACTCACCACACTCACCACACTCACCACGCTCACCACGCTCACCACACTCACCACGCTCACCATGCTCACCACACTCACCACACTCCTCACACTCACCACACTCACCACACTCACCACGCTCACCACACTCACCACGCTCACCATGCTCACCACACTCACCGCACTCCTCACACTTACCAAGCTCACCACACTCACCACACTCACCACACTCCTCACGCTCACCACGCTCACCACACTCACCACACTCCCCACACTCACTACACTCACCACACTCACCACACTCACCACGCTCACCACACTCACCACACTCACCAAGCTCACCACACTCACTACACTCACCACACTCCTCACGCTCACCACACTCACCACACTCACCACACTCACCACACTCACCACGCTCACCACGCTCACCACGCTCACCATACTCACCACACTCCTTACACTCACTACACTCACCACACTCCTCACGCTCACCACACTCACCACACTCACCACACTTACCAAGCTCACCACACTCACCACACTCACCACACTCCTCACGCTCACCACGCTCACCACACTCACCACACTCCCCACACTCACTACACTCACCACACTCACCACACTCACCACGCTCACCACACTCACCACACTCACCAAGCTCACCACACTCACTACACTCACCACACTCCTCACGCTCACCACACTCACCACACTCACCACACTCACCACGCTCACCACGCTCACCACGCTCACCACACTCACCACACCCCCTACACTCACCACACTCACCACACTCGGGTGCACGAGGTGTCCCACTCAGCGCTGCTGCTGCTGTTGTTGTTTGAGTTCGTCACTAAGGACACGCGTCAGATGTTCACGTTGCAGCGTTTATATCAGCGTAGTGGCGGGGAGTGGTGGCGCTGTGGTTAGCGCACCGCACGTCGAGCCCCGGTGGCCCGTGCCGAGTGCCACACGAACTGTGGTGGATCCACGTGACGAGGCTGGGGGGGGGGGCTTATTGATACATGCCACAGAACACACTTTGATGTCTTTTCTTATTAATGTAGGGCTCTATTTATAAAGCTTAACATTGCTGAACAGTGCCGTCCACAAACCCCCCCCCCCCCCCCTGCGTCTGTGTCTGGACTTGTGTTCCCACACTGACCAGCGTGGTGAAGTATGGTTAAAGTTAATCAGATATAATAATAATATTAACTCCTGCGTAACTGACACATTGTGGGGAGGCCTTCATCAAAACACTTGCTTTGACACACAGAACAAAACAAAGACAACGATCCCCCGTATAGCCTTAACATGTTGTTGGGGCAAGTGCAGTTAGCAAACGCATATGAAGGCTAGCACGGCACCACGCCCGGCCGCGTTTGTCTCCCCAGTGGTGATGTTTACACACCGCACCAGGTACTCATTTGAGGCTGAATCGACCTAGGGGAGGCCCGGGACCGGTTTATATAATCGTCACCGGTGTTGGCCGTTAGCGGGAATCGAAGTCGGGTCGCCAGGTTCGTAGTACAGCGCGCTAACCGCTACACTACTGCTCCCAATACACACACACACGCACGTGTACACACACAACCCATGCACGTGTGCGCATATTCCAATGTATGTTTTAGTCTTAGGGGAACATTTGCTCGGCTAATATAAATTCTGTTATTGCAGCGGGCGCCCTCGGAGAAAATGTGTCCTACGTTTAGATTTATTTATTTTCCTATAGTCAAGTTCCCACGAGTTCACGCGTGAAGAGAACGACCCCGTGTGTGGCAGGCGAGACGAAACTCCGTGTGCCGCCCGCGTCTCATGCGCTCTGCCGCCTGAGCCACTCTGTTCACTAATAATTCATGGCCTCCCCTGGTCATCTGTGAGACAGCTTCTGCTGCGTACAGAAGTGTGGTCAATTTATGGGGCACCCTAACCTGGGAACAGTGCTAAGAACAAGAATAATAAATAATTAAATAGAAAGCACAACGTTAACCCTGTTCAATCTTGATTTCAGGCTTTCGTGACTGCAGGAATCCACACTCTTTGGTTCTTTCGGTGAAGTCACGTGGGTAGACAATAACATAGATCGCGACGTTTCGGGCGCAACACAAGCATCCGTCATCAGGTGACGGACGCTTGTGTTGCACGTTGTGATTTATTTTATACCTTTGTGACTTTACCGAAAGAACCAGAGAGTATGTTAACCCTGTCCTTCTTCTGGCACACGGCGCATTGCAACGATGAACCACCTGATTTGTGTAACCGCCACGAATGTTCTAAACGGTGTCCAGGTTCTTGAGCCACTCGACGGCGCCGGCCGTGAGCCGGTGGATGCTTTGGTGCCGTCGTTCGATGGCCCTTGGTGGACGGGCGGCGGTTGCCGCTTGCCGTCGTCTGTTCCCCTCCGCGGCCGCAGGTGGAGCCGCCTCGGGGCTTCCACTCGCGCAGGAGATGGCACCATCGTCGCGGGCGGTGTCCGACCGCGACGATGCGCCGTGGTGCGGCGTTTACGGGGGAAGCGAGAGCCCTGGTGGCTTGCGCAATCAACGTTTGAAGTCGGGTTCCACGCTTTGGGTCGTGGCGACGGCACTCGGCAGCCTCCTGTTGCGAACCACGTGACAGGGTCTTCAACACCCTTGTTCACAAGACGATAGTTGAAGTGCCAGACGCACACACAGCAGCCAAAACACAGCGGCGCCTGCATGGGGTTGGTTGCCGCGGTTGCCTTGCTTCGTTCTCGAGTGCGCTTCCAGCTTGTACCCCCCCTGCAATAGCTTCAGTTCCCGAAGAAGCTCTCGGTACGTGGGGCGAAACGTCGGACATTCTTGCCGAACGACACATGGGACGCAGCCCAAGCACGCATCGGAAAGCCGTGCAGCATCGCCTCAGCCATTGTGCCATCGTCAGAGATGCGAGCGTCACCACGACGCCGTACGGAACGGGAGCATCGACGCGGCGCTCATTTCCCGTTTGCAGTCCTGAGCCAGTGGTGGAAATTCCACATTCCTATGGCGGGGGAAGTCTTGCTAAAGGGCAATCACTAATGACTTCCCTAAAAAGTGATGGGCTGAGTCAACTCTCAACCGGGATCTGAACTTGTGATTGTGAGCCACTCACTCTTTTGCCTGTACCACGTGGCCGGTTTATAGTTACCCCGCTTAGATAATAATATAAATTATACAGAAAACAGCATTTCAATTCAGAGCCTCTACACATCTCCCAACGAATATAAATTATATTATTATTTTTAAAAACTCAACACATTCATCAATTACATTCCGGCCTTAAAAAGACAAATTTTTAAGAGGTGACGTTTTGGACAATAAGGCCTTCCTCTTTTTGGTTCTTTCGGTAAAGTCACGTAGAATGGAAATAATAAAATAATAAAAATGAAACATTAAATAATATATTATATCATATTAGTATATTATTTAATATAATTTTATTATGAATAATTTTTATTATTGTATTATTTCCATTCTACGTGACTTTACCGAAAGAACCAAGAAGATGAATCCCTGCAGTCACGAAAGCTTTACATCGAAAGCCCTTACTCATTTAGCAAATAAAATTGAAGCTGTTTTCACGTGCTATAATGAACAGCCGTTTACTGAAACATCGCCTCTTAAATGTATTTCCCCCCTTTTAAGGCCACACAGCGTTATTGACAGATGTGGTCCGTTTTCGTTGTTAGTTTGTGCTTTTGCACCACTGCCAAAGCAGCAGCAGCAGCGACCAAATAATTTCCGTTTCGTATTAACTCGTTGAACACTCTGCTGATACACGTTGTCCAACACATCGCCCATCACTCTCACAACATTCAATCGCCTGCTGAGAGGAGATTGCGACA